CTCTTTTCCATCTTGGAAAATGTTCAAGTTCAAATCCTCCGTCCCCTTATGATTAAATAAAAATACTCGTAAAAGAAAGAACAATTACAATAAAAGATTTTATTAAAATTTGGGCGTGCTGATAGAATTATCTTTTGAAGGTTTTAGTTTATAGATGGTTGGTGTATCAACAAAATAAATTTGTAACGCGAGTAACTCAAAATTGAAGGATCTTGTTTCTCATTATTCTGAGTGTGCAGCTATATTTGCCTTCAATATCATATGTCATTGTTAGATTTTCTTTTTCTTTAAAAACACATTTTATTAATAACATGATTTGACGCCTCCAGCTTGGATCAGGCAGGCATTTAGGCAACTCATTATCAGTTAATTTATTGGCCCACTAGCCAAATACCAGTGGGTCCTACGTCCAACCTTTCATGTGAAATCATCTTCCCACTTCTGCCTTATCCTTCACTATTCCTCCCTTAAAAAACAACACTCCACAATGATCATGTTCCTGAATTGATACCCTAAATTGTATTATGTTAACTTCTAAATTGTATTTAATTACCTGCTCTTCCTCTTTAAGTACACATGCAATAATGTTCTTTGCCATTATGCAACTACTCGAAAGCAGCTTCTACGTGGATGAAAAATTATTGTGTACGTCTGATACACCGGTGATCTGACGTAAAAGGCATTCATTTTATAACACATCATAAAAATTAATATCTAACCTTCAATCCTAAAATGGTGAGTCAAAAGCTTTGGGCACTTGATATAATTTCAATTTATTTATTTTCTACGAAACCACTGGTTTTTATTTTATAGGTATATTTATTTCCCCAAGCTAATTCTTTTCCCAAACCAAATTAGGTGAAACACATCTGTTAATATTTAATCTTATGCGTATACCATCAGTCTAACCATTCCAACAGAGTTGTTCAAATAAAAAAATATATATATATTTCTTTTCTTATAGTTAAATTATATATAATTTAGTGAACAATGTTTAGAGAATATCTTTTGTGAAAGAAACAAACATAGGGAAATTTCCAAAACAGATTGCTTTCTACTTGCACTATGTTGGAAAAGTCGAAATTGAATTCTTTATTTCACTTCAAAATTGAAATTTATTAATTATTTTGGTAAGTCCAATAGTATTTTAGTTGTTTTTACAAAAATAAATAAATAAATAGCGCAAATGACTTTTTTTTTTTTTTTTTTTTTTTTTTTTTTTTCCTTTTATTTTTTACATATCATTAACAATTACATTCCTCTATATATTTGCTTTGTGAAAACGGTAGGGAGCCTCAAAATTCCTTTTATGCTCCGTTTGGATGAAGGAATTGCAAATTACATGGAATTCTAAAATGACGGAATTTAGATTTCCGTCATTTCAATTTCTGGCAATTGAAGATTTCAGTGTTTGGATTTATATATGTGGAATTTTGTAAATGACAGAAATTGAAAAATTCAATGTTTGGATAACTCAAGTAAATTATAAATGACAGAAATTAAATATTTCGAAAGAACAAAAAAACTGATAACCGACATAGAAGGTATTCCTCGAAGTATTATATTGCTTATTTGCTACACCTTTCAAATTCAGATTCTTGTAAGTTTTATATTAGTGAGGAACATGAAGGTTAGGAACTATAGTATTGCCTTTTTACTGGCGTCTAGATAAGTGGGGGTTAAATGTGTTCCTTCATTGAATGGACTGAGTGGTCTCTCTTAGATGACATAATTCTGGAATTTACTTGTTGATCTAGTTGATGTTCATATTGAAGGTCTACACTCCAGAAAATGGTGTATCTCCATATTCTGGATACTTAATTATACGAAGTTACATAAACAGTAGACACCATGTGTGTTTTTTTTATTTGATTTTGATTACCTAACAGTGACCTGGATTTTATCTTTGAAATTAGAAATTAAGCAGGGACTATCTGATGCTGCAAATTCAAAAATAACTGTTAGTTTTACTCCACATCTAATGCCAATGGTAACTATTATTCTCATATGCAATTAGAGATTCCATATTTTACAATTGACTTTTTGCTAATAGACTAAGCATTATTTTACTTTTGTCTTTTAGAGCTGTGGTATGCAATCAACTATCTATGTGGAACTGGCTCCGGGGGTAGAAATCAAGGACTTACACCAACAGTTGAAGTTATCCTACATAGCTGTGTAAACACCCAATGCTAAATGGCAAGATATTGAGTGCAGGACTCCTGCTTATGCTCCATTGATTAATAAATCTAACAAACAACTACAGAGCAAGGCAATAACACAAAGTGATAAAGCTAACAAACAACTACAGAGCTGTACCATAAACACAAATCACACACAAATATCCATGGGCATAGACTATTTTGTTAAGATTTCCCAAAACCCAGCCACAGTGCCACAAAGATCACAAAACCCATTCAACACATTCATAATTTTAGTTAGAAATACCCAATTTTGATAGCCATTTAGAAACCATGATAACCCTAAACTAGAAAAATATTAATTGAAGGAGAGAAAGGCTTGAAGACTAACCTTCAAACTTGATCCAAAGAGATGTGTTACCCAAGAAGAACTCCTTCTCCTTACTTCTCTGGTTCGCAACTTTTTATGATTCTCCTTACTTCTCTAGCTTGCAGTACTTCTCTGGCTCGCAGCTTTTGTTTATAAAGCGACAAGGCAATATATTGTCCAGGGTTTCATAGGTTTTTGGCACTGTTTTTAAGTTTGGCGCTTTTTTTTTCCATGAAAAGTTTGGCTTTTTTTTATATAAATATTTTATTTTAAGTTTTGGCACACTGGAAAATATGAATTCCCGCACTGTGGAAATTGTGAAATGACATCTATTTTGGTGGAAATTAAACTCAGGAATTTGATGCCTCAATTTCCATGATTTTTTCCGCGCGTCATTTAATAAATTCTGCGCTTAAGTTGCCAAACATGGGAATTGTCAATTTCTCCTCTTAAATTCCCGACTTTTAGCCAAATTCCGAGTTATTTTCCCTCATCCAAACGGAGGGTTAGTGTTCCAAACGTACAACTTTAGAAGTTGATATGTATTGATGAAGTTGGCCAATGTTTTACCGATACAAGCGATATTGGGAGAGGGGGAATTCGAGTGTAGGACTCCGGCTGCAAGAGTAATTGCTCTTAATCCCTTGAAGTTAGCCGAGATTTAATTTTGTTACACGTTACACATAAACAAATTTTGTTACATTTAACTTTGTTTTCTTTTGTGGTCTCTATTTAACTCAATCTGGTTGAACAGATGGTCAACCTGCTGTCCCGTCTCTATATGCAAATGCCACCTTTCTGTTTGTATCTAATTTTATGGGTTTTCAACTTTTCAATAGCAAATGGATTTTACGTTTTTGATCGTGAGGCTGATCTTCTGTGTGGTCACGCCGACTCTTATCCTTTCTTCCAGTCCATCATCCATGCATAAATTAGGATATGCTTTGTTTTCTCTCTCTCTCTCTCTCTCTCTCTCTCTCTCCTCTCTCTCTCTCTCTCTCTCTCTCCCTATAGATTTTTCTTCTATGAGGATCACAAAGCACAACAATGTAATTGCTTGTGGTCCTAATGCTCCACAATTAACTCACACAAGAACAAAATGGGCCACAAAGGGTGACATTTCCATACTTCACTTAATCTGCAACTTGAAAATGACAATTTATGAAGAATCTTTGCTCTGATTTTGCTTTTTCATGCAACTGTTTGGAACAGAATTTGAGGCCCAGAATGTTAAAAAATCCAGGGCTCTAGCTACTAGACAGTTTACCCAGTTTGGGAGAAATGATGGGAGTAAGATAAATGATGAAAAAAGGAACAAATTTCAACCTCAACATTCATGCTTGCAAGTCTTACAAGAGCAGCTCATGAAGGGAAGCTACTAATCTGCATTTACGGTTTTCAACTCTCAAGTGCATAGGCAAATTGCGACCTCTATAGTTTGTTGGGTTCATAATGGTAAAAACAAATTGGCTTCAACTTGAAGTCAAAATACCTACTGATTTTTTCGTTTTCACTTCAAGTCTGCAAGCTACAATGCAAAAGGAACAATTTTGCTTTACAAAATTGAAAATTGTAGAAGCATATTTTCCATTATTTCGTTATCATGGTAGCGTTTGCGCTCTGACAAGTAAGGTTCATACACTCGTTTGCAATTCTAATGTTTTTTTTGTTGTTATTGTCAACATTTGACTTACGATCACATAGTAAGTTTTGGAAATGTAAATTTATTCTAAAAACTCGTTAAATTTCAAAAAACACTTGAAGCACATATTTTCATATTCCAACTAATATGACGATGTTTCATTTGTTCATGTCTAGAACACTCTCTTATTTATTCATAATAAATAAGAAATTGTCATAAGTTAATATCCAATTTGGATCCAATATGCATAATTTACATAATTTGGTCATTAAAGATCCGTTGAAAACCTTTCACATGGGCAATTTTGTCAAACAACTATTGTAGACATTTTATGCTAAAAAACGAACAGCATGTTTCAAAGAGTAAAAGGTGCAAAGGTCTAATGTTAGTGTTGTGCTAACTTGCAATCCAAATTCAACTAGTTAAGCAGCTGCATTTGAACGGCCTTTTTTCTTTTTCATGAATGGAGGATCAGAGATTCGAAATCGGGATGTATGTTAATATTAAGAAGAAAAATACCACTAAATTAAGAGCTAGTTAATAACGATATTTGAATTGCTTTGTATTAAAGGTGTGGTAAAAATTGTCCAAATATTAAAAGAACAACAATGAAAACCCTTTTTTATTTCTTCTAGCAAAAGAAACATCCGCTGTCATCTCTCCTTGGCTCCTCCAAATATTCTTAGACCAGTGGATTGTCAGTCTATTTATAAAAATTGTCCCTTACCTATCTATCTGAGCTTCAAATTCTATTTCTTTTTTTATATTTAAATATATAAGGGAGGAAGTGGAATAGCCACGAAAGATAGAATAGAAAAGAGAGAAATAAAGCCTGTGTATAGAGAGGATGACCACCACATCCTCTGTTTTCATTACATATATTCCACTGGTTAGATCTTAGTTTCTATCATTTTCTCATCTGGGTCCTCCTCGAATGGTAAACTTTTCATCCTTTTGATTTTTATTTTTGTTGATCTTCTTTTGAATTATTCTTCCATGGGTCTCTGATCCACGATAACTCTGCTCAATTTTCATTTGTTGGGGTTGTTAGGAAATCCGTTTTGTTGTTCTGATTGGTTCATGAAGGATCTGATGTTCCAAGATTGAATTTGACGTTTCCTAATTGTTGTTTCAATCAGAGCACTATCTGGGTTCTGTCTGAATTTTAGACAAGGTAATGGCTTTTCGTTTTTGCTTGCTTTTATCTACATTTGGATCTCTTTGTTTCGCATTTTCTATTCAATATCGAGTCTTTGGAGTTTGTCAAAGTATATGATTGTAGACCATCCATGTAATTTGACAATACAGGATTGGCTCCAATGATAAAGCTTTAGGCTTTCCTATTGAATTATGAAATTTGTTTGCTGGATTTTCAACTTATATTGAATTTTATATCTTTGCAAGTGTTGTTTTCAGTTGAATTGAATTGGGTTATTGAATTTATCATTGTTTGTTACAGAAAAGGATGGAACCAGATCTTGGCAAGCTCTTCATTGGCGGGATTTCCTGGGACACAGATGAGGAACGGCTCAAAGAATATTTCAGGAAATATGGAGAGGTGGTGGAGGCTGTGATCATGAGGGATCGTGCAACCGGTCGTGCTCGTGGCTTTGGTTTCGTTGTCTTTGCGGATCCTGCAGTTGCAGAAAGAGTCATTATGGATAAGCACATGATCGATTGCCGCACAGTGAGTATCACAACTATCTTTTTGCATCACGGACTTAGTTGGTATTTTTCCAATTCGTTATAGGATCTTAGTTGCAATACTGAAATATGTCGTATAACCTTCCTTTTTAAAAAAGGATCGTATTTCAAACATGACTTTGATTTCATATCTACAATTAAAGGAAAAAGCCATTCATGCACTCTCTCTATCTCTCTCTAGATTTGAATCAATCAATTCAAAATGCAATTTAGTTATTTGGAATCTGCATTGAAGGAAAGTTGACACTTAATGCTACACGAATTCAAGATGGCACCAATAGTTTTGCTCAGTTTTCTGTTTTCAATCTTAGGTGGAAGCAAAGAAGGCTGTTCCTAAGGAGGATCAGAACATTTTAAACAGAACTGGGGTTGCTCATGGTTCCCCTGGTCCTGGACGCACGAGAAAGATTTTTGTTGGAGGTTTAGCATCCACAGTCACTGAGAGTGACTTTAAGAAGTACTTTGATCAATTTGGTACAGTCACTGATGTTGTAGTAATGTATGATCACAACACCCAAAGGCCAAGAGGCTTCGGATTTATCACTTATGACTCGGAGGAGGCAGTTGACAGAGTTCTGCATAAAACATTTCATGAACTCAATGGTAAGATGGTTGAGGTCAAGAGGGCAGTCCCTAAGGAGCTATCTCCAGGGCCTACTCGGAGCCCTCTGATAGGATACAACTATAGTCCAGGTAGGACCAGTAGTTTGCTTAACGGTTATGCTCAGGGTTATAATATGAGCCCAATTGGAGGTTTCGGAATCAGTATGGATACTAGGTTCAATCCACTTTCTAGTGGTCGTAGCGGGTTGTCTCCATTTGGCACTACTGGATATGGACTGGGTATGAATTTAGAGCCAGGATTGAGCCCGACCTATGGAGGGAATTCCAACTTTGGCAATAGTCTAGGATATGCACGGATGTTGAGCCCCTATTATAATGCCAATTCAAACAGGTATACTACCCCTATTGGATATAATGCAGGTAATGGAAGGAGCAGTTCTGTAGTAAGCTCAACTAATCGGAATGTCTGGGCAAACAGTGGCATCAACAATAACATACACCCTGCCAGTACTGGGGGTTACTTGAGTTCTGAAAATGGGGGCTTTGGAGTTGCTATAGGAAATAATGATTCAAATTGGGGCCCTAATTCTTTTTCAACTCAAAGTAGAGGCAGTGCTTCTGGATATGCTAGTGCCGGTGGTTATGGTAGTGGAGAAAGCAGCTTTGGGTTGGGAGGAGGAGGATACGGAAGAAACAGTGGTACTGGGGTTGCCCCAACATCATCATTTCCCACATCAACTGTTGGTTATGAAGGGTCTTATGGGGACTTGTACCATAGTGATTCAGTTTATGGTGACTCAACTTGGCGCTCTACCAGTCCTGAGCTAGATGGTTCTAGCACATTTGGTTATGGCCTGGGTGATTTACCTGCAGACATCACAGCCAATGGTTCTGGGGGCTATATTGGAAGTTACAATGTTACCAGTAGACAACCAAATAGAGGTAACTATCACCTTACAACTGAATTTTGTAGAGAACTGGTTAATTCCAAATGAACAACTGTTTTTTTCTGGAATATGAAAGATTTGATTGCTTACTGTTTGCACAGTTACTTCTATTATTGATTTGAAGATATATCTTTATACATTGAGATTGATTCATATTTGAACGTTATGAATGTTTAAACCCAACATGGAATAATTGTACCACCCCCTTTGCTACCATCATACCAATTATATGGAATACATGGTATACATTATGTGCATATTTATGTCTGTAAGAGATAACTGTTCTTAGTTATGGTTCGAAAAGAACTCTGAAGCTTATTTTGAGTCACTCATATAATTTTGCATATGAGGTGCTGGTAGATGTCTAACCCTTCCAGCACCCTCCCAGTAACTTGTAATCATGCACATTGAAGTTGGCTGAAATTGTTTTGTTCACACATATAAACAAGTTTGAACATTTATGTTTACTTGTGAAATTAATTATATGCTGATAGTTAAATGTTATGTCATGGAATTCAGTTTTTTCTAGTATTTTTTTAAAATTTGATAAATATGTGCTTCAGGAATTGCTGCGTAGGTGATTTGTTGGGTATCAAGAGGTGATGGTAGGTGAAGTGAAACCAGTCAAACACTGAAGGATTGTGAATAGTATACGTCTCCCTTAGTAAGATTTTCAGCTTATAAGGAAACTGATCATATAGTTCTAACGGGGTTCCTTGATTTGAAGTATACATATCAAAGAGCAATTTCATGGAATTTTGTGTCAAAGGTTTGGGATTTGCTTTTTTCCTTGAAAGCTTAGGTTCCTTTCTCAAAGTTTGATTGAGGTGTAAAATCAGATTGCGGATATATACTCAGGAAGACGGTTTCAATTAATGTACCTTGCATCTCCAGCGAGACCAGCCAGCATTAGTCTGTCGAAAGAGATAGAACATTGATTTTTTTTATTTTATTTTTTTCATTTCATTTCTGTAAGCCTGGCAAAGTTGCTGGTTCTTATGTTTCTTCTGGGATTTGCTTTTCTCTCAGATTTTATGTAAGGTTTCTGATTTACTAGTGTGAAACAATAGAGGGATGCCCAACCGGGATCCCCGTCAAATAAGTTACTGAACATTTTGATTCATTGTTTTTAAGTAAAGTGTGTGTGAAGCGAGTGTCAGATATTTCTTTTGTGAAATTTTTTTTTTTTTTTTTTTTTTTTTTTTTTTTCTTTCGATTAGCTCAACCGGTAAGGGGTGCATTAAGAATTTTCTTTCTCTTCCTCCATTAGCATCACAAAAACACATTTAAGATGTTTAGTATAATGATTCCATGCGGGTTTGTAAATGATAGGGTATTTTTCAAAGTGTGTCAATGCGTAAGGGATGAGGATTTTACTAGGGTTCTTGGGTAGGTTAAAATATCATTCCCCTTATTTCTTCTCATTGCTGTTTTGTTTTCTCTTTTGGGTTCAATGCTGTGGAAAATGTAAACTTTAAATTTGCATGTGGCATTGAGACACGGCCTGGTGGCCTAAATTCAAGCTAAACTGTAGAGTCTCAATGAATCAATGATTGAGATCCTATTAAGGAGAGCTAATTTCTCCCAACACTCAGTTACCTTTTTCTTCTGCTTTATAGGATTCCTTTGTTTTTTTCAATGGGAAAACAAGAGAAAAGATGTCCTGCTCACAGCCCAAAATGTCAATAAAGTGGACAATCCCATTGCACCCCTCAAAACTCTTTTCTCATCCGTTCTAAGCTTCTTGACCTCAGCAGAGCGATCGTGAGGCGTGGATACGGCCACGTGTCGTGTAATGTGGAAGACTCTGGTGCACTGCCATGTACAGACAGAGCCGATACAAAAACAATGAATGAGAGAGGTGTTCTGTTCATACCTTTGGAACGAGGCTGCTTAAAGACAGTAAGGGGGTTTGTAGTTCAAGTGGTTAAGCGCATTTACCCCAACACTTAAGGTATCAGGTTCAATTTTCCCCAATATTGGATAAATAAAATAAATACAAAAATACATAAACGGATCCCTTAAATGCATACATAACTTGAGATGGAAGTAGAGAATACGAATCATAAAAGGCCCTCACCGTAAAAGGCTCAATGAATTCTTTCTGTCATGCATTACATTGCCAATCAGACAGAAAGTCACAAGTTGGACAATACACCCAAAAAGAATACGCGGTTAGGCAATCTTTTTAAGAGTTTATTATATTGCACAACAGTTCTCAAAATCAAGAGTATGCTTAACTTTTCAAAAAGGCCACTGATGCTGTTTTGATCCAGAAGATATGGCTACTTTCTTGTTATATAGTTTCTAAAGCTCAAAGAGTTCCTGCTCTAGCAATGGCAACAGACCAGAATCTCAAAGATCTCCAATGGGCTCTGGAAGCCATCAAATCAGAAAGCCTCAACCTACACAACATTTCCTTCTACCTTTCTCAGCCCACTTCTGGCTGCTACCAGGAAACAGAAAGCTCCATCAACATAAACATTTCAAAAGACAGCCTCTCTTACTTTTCACAGTTCCTCACAGTTTTGGGAACAGCCAAAACCAACCAGCTGCTTCTCAGAAACTTGGAGTTCCACCAGATTGAATGGGAACTACAACAACTGCGCAATCTTGCTGTGTTGCTTGAGAGTTGTTCAAACATCAAGCAAGTTGTGTTCAAGAGAAACAGATTTGACAAACAATGCCTGTCAGAGTTGTCTGAGATTCTGAAGAGAAATAGAGTGATCAAAGAGATAATGTTTTCTGAATCGGCTATTGGGTCTGCTGGAGCTGGATTTCTTGCTTCTGCTCTTAAGGTGAATGAGAGCTTGGAGGAGCTACAGATATGGGAAGACTCCATTGGGTCAAAAGGCGCAGAAGAGCTCTCAAAGATGATTGAAGTGAACTCAACACTGAAGCTGTTGACAATATTTGACTCGTATTCGATCACTGCAACTCCACTTATTTCTGCAGTGTTAGCAAGGAATAGGACTATGGAAGTCCATGTTTGGAGTGGAGAAAATGGAGAAAGAAGTTCTAAGGTGGTTGAGTTTCTACCTGAGAATAGCACACTTCGAATTTACAGGCTCGACCTTTCAGGCGCATGCCGGGTTGCCTGTGCTCTCGGGTGGAACTCAACTGTCAAGTCACTCGACATGACTGGTGTCCGGCTGAAATCAAGATGGGCTAAGGAGTTTCGATGGGTTTTGGAACAGAATCACAGCCTCAAAGAGGTAAACTTGTCCAAAACTTGCCTGAAAGATAAAGGAGTTGTGTATGTAGCAGCTGGACTCTTCAAGAATCAGAGTTTGGAGAGCTTGTATTTGGATGGAAATGCTTTCGGAGGTATAGGAGTTGAACATTTACTCTGTCCTCTGAGCAGGTTCTCTGCCCTGCAGTATCAAGCAAACATTACTTTAAAATCTGTCACATTTGGAGGTGGAAGAACCAAGATTGGAAGGGAGGGACTTGCAGCCATTTTACTGATGCTGACGACCAACGAAAGTTTGACTCGGTTAGGGATATATGATGATGAGAGTTTAAGATCAGATGACTTTGTTAAACTCTTCAAAAGTTTGGAGAAGAATGCTGCCTTGAGACACTTATCTTTACAGGGCTGCAAGGGTGTTCAAGGAGAGTTGGTACTGCAGGCAATCATGGAGACATTACAGGTAAATCCTTGGATTGAAAATATTGATCTTGCAAGAACACCACTGCAAAACTCAGGAAAGACCGACGGCATTTATCAAAGATTAGGCCAGAATGGGAGGCCTGAACCAGAAATGGATTTGCTTAAGGACATGCCACTTACAGTACCCAAGAGTTGTAGAGCATTTTTCTGTGGACAAGAATATGCAGGTAACTCTGAAGTTAAAGTATCTAACTTTTGTTTGTAAATTTTGATTGTCTGAAGCACATGTTGTCTCCTAAAATGTTTTCGGATTTCGAGTTGCAGGTAAGTCTACATTGTGCAACTCCATATTGCAGAGTTTCTCTTCTTCAAAGATTCCCTATGTGGACCAGGTAAGATCTCTAGTGAACCCAGTTGAGCAAGCTGTTAGAACAGTTGGGATGAAGATTAAAACTTTCAAAGATGAGGACACAAAGATTTCAATATGGAATCTTGCTGGTCAGCATGAATTCTATTCTCTCCATGATCTCATGTTCCCAGGGCATGGTAGTGCATCATTCTTTGTCATCATATCCAGTTTATTTAGGAAACCAAACAACAGAGAACCAAAGAACCCAATGGAGATAGAAGAGGACCTTCAGTATTGGCTCAGGTTCATAGTCTCAAATTCAAGAAGGGCTGTTCAGCAATGCATGCTACCAAATGTAACAGTCGTACTCACGCACTATGACAAAATCAATCAGCCATCACAAAACTTGCAGGTTGCAGTTAACTCAATTCAGAGATTGCGAGACAAGTTCCAGGGATTCGTTGACTTCTACCCAACAGTGTTCACAGTTGATGCAAGATCATCAGCATCAGTGAGTAAACTCACTCATCACCTTCTAAAGACAAGCAAGACAGTTCTTCAAAGAGTCCCAAGAATCTATCAGCTTTGCAATGATCTGACACAAATATTATCAGATTGGAGATCAGAGAACTACAACAAGCCAGCTATGCAGTGGAAGGAGTTTAATGAGCTATGCCAAGTCAAGGTTCCATCCTTAAGAATTCGATCGAGACATGACAACAAAGAGAAGGTGGAAATGAGGCGGCGGGTTGTTGCTACTTGTCTTCATCACATAGGAGAGGTAATTTATTTTGATGAACTGGGGTTTCTAATCTTAGATTGTGAGTGGTTCTGTGGTGAGGTGCTTGGCCAACTAATAAGACTGGATGCAAGAAATCAAAGCTCCACAGAGAATAATGGATTCATCAGCAAGAAAGATTTGGAGAAGATTCTAAGAGGAAGCTTACAGAGTCCGATTCCTGGAATGGGTTCAAAGGTATTTGAGAACTTAGAGGGCAGTGACCTTGTGAGAATGATGCTTAAACTAGAATTATGCTATGAACAAGACCCATCAGATCCTAAATCCTTGCTGTTGATCCCCTCAATTCTCGAAGAAGGAAGAGGAAAGCCACAAAGATGGCAATTAAGCAGACCTGAGTGCCTTTATGCAGGGAGGCATCTTGAATGTGATGATTCAAGCCACATGTTCCTCACACCAGGCTTCTTTCCTAGATTACAGGCAAGAGTTTCCCCAATCTTCTTTGTTACTTGCTCCTCAAGTTCGGTTTATTTTCATCTTTCGATTATTTTAGATTTTATGAGTGGCATTATCCTAAAGTAACCTAAGCACAAATTGATAAGATAACCTAGCTATCTGCTTTGAATATCTCAACTTTAATACCAAAATTGTCATATGCCTCATGAATCATGTGAATTGCTAAATACTGTATACAATATTGCCAAGAACTGAATTGGAGTCAAACGTTAAGGCAAAGCTTTACTCTAGTTTCAAATAATGCACAGATGCATGTGCATTCGTGTGTTTATCACGAACAGCAGTGCAGGTTCATGTATCTTGGGGCTAGCAATTCCATGGCTACAATGTGAAGAACATTCCACACAGTTTATTTGGTTCTGTCTATGTTCTTATCAAACTTCATCTGTTTGAAAACCCAGGTGCATCTGCATAACAGAATCATGGCCTTGAAGAACCAACATGGAGCGACTTACAGTCTTGAGAAGTACCTAATCTCCATAAATATAAATGGAATCTATATCAGAGTAGAATTGGGAGGACAGCTGGGTTACTATATTGATGTCCTCGCATGCTCTACCAAGAACCTGACAGAAACCCTTAGGCTCATCCAGCAGCTTATAATACCAGCAATTCATAGCCTCTGCCATGGTATCACCTTGACTGAAAATGTGATAAGACCAGAATGTGTGCAAAATCTCACACCTCCCAGATACAGGAAAACACAATTTGCTTCATTGCAACAATTAAAACAGGCACTACTTTCTGTTCCTGCGGACAGCATGTATGATTACCAGCATACCTGGGATCCAATCTCCGACTCTGGAAGGCAAATCCTAAGAGCTGGTTTTGATTTGGCCCGAGACCTCCTATCAGATGATGACTTCCGTGAAGTACTGCACCGGAGATATCATGACCTATACAACCTTGCTCAGGAACTGCAAATCCCACCTGAGAATGACCCGGATGGACCAGAGAATGCTTTATCAACAAGTGACCAGCCTGACAAAGTTGATCCAACTTTTGGTGGAATTGCCAAAGGGGTTGAAGCAGTTTTGCAGAGACTGAAGATCATAGAGCAAGAAATCAGAGACCTGAAACAGGAGATCCAGGGGCTGAGATATTATGAGCATAGACTCCTTTCTGAGCTTCATCGCAAAGTCAATTACCTTGTGACATACAATGTCCAAATTGAAGAGAGGAAAGTACCGAATATGTTCTACTTTGTTAGAACAGAAAACTACTCAAGGAGATTGGTCACCACCATGATTCCTGGCATGAATGCTCTTCGACTGCACATGTTATGTGAATTTCGACGAGAAATGCATGTTGTTGAAGATCAGGTAGGGTGTGAAATGATGCAGGTTGATAACAGGACCGTGAAGTCTTTGGCACCATACACCACAAAGTTCATGAAACTGCTAACATTTGCTCTCAAGATAGGAGCCCATCTAGCCGTTGGCATGGGTGAAATGATACCTGATTTAAGCAGGGAAGTTGCCCACCTGGCTGATTCTTCCCTCCTAATTGGAGCAGCAGGGGCAGTTGCTGCTGGTGCTGTTGGGGCTGCAGCAATTGGGCGTGCAGAGGGAAGGAACAGAAGTAGGGCTGCAGAAAGCTCAAGAGATATCCAGCAAGATCAAAGAACAGCACAACAATGGGTTCTGGATTTCCTAAGGGACCGGAGATGCTCAACTGGAAAGGATATAGCAGAGAAGTTTGGTTTATGGAGAGTGAGGTACAGAGATGATGGTCAGATTGCATGGATCTGTAGGAGGCATATTAACCTCAGAGCACATGAAATAATTGAAGTGCCACTTTGAAAAACTTATGTTTACGATAAATAAAAGTCATTTTCCCTTTGATGTCTTCTAGATAAAAAGTCATTTTCCCCTTCAATGTTCAGACTTTTGAATCTTGCTTTGCAGTATGGTCTTTTGCTACTAAAGTTTATATAGCAAGTATTAACTGACAGAATGGTGTTTTTGGCTTTCTTAGACTATGTTGTCTAATTAGTTTTTGGCTTTCTTAGACTATGTTGTCTAATTATACTTAACCTGATATTAACGTAATTAAACCTATAATTTTCACCTACATTATAATGGGCACAAAAATATCAACTTATAGACTTATCAATTAAGTGCGGATTAACTAAATTTGTCCAAGTCATATTGATGGAGATGGATAAGATCTGGTGGATTTTTTTGTTGTTGCCTTTTTTAGAGTAGATCTGGTGGATTCTGAACAAATCATGTCAATGTTTTGGCCTTACAAACTTTCTGCTGTTAATCACCATGTGAATGTGGGATCGTAATATCAGTCATGATTATAGACATCATGGCCCAAAATAGTTCGATGGAATTTGATTATCACAATAATTAAAGGTTCAAATAAAAAAGCAGCTACAAAGAGGAAAGATGTCATGGTAGTTCATATATACTAATAGCAAGTTGGTGATAGAACAAAGCTCGAAACAGGTACAAGTCAAGATTTCCTGTCATCTAAAGCACCTCGACATACAAAGGGAAACAACACAATACATAGAACATTATTACACTTCATTACTAGTTATCTAAAAATCTAAAGTCACCTGTGTCTTCCTCTGAACCAGTGGAACAAAAGTTCAGAAGAAAGCCCTACTCCCATAAAACACACGGGAACCGCTGTTCTTCGGTGTCTGCATTTTCTGATCAGAGCTCGAATTTTCTGAACTGGTTGGTGATTCAAGGTCCAAAGGAAGCTTCATTTTTGCCAAAGACTCGGTAAATTGCTGCATGCTTTTCATGTACATGTCTACAAAATCCTGCTGCACCACCTGCTGCTCAGGAACGGTGACAGTGACAGTAGGTTTTGCAAATGCATCACTTGGCACCCCATTAGACGAATCAGTCTCACCATCTTTATCCACTTTTTTCTCTCCTGGGGCCGATATTTGTTCCTGGTTTGGAGATTCTGAAGCTGATGGAGCATCATACGACTCTGAGCTAGCCTGGACTGAAGGAGATGAAGCACCATTAGTTGACACACTGCTTGGGGGAGAATCAAGCTTTGGAACCTGGATAGACTCAAAAGCAGTGGTCGAGAAGCTTTCTATAGCATGAACATCCACTTCTGAACTAAGCTGATTTTCAGTTTCAGCAGTGACCAAGCTCTCAGAGCTGTGAGACTCAAATTCCGAAGATGGGATCTTAATATACTCTGAAACCATTCTCTGGTCCTCATTGTCAATGTTCGGATCTGGGAACTCTAACTTATCTAATTCACAAGGAAGCTCAGCTATCTCTGAGTCCTGCACAATAGGATTTGAGGCCAGAGGCATTACGTCTGGTGAATCTCCAGCATATGAGAGAGACAACTGGACAAACCCTGCTGGGGAATGAAACAGATCAGTTGAAGAAAGAGAGAACTCTTTCTCTAACTTCCCATCCTTGATGAGGACATCTGACAAAGGAACCAAAGCAAACCCCAGCAACTGATCTTCAAGATAATTCTTCACCCTACTCAGCATCCAAATCTCGCATTTGAGGGAGGAATCAACAGTCCGAACATTAAGCTGGACATTGTCATTGAAAACTGGATTTCTACCACCACCATTAATGGTTTTGGTGGAGACTGTGTTTTCTGGATCACTTGTCAGGCATAGCTTAGCATAGACATCTTGCTTGTGGTATATGCAGATGTTGTGGATGTCCCTGGCCTGATGAACGTAAACCTCAAGAACACCAATGGAGTTCTCTGAGTTACAAACCATGGCTTCCTTTCTATTGGCATCAGTTCCATTGGATGAAGGCCCAGCGGTACGGATGAAGAAGTTGGATTTCTGCTTCTCGGGCTCAGCAACAACAGAGCCTTTGAATGGAGACACAACAGATTGAGGGGAAGCCATGAAAACACCCAGGAAAGGAACCTGAAAAAGCACAACAAATATCTTTCTGAAAAAACTCAAGTAACTCCAATTTAAGACTCTAAGTCAGCAAGTTTTAACTTTAGACTCCAGATAGTTAATTCCAAAGACCCGGCTCAGGGATTAAGCAAAATTGAGGACAAACTTATATATTATAACAAAAAGCCAATCCCAAAATCGAAAACCCTAAAGCACAAATTAGAAATTTGGTTAAACCCTAGGCCTCAAGTCCAAGCCAAATCGTGACCTTCTACGATACGGGCCACCAGACCCACAAATCTAAATCTCAGAATGGCCTGAAACTAACACAAATTATCAAAATTTAGAATGCAGACGCCAAACATCACAATAATGAACTTTCAGAAAAACCTACAAAACCCAAACCAAAAATTAAGCAACACCAGATACTGAAGAATACAGAAACCCAAAACTTCGGCCTGATATAGAAGTAGACACAGATTTCTTGTAAATCGGAGACAAAAAAACCCACGTTAACAAATTCAAGGCCCAGACACCGACCCTTACCTTGAAATTAAGCAAAGCTAACTCAGAAGAACTGGTGTACTAACACATAATTATCGATGAAACTACGTCGTAACCAAGAAATCAACAAAAAACAGACAAAACCCAGAACTGAGAAGAAACCCACAAAAACAAAACCAAGACTGAGCTGAGATGAGGATGAGTGAAATTCTCAAAACCCAGAAGCCAAAACCCCCAAATAAACACTTCACTAGTGAGCTTCTCCAAAACCCACAACCCCAAAACTTAAAAACAAGCCAGCCCTTTAACAATAATGCAAGATATTTACAGAGTCCAATAAAGATACCTACTTTTCTACGGAAAAACACCACCACCGGAATCCAAGGGAGTGAAACAGGGAAAGGAAGCACAGTGACCCAGATCGTGCCACAGGATTCTAAAATCAAACCCTTTAAAATTCCACCTTTGAAACCTTCAAAAAGCCACATAGAATTAACCAATTGCTATAAAAATAAAATAAAAAGTATCTTGACAATATAATAAAGAAAAGCTGAGATGGGTTTGTTTGTTATCTTTTCCCCTTACCTTTGGCTCTTTAGCTCCAAAGTCAAACGGATAGCTTGAAATCTGTGGCTCCAATTGACGATCCGTCCAAGACTCAGTTCATCAATCGAGACGATACTGTTGTTGCTCCTGCTAAAGAAGCAAACTTTGTGAAGCTGCTAGTACAAAGTAAAAGAGGACAAAGAAGGAAGAATAATAATCTAATGGAAAATTCAGCTGTGGGTTGAAGCTTGTCGGAAAGCCTCTGTAGTTGTGTACTGCACGAGTATATATATATAAATATCTTTTCCAGTACATTTTTTTTTCTTACTTTTTTCCTTTTTCACTTTGAGATTTTTATTGTGTTTTTGTTTTTTTTAATGATCCAAAGGGGATGGGCTTGCAGAAACACCGTCCCACGCGTAGGTCATAGGCAGACCAATCAACGAAGATTTGAGTGCGCCTGTTGGTGGGACATGAAACAGATGACTTGTCTACTGTGCGCTCTCTTTTTGTGGTGATTTATGTCAGTCTCCGGATGCTTGCTGTTTGATGTGTATCTCTTTTGCTTTCCTCTTTTGTACTGAAAATGAAAGTTAATTATTCATTTGGGAATTTTATTGCCCATCAAGCTTTAGCTAGTGACAACAATAGGTGAGATGAAATAAAAAAATTGCATTTTATACGTTATTTTTTTAGGACAATGATTTTATTAATCCAAAATTGTTCTTAAATTACTAACAAAATCAAACACATAGACCAAATTGAGCAAAATCAAATCACATTGACTAAAAATTAAAGGAAAATACTTCCAATAATAGTGTGAGATGTGTTCATAGGTTTTTTTTGTTGTTGGTATTTTAGATGAATTATTTTTGCATATATATCAAACTGTAATTCACATGAAAGATGAGTATCTCTTTACGGGTAAGGAGGCAACTAGTATCCAAAATTAAATGAAGGCAAAACACATGATAAAAAAAAATGCATTTAATCTAAAATCCTCATCCTCATACGTTTAGAGCATGTTTAGATTAAAAAAAAAAAATAAATACATGGATATCGCACTCCTCCCAACACCATATTAAAAAATAATAATGCAATGAGCTTGCAACTCAAGTTGTTAAGAGCATTTACTCATGTATCTGATGTCCTAGGTTTGATTTCCTCCCTCCCCTAATATCGCTTGTATCTAAAACAAAAGGCAACATTAAGTCATCCAGAGGATTGTCGCAACCAAATACTATTATCTTGCATTTAAAGGTGGAAATTACTAAGGAATTAAAAAATTGATGAAATTCAAAATGATAGAAACTAATGTTCTAGTATTTGTAAACTTTATTTTTGGGTTTTTAAAAGTTTAAGGGGAGGGGAGGCTATCTCATCCTAAGACCAGGGCATACCAAGACCTCTTTGAGGACTTACAAAAAGGATCTTAGCCCCTTTTTAGGTTGTTACAAATTACCTCCTTTTGTGAACTTTATTGTTTGGCTACCCTAAAAGCATAATGGGATTTAAACAAGAAATATAACGTTTATCTTTTGGTAGACATGTTGGTGATGATGGTGTACATGGTTTTCATTTATTAAAATTCTACTATTTCAATTGAATTTAAAGTTGTAATTTATGACCTTCAAATTCTAAATTTTTTTCACATAAAATTTCTAAATTTCGTTATTTATGAATCGAAACAAGAGAATTCATGTTTGTTAATTTATAAACTCTCACTTTTATTCAAATTTCATGTTTATTTATCTTCTCCAAATGAAGGGTTACCGAAAATACTAAATTGAGTTTCTTTATTGTATCTACTAGAAATTCATGAACTTGAATAATCTAGAAGCGTGGCTTGAATATTGGATCAACTGAAGGCCTATACACACAACTATGCTGCAGAAAGGGCTCAATAAAAAGACAAAAACAAGGGAAAGGAATACGTGGAAGAAAGAACATCCTCCGATTGCAAGTAAACAAATACACGTGTTGTGAATCGAGGGGCTTGATTAGTATTGACACAACATTAGTCCCACCTTTTTATTGGATAATGAAATAAACAAAAACTAAAAAATGGAAAGCCTTGTTCTTGTGATCTTGAGCATTATAAAATTGTTTAATTTCTCTCATGAGCCATCCACAATGATAAAAGAAAAAAATAAAAAGAGAAAAAGCTGAGCAAAAAGCCTCCACTAAATGAATAGAGCATCAACTTTTTCAATTTTTGTTTGGATAATGAGAAAATCTCTTATAACACATTATTTTATTAAATATAAGTTCTTGACGATAACGCAAATTATTGTTGAAGAACACACACAATCTCACATCAGAAACTTAACAAAATAAAAAATCTCATATAATGAATAGCTCAACTCCTAATAACATCGATATCTTTTGTATAAAAAACCTCACACGTACTAAACAGATAGTTAAGTTAGAGACAATATCAATATTGCTAGTGGTGGGCCGAAAATCCGTCCATCTCATATATAAATTTTAAATTTAAAGTCTTTTTGTCTCTTACATTTTCAAATTCAAGATATTTGAGTTTATAATTCATTTCATGTTCACTTTCACTGTAACCGACATTCTTTTGCTGGTCTATTTCTAAAATCTCCCTTTGGTTTAATGGGCCATATAGGCCATAGCATGCCTCTCCTACGTCTTATATTTTTTTTTGGGTAACGGCTTCTCATTGGTCTTTTTGTTGCATTATTCAAACGAAAGTTCCCATTCCAAAGCCAAAACGGCAAAAATCAGTGACATAATAGGGTGGCCTCGTTTGATATAATTTTTTTTCAATTCAAGAATTCTTTTGATGGGGTCACCAAGTCACAACTATTCAATGATCCTTAACCATCTCTTTGACAATATACAATCCATCCAAAGCAGACCTTTGAAGAAAAACAATACAATTGCCTACTAGACCTCTCCTTTTCCAATTTTTTTTTTCCTCAAGGGTGACGTTTGGACAGAAAAAAAGAAGTCTCCTCTTGATAAAGATGGAAGAAAACGCATCTATCTTCTCCCTCATTGAGTCATTTGTCTTTTTCTTTGCCTTTAATTTTTATTTTATTTTCAGAGTGATGTGGATGGATGAGACTGAGACCCATTTGGATTATTATTTCGTGAACTAAAGTGTTGGTCGTTTGTCATTACTCATATGCTCAAATAGTGTCTTTGGCTTTTGGGAGTATGCAATGCCGTAATTGACGTATGAGGCTTTTGAAATGTGTTCTCATACAAACAATGCTAAAGATGCCAAAGTACTACCCTCATACACTAAACTAATCTTCAACTAATCCCACCACTAAATTAGCTTTTCTGTCGACAAATTGGTGATTTCAAATTTGATTTTTGTTAGGTATGATTATCGAGATTTATAATAGAGTGATACTTTTATCATCCTCTTCTTACGCATTAATTTCATCTACTTTTTTTCTTCATGTTCAGTATTAGCTAGAGCATCTGCAACCGTATTAGTGAGACTATCCTTAGTTACATACCAGTGGCATTGCTCAAGACATGGCTTGAGTATAAAGACTATACAATTTTTATTTTTATTTTATAGCTATCTCTTTGTAATTAAAAATGATTAAATTTTTTTTTACCAAAATGTGACTATTTATTTTCAGACTATGTCTAGATAAAACATGGGATGAGTAGATGGTGGAAATAGTATTACTCAATTTGATATAAAGATTCCTTTGCTATGAGGAGAAAGAAAAGGTAAACTGTTGAACTCTTCCCGTTGGTTTAAAAGCCTTTAACTCGCTTGCCTCCACTAGTAACCAAACAAGCTGTAGTTTTCGTATGCAAATTGAGTTGCATTGCATGACACTGACCAAAATTGAGTTTTGACACTTTTTACAGTGCTAACAAAAATTGAGGCCCATCCTTATGTGCTTTGTCAGGTGCTTCTTCTTGTCTTCGAATAAATTAATGTCAGCAAATCTTGACTCTTCAAGAGATCAAATCCAATAATATAAGAATATATATATATATATATATATCTTTTTGAGGGATTCTTCAAATATTTATTTGAGGAACACCTTTAAAGGGCTCATTTTGTATTGTATTTCATTAATTCAAACTATCTATTTTGTAGATATTCATTCAAAGATCATCTCTACAAAAAATCACATGAATCCAATATCATTTAACCACTCAATTGAATTATTGAAATTTTAGTACTTTCTTAAAGCACTATGTTTATTAATTTCGTATGACATAATTGGATATCGAAATGGTTTTTAACTTGTCCTAATTTTTTGCAAGGATGATCTATGAATATAAACTTAAAAAATAGATGATTCGGATCGTTGAAAAAAAAATTGATAAAAAACTCTAAAGGGTGTCTTTTATTTAAAAGATCCTCAATGAAAGGAGCGTACTCTCTCTCTCTCTCTCTCTATATATATATATATATAGATGTAGATAAGTTAATCAATAAAAGATGGAGATAGAGATGTTGAAATTTGGGGAAAACTGGTGGTGGCCTTTTATCACAGTTAGGTGTGCATATTTATTTTAATGGCAGTCTCTTTGACTTTTGAGTTCACGTGGCACAGGTTCTTCTTCGACTCACCTAATCCCACACATTCCTTCCTAATTGAGTATATAATTTGTACAGACATAACCATTTCATTAAACAAGTTGCACAACATTCCCGTCTATCTTCTCGTCTTGCAGCAGCACACCACGCATGCAAATTGCATTTACCTTATATTCAAATAAACTATCATTTCGAAAGTTCAGTTTGGATATCACCACTCACGCAAATAAGGCTTGGTTTAAGACCTAGTGCTGCACTAATGGCTCGACTTTTTTGTTGTTGTTATTGTATTGGCGGCGTTTTCCTAAGCCCACCTCGCAATCTGCAGAAAAGGTTAAAAAAACAACAAAAACAGAAAAAGTAGCAATTGCAAATGCTTAGTTATATCCGTTTATATTATGATACATTAACGTACCTACATGAAATGCAAACGCCATGACCGTTGGGAATGATACTAAAATAAAATAAATTGGAATTGGTTACATACATAAATTGGAAGGGTCTCTGCTTATGTTAGTAATGGAATTTTGTTAGTATGGTACCCTTACATACATAAATAGGGAGTAAGTACCCAATTTAGAGATTGTGTGATCAAGCGCTTGCAGAAGGGAGAAGACTTTTGTGTTGTTTATATGGCTACACGGGTTAGAGTTTTTAGTTGTTTATGCAATTAAGTTCTAACAACATCACCTTAAACATGTTTTTCAGTTTTGTGCTTACTCATATTCTAGTATGGCTTGGGGTTTGATTTTTACACGAGATAGTAACTAGTTGTTTATAGTTTTCTACGATATGATTTTTTTGTCACGGTTAGGAAAGGGAGGGAGGTTTTTTTTACATACATTGTCAATGTACAAAATCACCAACCAAACCCACCTTCCCCTTTCACATTTTCACAAAATAAAAAAAGGGCTCTTAGATATGGGTCCAATTTTAGCAATGCAGTTTGATTGCAGGACAGTAATTGTTACCTATTAATTCCAGTCCTAAAGCCCAGTCGTGTAGCCACCTAAGCAAATAGTGTGCCCACCAATTGTAATGTTTTTACAGCTCCTGCCATTATATACAAACGGAAAGTAAATGAGGTAGATCCAAATAGCATATCTAGCAGCCCCCACATTGCAGAAATCCCAAAAGTCATGCTCTGTCTTTGCCAATTTTTACTGATTTTTTGGTTCCTTAACAGGAAAATTTTTGGGTTCCTACTTATGATTCACTATTACATATGGAATAACCCGAATTTTTTGGATTATCATCAGTTGTGGTGTCAGTTGAAGTTCCTGTATCCCAGGTAAATTCTCTCATTCAGCGTACGTTCATACTTTTCTGTTACGGTTTGTTCCTGATGCTTTCCGAGAGTCTATTTGTTGTTGCTTTCCTCAATCATTGGTGAATGGTTTTGCTGCAAATTTGTTTTGGCATATCCAACTTTATTTATGGCTTATAAATCTCTAATAGACAAATATCATAACTAGGTTTTCCTTAACTAGAACTCGTTGTGTAGGTAATCTTTGAAACTGTACCTATGCTATAGGTATGTTGCAAAACATGAACATCACATCCCACGAAATATATTACATAGAGCTTATGAAAATGGGGAAGTTAATGTTAATGGTGGTGTTGTCACTAATTTGTGTTGTTGTGATTTTGGGTGGTGCCAGTGGCCAAAGTGCGAGCAACGTACGGGCCACATCGCATAGCTACAACCCAGAGCAGATAAATTGGGATTTGAATGCAATAGGGGTTTATTGCTCCACTATATCCAACTTTATTTGCTGGCTTATGAATCTCTAATAGACAAATATCATAACTGGGTTTTCCTCAACTAGAACCTGTTGTATTGATAATCTCTGAAACTATACCTATGCTATAGTTTCTCTACCACAATCTGTCAATGGTAAGAACTATCACTTCGTGACTTGATATGACGCTTCACATAGAACCTAACCGACAGGTAACCTCTTGAGTGTGTACCTATGGCACAGGTAACCATTTGGCATATACTTGTGATATAGGTACAGTGTCGGCGATTACTTATACGACAGGAGGTTACCTATACGATAGGTGTTGTAGGTACATAATTGATAGTGGAAGATATAATTTTTGCGATTGTTTCTGTTATTGTCGCCTGAGGATTGTTTAACGTGATTTTTATGATTTTGCTGTTTTTAAGCTTACCTGATTTATATCTTAAGGGCAAAATTGGAAGCACAACATAAATTAAAAAAATTAAGAAAATAAAATATAAACCTCAGAAATAAAAAAAAAAGGTAATTAATCCTACGTGACACAGAAGTTAGATGACTTGAATTACTAACAACAAGCGTGTGGATTGCACCCAAATTCTGTCATAAGTTACCATTGCAATTCAAATTTATTATTATTTTTTTTAATAAAAAAAATTCTAATAGTAACTTTAAATCAACGATCTAGATTAAATCTAAGCTATTTTAACTTTAAAAAAAAGATCCAACGGCTGAAATTTAAATCCAACGGTCAAAATAATATTTTAAATTAATCTAGATCAGATCCAACCCTAAAACTCACTCCAAACTCTATAAATACTCATCCATTTCTCAAATAATCTACCAAAAATATTTTATCTATTTCTCAATTTATTTTTTCTTTGCCAATCTTATCAATCTCCTTTCATTCTTGTTGAAGATGTCCACAAAATCTCAAAGAAGTGTGAATTGGAGGCCCGAAGAAGATGAGGCATTGTGCAGAGGGTGGGTTTCTGTTAGTGATGATGTGGCTATTGGCACCAATCTAGCAAGCGACACATTTTGGAAGCGTGTATATAAAAAGTTTCTGGAAAATGGTCCGGGCATTAGTGGACTTGAGCAACGAACATACAAGATGAAATTATGCACAGGGTCAACAGTTTGCTGTTAATTCTGAAGACAACTCATGGGACTATTATCCAAGCCCCTACGATGGTGGTTATTAGTTTATTCCGATTGGATTTCATGTATGGTGAATTTGAAGTATTATGTGTTTTTTTTTAGAATTATGTTGTGTGTTTTCTTTTGGAATAAAATTATATTTGTGGAATTTCAATTTTTTTTGGTCAAATTGTTCTAAAAAAAAATAATTATGAAGTTATTTAAAAAGATTGAATGAAGAAAAGTTATCCATAAAAAAATAAAAATAAAAATAAACTTCAACCATTCTTAAACAATTTAATAAAGTTGCATACATAAAATTTGAGTCCAAAGGGTTGGGAGAAAAAACGATTTGAGTCCGGATAAAAACCAAATAGTTACTTTTTGAAGGGAGAAAATTTGGGTTTAACCCCTCATAGATTGAAGAAAGCCTTACTGACTGAAGACTCTTCAATTGAGATGGGCCAAAGACTTGCTAGCGAAGGATAGCATCCAACAATGTTTTGTCTCACCGGTCCTCAAATGCCAGAATTTGCATATAAATACACTTTGTTCGGAAAATAAAATGCATTTTTCTAGTTACTTCCCGGTCATTACAAAACATGTATTTCCTATTTTCTGGAAAAATAAGCGTCACCACATATGAAGTGTTTTTTCCTATTAATTCCCACACGCCGCTTCAAATGGCAAATACCCACTAGCTAAGCCCAAATGTTTCATTGTTAAAGAAGCCCAAGCCTTTTCACTTTTTCTTTGGGTTACAGAAGCCCAAGACTTTCCCAGTCATTTTAAGGGGCGCGCCTGAGCGGTCGTGACAGCTACCGCGAGTCTGACTAATTATCAGCTCCAACTTTTGCTCCACCGGCCATAACGGCTACTTATTTGAACTATCTGAAATATTGACTAATTTGTCCTTTAAATTAAGCTTTGTTTAAAAGTTTCTTATGTGTAGATGAATGTACAAATGTAATTTTATATACATGGGCACATCATAAAATATATTCGTAATTATAGCAACCCTCAATCAATAAATAAATTCGTGGAATAATACTTGGCCTCTGAAATGAAGACTGAAATGAAGATGTGACTCAATTGCGAATGTAGATATGTCAAAACAATTAAAAATTAATTTGAAAATCTTAGACTGAGGTGGTCAAATGGGACTCTTGCCTCTTGGTGTTACTTTTCATATCCAAATTCGTGCATCTAAACCAAAAACATAAATACAAGTAGATGACTACATGAGGAGAGGGTTTTCCGTCTACAAGTCAATGTTCTTTTCTATTGGATTAGACCCGTTAGCTTGATGATATGAATTGAAATATTTTAAGTAATTTATATTTGTGCATGCAACTATTCAAATGTTACGTCAATGCATTGAAAAGAAAATTAACATTAAGTTAAGAGCTAGTTAATAAGGAACAAAAATTAAAATCACCTCTCAGAGGGGTAAGATAGTCAGTTCAGAACTAATCCAAATTGAATCACATGAAGTTTTAAAAATCCTAATCAAATATAAATCATTTCTCTCTTTCTCAACGGTCATCATCCTCCTTATCCGCATAAAGTAGCAACTCTCTTCCCTCTCTCCTTCAAACATTTTCAAATTCAAATTCTTTACAGCGCTTTCTCTCTCTCTCTCTCTCTCTCTCTCTTGCTCGCTTGATTCATCGATCTCAGAACAATGAGGACCAAGAGCAGCAACCCAGCAAGCACAAGCGAGTCTCGGTTCTTAGGAAACATTTCCACTTCATCGCTTCGAAACCTCCTTCCCAGATCCATTTCCACAAAGCCCAGCAAATCCATTTTCAGCTCTCGAAACCCTTCCTCTAATGCCGAAAATACCCCTCCCCTCGATCCTAACGTCCAGACCAAGTACGTAGACTACGACTCTGCTTCGGCAACCAAGCCAGTGCTTTCCGATTCATCCAAATCTCGGATCACCGAGGTCGCCCCATCGGACGGCCAGAAACAACCCTCCGCTACTCTCGACCCACCGGTGAAGGTATTTTTGAAATTTTGTTGATATTTCTTGTCCAATATAGTATAGCCTTAACTTAGTATTTCGATATTTGTAATGTGGATAATAATTATGAATTAGAAATTTACTTTTGGAATTGTTTGATCTTCAGAGTGAGACTGATCCATCCGACGGTGACGGTGGAGTCCTGCCACCTCCGGACCCATCAGTGAAGGTATTTTAACGTTTTGAACTTATAAATTTTAATGTTTTTAATTTTTAATTTCTTATTTTCTTTGGGTTTTCGAAATTTGTATAGGTTGTGGCGAGAATTAGACCTACTAAAGATGGTGAAAATTGGGGAGATCGGACGGTTAAGAAGGTTTCTCCGCGTACATTATCCGTTGGGGACCGTACATTTTCATTTGATTCGGTTTTTGATTCAAAATCCGGTCAGGTATAATTCTCAATTATTCTACAATCGTATGTGTTGACCCCTGAATCGAAAATTTTGGTACAAACAGTATGAAAATCCATTTTTAAACTCTGTGTAGATTAATGCTCTGTTTGGTTGCATGGAAACTGAAAGAAAGAACAGAAAATAAGTGAAAATTGGTAACTTTTAGATGTTATTTAGTAGAAACTAGGCAACTAGGCCTTTTATACAGACTAAGTGGGTTCCTTGGTGAAACTTGAAAAATATGAAGAGTGAGGAATTGGACATTTGTTAATCTTCTCTGCTTCTAAATCTAAGGGCAAGTGCATTTTGATTCATGAGTGCTGTTTGGTTTCTACCAGGAAGATGTTTTTCAGAAGGTTGGTGTGCCGTTGGTTAAAAATGCCTTAGCCGGTTACAATACTTCAGTCTTGTCATATGGACAGGTATACATTCATATCCATAGATGAAAGGTACATTCATTTCAAGTAGGCCAATTTTGTATTTGCTTTGTGAATATTTTTCATTGAATTCTCTTTAGAGCGGAAGCGGTAAGACATACACGCTATGGGGTCCGCCAAGTGCCATGGTTGAGGATTCCCGTCCTGGTAGTTGCCAGGGTATTGTTCCTCGCATCTTTGAAATGCTGTTCCGTGAGATTCAGAAGGTATGTTTTTTGGTTTCTATTTTTCTTTTAATGGAAATGAGGAAAGCAGGCGTGTACTGACATGGTTCATGAATGTTTGCTTGGGACTATTACATGTAGGAGCAAGAGAACTCCGATGGGAAACAGTTAAATTACCAGTTCCGTTGTTCTTTTCTTGAGGTATACTTATTTTACTATTCTAAATTCTTTTTGAAACACATAGGGTAGGATTCTGACAATGTGTTTTGTTAATATTGTCTTTATCACAGATATACAACGAACAAATAGGAGATTTACTTGATCCAACCCTGAGGAACCTTGAGGTAGAGATCTTCTATACTGTTATAGTTCTTTCACTGATGTTTTTTTGTTCCTTTTTTGGTTCTTTAGTATATGCCTAAGATACAAATGGGCTTTGCTTTAAACTGTTGTAGATCAAGGATGATCCCAAAAATGGAGTGTATGTTGAGAACCTGACTGAGGAGTATGTGACTAGCTATGAGGATGTGACACAAATTCTGATTAAGGTAGGATTTGTATATGTGCATTCTTTTTAACTGAGAACTTATCTTTTCTTTTTTTTTTCTTTTGTTCTGGATTTTTCCTTTGTACTCACAACTATTCTGTTCACGGAACAGGGGCTTTCAAGTAGAAAAGTTGGAGCAACTAGCATGAACTCTAAGAGCTCTAGGTCCCATATTGTTTGTACTTTCATCATCGAGTCATGGTGTAAGGTATCATTGCATATGGAACTCGTTACAGTTCAAAACCTTTATTGTTTCTTGAATGATTATGTTTTGTGTCTATCGCTTAACAGTGCTTAATTACTTTATTCTGCAGGAGACCTCATCCAAGTGTTTTGGTAGTTCAAAAACAAGCAGAATGAGCTTTATTGATCTTGCTGGCCTAGATAGAAATAAAGTTGATGACTCAGGTAGACAATGTGCAAGGGAAGACAAATATGTAAAGAAGTCCTTGTCACGGCTTGGGTATGATTCCATAACCTTTATATTCCATCAGATGCCTTATTGTAGACAACTTACAGGGTAATAGTATTGATACAGTACAAGGAAATGCATTCTTAATGACATTTTAAGAAACAAAGTTTGCTATCATCACTTTTACATTCTTAAGCATCAAATAATTGTTGTGTGATGAAGTTAGAGTCACACAACAATATAATTTATGGAAATAGCACAAAACTTTGTGTTATAAACTTTTTTGATCAGTTGTCCTTTGGCCAGTGCTGCAACTGTAATGATTAATGTTGTTATTTTGGTACAGGCTTTTGGTAAATACTCTTGCAAAAGCGCCTCAGTCTGGAAAATCTGAAGATGTGCCATATAAGGCTTCTTGCTTAACTCATTTACTGCAAGAATCAATTGGTGGCAATTCAAAACTAACGGTCATCTGCGCTGTCTCCCCAGATAACAAGTATTTGACTCTAATCTACTAAATTCTTTTTATAATATAAAGTTTGATTTACTACTGATATGCCCAGATACATTTATGTACATACATGTGGCCATTGTGTTGTCATTTTTTTAGGAAGTGTGCTTGATAGGTTTTATAGTATTCTGAAACATTGCTTGTGCTTCTTAAATGCAGAAATGATGGTGAGATACTGAGAACACTAAGATTTGGAGAACGAGTGAAATATATTAGGAATGAGCCAGTAATAAATGAAATAACAGAAGATGATGTCAATGGTCTGACTGATCAAATTCGTCAGTTGAAGGTACTAAGTTCTTTGGAGTTCTATTTGGAATTCTGCCATGAAAGCTGAAGGTAATAGGAATTTGATGTTAATGAAATGTGTGTTTGCAGGAAGAACTTATAAGAGCAAAGTCTAGTGGCTCATTTGGGAGTAATAATGGATATTTTCAAGGGCGAAATGTACGTGAAAGCTTGAATCAATTACGAGTGAGCCTGAATCGCTCTTTGATTTTACCCCACATAGATAATGATTCTGATGAAGAGGTAAATGTGGATGAAGATGATGTAAGAGAATTACGTCAGCAGCTTCTGCAGAATTCTTCTGAAGATGTAAGAGATTATTCTGTCAGTAGAGATTCTGTTCAGTTTGGTGGAAGTTGTGATACAGACTTGGCCAGTGAAGATGATTTTCATAGTTCAGACGAAAAGGAAATTGATCTGAAAGAATCTCAGGATGAGCTTCCTCTTCCTTGTAAGGACAACTTTGAATTGGCAGATAACAGTGTTCTTACCACCTCAAAGGCTATCAATCCAGCAATCAAAAGTGGTGTTTCAATCAGTTTATGCTGTCAATCTCCATTCCTCCAAGACCCAACATTGTCTGAGTCTCCAAAGCTTAGAAATGCACAAAGAAAAAGTGTCACCTTCTCATCGATTTGTTCAGTCAGTCAGAACAATATATCAGACAATTCCAAGTTAAAGTCAGATGTATTGAGACAGTCACTTAATCAGAGTGAACACACTCAATCCTCTTTGCGGTCAAGCAAGATATTTCCAGGCCCCACTGAGTCATTGGCTGCCAGCCTTCAGAGGGGCTTACAGATCATTGACCATCACCAGCAGAACTCTGCACCTAGCAAATCCTCAGTCTCGTTCTCCTTTGAGCACTTGACACTGAAACCTAGGCCAGAAGTTGACAGAGCTAATTCTTCAGCTCAGACAATACCAGAAACAAGGCCATCCATAGATGGACCATCTGCCTCTTTACTTTGTGCGTCTTGCAAAAGAAGAGTGTTTAAAGATGATACCAATGATGCCCAGGATAGCTTGAAGACATGGACTGTAGCAGTTAATGAAGCTGGAAGTTCTAACCAAATGACAGAGGTGCGTTAAGCTTACCTGGACATTAAACTCGGGAATAAATTGTGATATGGGAATCCTTCCTAATTTCTATTTTCTTTTAATCAGCATGCAATGGAAAAGGCTGCAAAGCAAGAGGAGCTTGAGATTCGTTGCATGGAGCAAGCAGCTAAAATTGAGCAGTTAAATCAACTGGTAACTTTTTTTTTTCTTTGGGTTTGAAACTCAGTGCATTATTATGTCTTCTCCATAATTTCGATATTACATTTCTGAGAATCTGATTTATTGTTTCAGGTCGAGCAATACAAAAGTGGGAAATCTTATTCATCTGCAGAAAATGGTAAAGAAATGATACCATATGATGAGTTCAAAGATGGAAACAAGGTAGGTCGGAACGGTGTATGTTTTTTCAAACTTTTGGAGGTTTTAATGGTAACGTCCTAAATGTTGGATGTTTTATAGTTCTCTTACATGTTCCTGATGATTTTTGCAGCTTTTGAGGGACAGTTCTGTTGATATTCTCCAACCAGAGATTATAAAGGAGAAATGTGAAATAAAGGAAATCCAGAATGAGTTGGATCTTGGGTATGGAGGTGCAGATTTTGATCTAAATGAGAAGGAAGCACTTCTTAAGGAGGTTCAGATGTTAAGGAGCAAATTGCAGTCACGTACTGATGCATCACCCAACAAATCTATTGAGAAACTGAGATCCTCTTTATTGTCACGATCCATGCAGCTGCGAAAAAGTGGTACATATGGAGATAACACCGAGGAAGAACTAGAGAGGGAAAGACAGAGATGGACAGAAATGGAGAGCGATTGGATTTCCTTAACTGATGACTTGAGGGTAGATCTTGAATCCAACCGCCGGCGAGCAGAGAAGGTGGAGATGGAATTGAGAATGGAGAAGCAGTGCACTGAAGAGTTGGATGATGCGCTTCATAGATCAGTGCTTGGACATGCTCGAATGGTTGAGCACTACGTTGAACTACAAGACAAATACAATGACTTGGTGGGAAAGCACCGCGCAATCATGGAAGGAATAGCAGAAGTGAAGAGGGCAGCGGCAAAGGCTGGAGCTAAAGGTCGTGGTTCTCGTTTTTCCAAATCCCTCGCAGCAGAGCTCTCTGTACTGAGAGTGGAAAGAGAGAGGGAGAGGGAACTTTTGAAGAAGGAGAACAAAAGTCTCAAGATTCAACTTAGAGATACTGCAGAAGCTGTTCATGCTGCTGGAGAACTCCTTGTTAGGCTTAGAGAAGCTGAACATGCAGCATCTGTTGCAGAGGTAACTCATATTTTACCCTTAAAACTCTATCTTGGTACTCTGGATATAACTCATAAGTGGATCAGATTATAATAATGCAAGTGTTTATGTCTCATTTGTGTTTTTTCCTCTCTTTTCCCATAAACACAGGAGAATTTTACGAGTGTGCACCAAGAAAATGACAAGTTAAAGAAGCAAATTGAGAAGCTTAAAAGGAAGCACAAGATGGAAATGATCACCACAAAGCAGTACCTGGCAGAGAGTAAATTGCCAGAGTCTGCTTTAAAACCACTATATCGCGAGGATTCTGCCAATTCACAAAACACAGTCCTGGATGATGATCAGGCATGGAGAGCAGAATTCGGAGCGATATATCAAGAGCATTACTGACTGGTTGAAAGTTGAAATCCACCAGGAGAGCTGGCTTAAGGGAACTTCTGCAGACTTGCACTGCAACCTAACTTTGAATCATTTATCAACTTATCTGAATGAGACCCAACTTGGGTTCATGCAATATACAACACTATTATGAATTCATTCCGTTAATTTTTTCTCTCTATGCTTTTGCATGAATCATTGCGGATTCATTCTCAATTTCAATTTCTACTAGCATGCCTCAGTGTTTGATGTTAAGTGTTAATATTATCTATTCTTAATTCTTGCTGAAAATAATGTTTTCATATAAGTTTTTGTGAACTCGTTATGGTTAAACATTTATTCTTAATTCTTGCTATAAACTCTTGTAAAATCATAATAATTACAACATAAATTGACTTATACATTATAGAGCCGTGCAAACTCTACATATTTTAATTTTACTTCCATATCTCCATAATTTATGTTACAAGGTGTAAAACAATCAATTGTTATATAAATATGTAATTATAGAAAGCAATTATTCGGGTCCTTGTTTTGGTGAATATGGTGCCTTCAATTGGTGCCCCTTTGGTCCTTATAGATGTTCATCATCGTTTCATTTTGTGCCCCTTCGGTGCTTATTGATGTCAACCATCCAAAGAAAACAATGATAAACATAAATTTTGAATTTGTGGTTTGGTGCCAATGACTTGTTAATTTCTTCCAATATCGCAAAATTTCAATGTCTTATGGCATATACGGACATGAAAAACATCGAAATGAAACACTTTCTTTTAACAACCAAGGATGGTTGACACATAGACTGCATTTAAATTTGCAAAGATACTTCAAAAGTTGAATAAAAAAGTGGCAGAAACATTTGAATGAAAACTTTCGACCAGTCATCCCTTTATAAAAAGAGTATTGAATCCTTGAAGCTAATAAGAAAGTTTGTCAAGCACCAAGGCAACGTGTAATTGACTAGATTTTCAAGTGTACATGCGAGGAGAAATAGTTTGTCTTTGGATCTTCTAAGACAATCTATAAGATGAGAAAGAAAAACTCAATGTTTATATAGATATATGTTCTGGTATCACATGAAAAGGATGGCATCCACAAATCATATTGATTTCATTTGAATGCCAATTTGATACATTCTATATCATGTGTTAAACACAAGTAAATAATTTTAAAATCACTATCATCGTAGCATTATTAATCTATGTTTCATAACATAGGATGAGCTAAGTTTATATTGTTGAGAGTATAAATACGACGTGTTATAATATAGGTGGATTGATAACACCACGTGACAGTGTTATAGTTATACTTAAAAATTTCACACCCCAACAAAAACCCCCTCCCTTAATCCAACTTTTATTGGTTCATGGCACATGGAACAATAAAAACCTAACTCGAACTGTGTCTTTAAAACACAATTGACAAAAGATCTTGACCATATACATTGATTTATGTTTTTTTTTCTAGATCGTAGTAGTGAAATATTAATGTAAATGATTGTCTAAGGCTAGTGACGCCACCTATTGGGCCAATGCAGGCAGCGATTGGTCCAATGTAGGTGGCTTTTGGGCTTGAGATGCTGGTAATAGATTACCTTTCCATCACCCCTATGCAGGTGGCTCTTCTTGCATATCTCTCATCGACTTAGCAGACCTGGGTGATCGAGGATATTGAAAAGATTGTACGCACAAAAAAAATGATCACTCATCCCACACACCGAGTCGAATTCCGATCATCGATACATCGGATAAGTGATCAGAGAGCGTGGGGGAGATGTGAAGTGAAATAGATAAAGTGTTATTATCTGTTTTCAAGAGGAGTAATCCTACTGTTCTACCATTTATCTAAATCATAAGTTGACACACGATTCACATAAGTTGATTTTGTGGTAAACAAAACAACAAATTCTCATTGGTGAAGTCAGGATGTCATCATATAGGAGAACAATTCTCTCTTCCCATCCACAAGACGTTAATGAAAATAGCCAAGAACCTGGCCCCCCACATTACGTTTAACAGCCTCTTCGTGATCCAGCACCCCTTCGGGAGTAGTAATCACAACATAACCCCACTGCATGAAGCGAGAGAAAGACCATTTAAAAAAAATTCCAAACACAGATCTTCCCAGAAATAATAAAATGGACAAATATGAATCAAGTAATTTTGACATATCTTTCGACATCAGGAGGTTAACAAACCTGGCGGGTTGGAAGCTTTTGCATTTTGTACTCTTCAATATCCTTTGCCTTGACATCCTGTCTGTAAGTAAGAGCTCTACAATCATTAACCCTGCCTTGTAGTTGAACTGTTATCTTCCCCACTCTATGTGGATCAAAAACTTGAAAATCCTTGATATAACCTAAAGAAAATGTGCCAAGCGCAAGCATTACGACAGGCAACAAATTAGCAAATGAATTTGGACATAATATAGATAAAAAAAATAAATGCATGAAGGCAGTGCTGTGCACCAATTAAAGAATATCATATACCCCAATGCAAACAACCCATCATCATTTACAAGTTGCCTGTAATGTAAATTTTCTAATACCCAGTTCTACAACCATCACACAGCACAAATTTATTTAATCCACTATAACCTTGAACTATCTCATCCAAGCATTACTCATTCTGCCTCACATCAGAATCAAGATAGTATTATCAGTGGGGAGATTCTCCAATAATTATTTTATGTTAAGGATTGGTTATATACTTCTAATCTTGGCCGTTGAATTGCATTCATTAAATGTACTTGTAGGCTCTTAGAAGCAATCCAACAGCCGAGATTAGAAATATGTAACCAATCCTTAACTTAAATACATATTGGAGAATGTCCCTTATCTGCAATTCACAAATGGATCACAAATTGACATTGAAATCCATGACACCAACAAAACTAATGTAAATGACGGCCTTTGACATCGCGATTAAGTTTAGAAATATAAAATATAAAACATTATATGTGCACTAAAGAATAATTCCTGGAGCTCATACCAACTAAGTCCTAGAGATCCTTAATCACTACAAGTTTACTGCTTTCAAAACCCTCCCACAGATATAAATTTTAAAGCAACCCAGATTCTTAAAATAAATAGTAATGCATAAAAAAAAGGTTGATTTATTATTAATTAACAAAATCCATCTAACGAGGAGTATGGATTTACCTCGATTTTTCATGATTTTGAGGAAAGATGACATGACTGTAGAGATAGGTTGCAACTCCACTGTAGCTTTCCCCCTTCTCTCTGCATTCACTATTGTTCGCAATGCATTATTCAGTATCATTCTCCCCATCCTTCTCTTTGAAAAATCTAACCCTCAAATCCCACGGACCAAACAGAAGGCTCTGTTAAGAACAAAATGTTATGTTTGTGATTAATTTAATAAAAAAATAAAACACAAGTTTTACAACCAGATCCTTATAGGCTTACAAGAATGTAGAGACGAGACTATCAATGGGAAAATCTGGAAAGGGGAAACTCGGAGATGATAGAAAGAAAAGAAAGTTACCTTTTTGGCCTTTCCAGAGCCAAAACAAGGCCGGAAGATTGGGTGGCGCTGCCGAACAGGGTAGTGTGCGACTGTAGGAGCAAGTGAGACTGTCGGAGTCTTTAAGATGGGAGAAAGAAATGAAGAAGAGAAGAGGGGGCAAAGGAAGGCCTTAAGGCTGCTTGGTTCACACACACATTTCACTCGGGTCTGGTGGGCTTCCAGGGCTGAGGTGGTAATGGGCTAATGAAGAGTGTTGAACCTTTATGAGGGTTGTATTTGGAGACGGTGAGACCCATGATATATATTTTTTTTTAATGACAACAATACCCCTCCTCTCGTCGCGGTTGACCGCCGCCTCGTGGCGGAACCACCAATGAACTCTCTCCATTTGCGACCACCATCGCCCTTCCCTTTTGTCTTTATTTCTCGAAGTCTTCTTTTATTCTAGTAAATAATGATTTAAAAGTATATACAAAGGAAATGTCAAATATAAAATTATCGAATTTAAATTGGGAGCTGATTTCCCCACTTATACTCCCTTTTAATTTTTAATACTTTTTAATCAATTTTGTTCTTTCTCTTTCCTATTCTATCCTTACCCTACATTAATTTCTTTTTTTCACTTTTATATTATTTCTTTTTCTTTATACTTAATTTTTCAACTTAAGTTCTTACTTGATTGAAGAAAAGGAAATATTGAAAATGAAGTGCAAGTTGGAAAATTAAGTATAAAGAAAAAAAAACTAATATAAAAGTGAAGTAAAAAGAAATTAATGTAGGATAAGGATAAAATAGGAAATAGAAACAACAAAATTGATTAAAAAGTATTAAAAAGCAAAATGGAGTGTAAGTGGAGAAAATGGGAGTGGGGAAATCATATCCCTTTAAATTTGATGACTTATTAGAAGGTGAAGTTATAATTGTTGAAATATACTATGTAGTAAAAAAATTGGTAAAGCCCTACCTACCAAACTCAAAAATCTCGTGCTAAAGAGCGTGGAGGTTATGAGTCATCATCAAGACATAATGTTAAATATTAGAAATTCTCATTCACTAGGCAACGAATCACCCATTGTTCAACTCTTTGGCAACATGGAAACCAAAAGCTCTATCTATCCAAGAAGAACCAGACATGATAATTTTTCATCGTCTTGGTTAGGATAAAATAGAAAGTTCTTTTCAATTTGGTGCACACCTCTTACCCCCCCAAAAAAAAAAGAAAAAAAAAAAAGTAGAAGACCTACTAGTGTAGTGGTTTGGAGTAATTACTCTCTAATAAAAGGTTTTTGGTTCGAATCATAGCATTCGTGTTGTGTGTGTAAGTTGAATATATTATCGTCATTTTCTTAAAAAAATTTAAAAAAAGAAAGAAAAAGAAAGGGACTAAAGCGACGCCGTTTTGGCATGTGAGGAAACAATAAAGAAATAATAAACAAATTAAAATACGGAAGACACAAGAAGCTGTATTGTTGTCTGAGTTTTGGATTTGAGTTTTCTGCTTTTTAAGAGATTGATAGATAGAAAACAGAGGGAGTAGCGGCCATGGCGACGACGTCGGTGGATTCTCCAAAGCCTGACACAGACACTGACGCTGAGCTGGATACCAATCCCAACCTCAACCCTAACCCTAATTCTTCGAACTCGTTAGTCCCCGCCTCCTCCAATGGTCCTGCTGTCTGCCTTCTCAGGTTTGCCGGAGACTCCGCTGGCGGGGCATTCATGGGCTCCGTTTTTGGCTACGGTCCTCTCTCTTTCCCTCTCCTTCTCTCTGTGTATATGTATATATATGTGTACATGCCTATGTGTGTGATGCTTTAATTGCTTAATTGTGGTGTTTCTATATGGGAATTTGAATGGTGCTCATATAGGATTTTGAATGTTTGACAATATGATTTTCTTCAATGGTGTTTTGGGGTTTTCGAAAAGGAGTGAGTTTTCTCTTTCTGACTAACGAGCTGTTGGAGTTTTTTTGGTGAGGTATGCTAGTTTTTTGAGATGTGAAATTGTGGTTTTTAGGGAAAATTTGTGTTATGTTAGTTGATTTATTGTATGAATTATGTTCATTGCGTGTACCAAGCTGTTAGAAGTTGTTATGAGAGAATTATGATTGTCTGTAGTTGTTAAGGTTTACTCGGGAGTCATTCCACCGTGTTTGGATAATGCCAGTCATTTCTTTGTGCCATGTTCACATAATGAGGGCGGTAGGACAAGCCAAGCTACTCAAACTTGGCTTGAGTTTGGCTCGATTTATTCAGCAATCACTCCGCCATGTTTAGATAATGCCAGTCATTTATGCGTGCCATGTTCCACATAATGAGGGCATTAGAACAAACGAAGCCACTCAAACTTGGTTTGGGTTTAGGTCAATATTGTGTTTCTCGATTTGGCCTGAAATTTTATACTTGTTAAAAAAGCTAGAGATTTGAGACTGGCTTGTTATCAAGTTTAGCAATGGATTATTAGATGAGCAAGCCCTGCTTAAGCAATCTACTACTCAACTCAACCTAATTTATCTTTTTTTTTATTTTTTTATTTTTTTATTTATTTATTTTATTTATGTTTATGTCGCATATGAATCAAACTGAGATTTTTTGTTTTACCTTGTGTGAATGTGTTTCAGGTGCGGGGTTGGTTAAGAAAAAAGGCTTTAAAGGATCCTTTGCAGAGGCAGGATCTTATGCTAAGGTATGAGAATTCCTATTGTTAAATGATAGTTTGACTATCCGAGTGAAATTAGTTCCGTTTTTTTTCTTCTTAAATGTTATTATTGCCTATGCAGTATGTTTGTTTAATTACAGTAGTTAAGCTCTTCTTTGTATTCCCCCTTTCAGACATTTGCAGTTTTGTCTGGAGTCCACAGCTTGGTTGTCTGCATTTTGAAGAGACTGCGAGGAAAGGATGATGGTATGTGAACTTGAATGTGGAATTGGTACTTTCACATTATTCATTCATTATCTCATGATCATGCTTTTTTCCTGTGTAGTTATTAACGCTGGAGTAGCTGGATGTTGCACTGGTCTTGCTCTTAGTTTTCCAGGTATCCATCATATCATCTAGTTCAATAGTTTATAAATTAGTAAATGACACATTGTCTTACACACGTCTTCACCGTCATTACAGATTCAAATACCTCAAAAGAAGTGACACATTGATTTTGTTGCTAAAACAAGATCCTTCATATCTACAAAAATCCCACTTCTTTTCATTCTTTTTCATTTTTGGCTTGTCACTCATGCCTGGCATTTCTACATCAATCAATGAAACCAGTTTTTATATGGTTTAATGTATCTTTTAGAATAGCTATTTTTGGTTGGGAAGTTCTTAGGTCTGGACGTACATATTTATTCGTTATTTGATTCTGATTTTGCAGGTGCACCCCAGGCTCTTCTACAAAGCTGCCTCACTTTTGGAGCATTCTCATTTATTATTGAAGGACTAAATAAGCAGCAGCCAGCTTTGGCACATCCACTTTCTGTGAGGAAGAAAAGTGAGCAACTTCCTCCCTTGGTGCTCCCTCTTCAACTTTCACTTCCAGGTGAACTTAAAGCGGGTTTCACCTCATTTTGCAATTCCTTGAAGAATCACAAGAAGGGCACTTCTCACACAGCCTAAGAAATTTTGTCGCATCCTGCTTTTATGCCTTTTGGTCTTGAATTCAAATGTTCCTCTTGCTGTTATTTTTTTCTTCTATTGCCGGGTAAGACATGATAGTATGTGGTATGTAAATTTTTAGTTGAAATTCTAGTTGCAAGTTATGAATTCACTTCTTGATTGTGAAATCTGGTAGATTGATGGTACACATTGCTGGTTTTGCCGGATTGAGGAACCATGAATTTGATCCTCCATTTCGGACTCTGTTTTGCAAGTCACACTTTTCCTCATATCTCAGTGACAGGTGATGACGAGAAGGAAGAAGAAAGAAACAGTTTTCAACTTAACACAAACTCTAAACGGGCCCGCGATTCTGAGGCCTTCAAAACTTGGGATCCTACCATCTTTGATTGCAATATCTTGTGATTAAAGTAAATAAGATAATCAAAGATATATATATATATATATATATATTTTAATGCCAGAAAATCAAAGAATTGCGCCATATCAAAACAAACTAAAATGACTTTATTTATTTATTTATTTATTTTATTTTTATAATTATTTTTTTACAATAGTGAATTAAATAAACAATACTGGAATGCTTGAGTAGAAAAGAAGTTTATATAAAGATTATAATTTATTGAGGCTAATACGTTTTAAGGATTTGACAAAACTACCCCAAAATTTGCTGTGTAATTTTTAAGATAAGCAGTTAGCAGTGAAGTTGGGTCCATGAACTTTATGGTTAATTATGCATTTGGATGGAAAGATTTAAAAGAAAGGCTATGGATTTTGCTAATTAGAGCTAACATGGAAAGTGTTTTTGAGAACCAAATTGCCTTCTCTTCATCCTGACAGTGATAATCAGGAAGGATATTTTTCTCTTTAATAATGAAAAATCTTGAAAGATATTATTAGGAGGCGAGCAGTATCAAAAACTACCTATACACATATAGTTCCCTTCTATTGACGGAGAATTGATGGTAGATGTTGCAAAAATGGAGTGAGATCTTTTGAAGCTCTTATTATCTTACAATAATATATGTGACTCCGATTAATCTTGGATTGGATGATGACTAAAAAGGAGAGTATCAGAACTGGCACTATCTTATAATTAATATCAATCGCCTCACCATATCTATAAATACCACACCTTCCTCCTTTTCCTTCTCACCTTTTCTCCTTTTCTCTTTCAGAAAAAAAAAAACCCTAGTTTCATAGACATCATCTAGGTCTAGCAATGGAGTCTCGTTCTTACATGGTATATATCTTCATCCTTCATTTTGTTTACTATTTCTCTTCAGTTTTTCTTTGTTAGTTAATTTATTGTATGTGGATTATGTCTGCCTTTACAGACTTGTGGAGTGAAAATCGACACGAATTCGGATGGATGGCACAAGTGCCTGACTAAAATGCTGAAAAAAATCCAAGGTAAAGTACCCTTGTCGTCCATGGCAATTTGTTTGTCTTTTTTTATTTTATCTTAACAATATCACTTTTGGCATGAAGTATTGAAGTCTTCGTGTTTTTATTATATGTATATAGGTGCATCTTATAATGTAGATGCAGAAGGAGGCATGGCATATGTTTCTGGGAAAGTAAACCCTAGGAAGCTAATAAGAAGGCTAGTGAAGGCTGGGAAAGAAGCAGAACTCTGCTGGGTAAGAACTGGAGATGAATTTACATATGGCAATGGCAATGGCAATGGCAGTGGATATTATGAAGGCCAGAGATATTATGATCCCAGCAGCAGTAACTACATGGGATTAACAGCAGGCCCTAATTACTATAATATGAATGGTAATTATGGACATGGATATTATTCTTCATACAGCCACCACCATGGACATCCTATGAACAATTACTATCCACAGGCGCCATATTCATATAATTATTATTGAATATGAATTGGCTCACCTGATTTTGATTTCAGGGTTGTTGAGAACTCCCTTTTTTTTTTGGTTTGAAAGGGAAGAACTCCTTGTATAATAGTAGTATTAATAGTGTTCTTTTTTTTTGTTTGGGCACTATAACTATGTATGGAGTTAAAGAGAGTCTACCTCTAGGAGGAAAGTGATATTATGTGGACTTTCCCCTAGATGTATGCTTTTTTGTTTTTGTTTTTTACGTTTTTTTTTATTAAAAGGATTTCTATAATTATTGTTATATTATATTTTCCTTGTTATTTGACTATATCAGATTCTGAGCCTTTATTAGGATTAAATATTGACACTCATCTTTGATGTAGTTTTTTTCGATCAATAATTGCATGGAAGATTCGAACTTAGAACCTCTTAAGATTTTGAAAAGATAAATTTCTAGTTAGTATGTCTTGTCATATTTTGTGTAATAATTAATCTTTATCCATGTGAGACCCAATTTAACCTCATGTCACATTCACACAATTCATAATAATAGAAAAAAAAGAAAAAAAAAAAAAGAGAGCAATTTGCCGGCTCCATAATTCATAAACAATTTTCACAAAAGATAGCAATTTCAGCACCTTTAGTCAGCTACTTACTTTGTTGGCTTTAATTTTTTTTTTCATTTGAATGTTTCTTTACAAAAATTTGAGACACACAACCAAGTTCCTACGCTAAGATAGTGACCTCTAACCAATCCTCAGTGTCGTGATTTATTGGCGGGTTATTTAAAACCTTTTGCCTCAATCTTTCTGGGGAAGAGTTTATTGAAGATTGCTCCTTTGCAGCTTCATCATATATATCTTATACAGTTTACTTTATTTTCTTCGTAAGGCAATCAACTTATTTGTCCTTTTCTATCAGTCATTTAAATTTGACTATTGACTAATTCCAAGTCAAACCTCAGACTGTTTTTGTTTTTAATCCAATAAATTCTCATGACCAATCAGTTGAGTTGTGGAAGATTGTTTACTTCTGCTACAAGTTTGGTTACAAGTAGGTTACTCAAAGGTTATAAATGGGTTCCATCTGAGTTAGTTCTTTCATAAATTTTTATGCAAAGCAATAGCAAGTAAGATGACTGACAAGGTGGTTGTGCCCATTGCCTATAAGGTAGCAGGCCGAACTCGAGCTACTAATCTGTTTCTGCTGCTTATGTTAATCCAATTGTTTGTTATGGCAGCAGAGGCAAATACTCAGGACTGTAAGTTTTGTTCATTTACTGTGTCATTTTTTTTATAGTGCAGCTGATCAGGTTTTCTTCCTTAGTGTTGGTAGTTAGAAGTTAGAACCATTAGCTGTTTCCCCTGTATAAAAAAAAAAAAAAAAAAAAAAAAAAAAAAAAAAACCATTTAGCCTTGAAGATTACTTCAGTGTAATTAATTATTTAATTTCAATTGGTTTTGTTTCGGGAGGAATGGGGTTTAACGAGGGTATCTGTCGCATATTAGTGATAATAACCTTGGAAATATCTCTCCAGACAAAGGTTTTGTTAACTTTTGTAATCTTGTATATGTAACTCTTCTTCTCCACAAGACTTCAGTGACATTCAAAAGTTTCGATTAGCATAAGAGTTATAGAGTGTGTTTCAAGTCATTTGTCCATGGAGGTTGGTCCAATATTGTGTAATGGTTTCGATTTTATGGTGATGATTGTTTTGAGCAATTTGGAAGAAGTTAATAGACTTTATGTTGTTTGAGTTTCTGAAGCAGTTGTTAGGTGTGATCCTGTTTGATAAATTGCTTCAGTAAATCCGAATCCTTTCAAAGCTAAAGCTAGTCACAATCATATGAGTGCTGTAGTTCTAATGGCAGTCAACAGATTCTAGTAGTATGGTATTTCAGCTTAACAAATTTCTGATGCAGTTTCTGCTCTGACGGTTCTAATGCAAGAGTGGGGCATTAGACCTCCCAGTTGGGTTGGTTCAGATCCTTGTGCTGAGGGCTGGGAAGGTATTGCGTGCTCCAATTCACGTGTTACCTCCATGTAAGTTCTTGATCTGTTCCCACCTTTTTAACGTTCGTGGAAGCACTTGGTTCCATTTATTTTTTTTATTTTTGACAATGATCTGACTTCTTTAATTTCAGAATTTTGGCAAACAGGGGTTTGACAGGTCAGCTACCTAGCGCAATCCAGTTGTTATCTGAGCTAGAGATTCTGTAGGTCTTCTATTTCCACTTTTCACCTTACACTAGTTATGGTACTTGATTTATGCCTAATCTGTCGTCCATAATCTAGCATTGGAGTGCCAGATATTTCGAGGTTCAGTGCTCAATATGTGGCATTGACTGTCTTGGATCATCATTGCTAAAATATTTGAAGTATACTAATCAATGCTTCAACTATTTGATGCAATTGTTGGAAAAGAAAAAGATTTCTGAATTAGTCCAACTCATTTCTCATACAGGAATCTGTCTTTGAACAAGGGCCTGACAGGACCACTTCCAGCATCACTTGGAAATTTGACGAAACTAGTACACTTGTAATTGAAAAAGAAAGGAATTATTGCTTTCTCCTCTATCGTAATTATGGATGTGGTATGTGATCATTTATCCTCCTAAATATTTTGTTGCCTTGTTCTTTGCATGTCAGAGTCCTGGCTGGTTGCAGTTTCTCTAGTGCTATTCCAAGCACAATAGGATCTCTAGAGCAGCTATTTTATCTGTAAGGCTATCGATCTTCCCACCCCTATCTTTTTTAATCTGCAATCGTTTTCTTGAAGCCTCCTGCTTTTGATGCTGTTGTATGTCAGGGCAGATATGCACCACTAAACTCTGAATTCTTCATTTATGTTCTACTGCAGAGATCTGAATAACAATAGATTGAGTGACCAGATTCCGCCTTCCATCGGTAGTCTGTCCAATCTAAACTACCTGGACCTAACTGGAAACAAACTTAATGGATACATCCCAGTCTCTAGTGGGACTACACCTGGTCTTGATATGCTACAGAATGCAGAACACTTGTATGTCAACTCTCGTTAGTAATTTTGAGCAGATTAGCTTGTCCTAACCATGGAGCTCTCTACCATCTGTGTCCATCTGATTTTTTATTGTCTTTAAATGCAGTCATTTGGGAGGGAATCAGCTCTCAGGCAACGTTCCACCTGAACTTTTCACCTCAAAGATGGTTCTGAAACACTTGTAAGTTTTGTTAACAGTTCATGTGCTACAAGGTATTATAGTCTCTCCTTAGAGCACGTATAGATTTTAATGGGTACTGCTTATGCTTTTGTTAACGAAAAGTGAAATGTCTAAGATATGAAAAATGAGGCATGGAAGCCTTTTTATCTTGAAATCTCATTTGCTAAAGGAAACTGTGAGAGAATAGAATCCACCTGCCACTTCGATTTTATCACATTACTGTGCTTATTGTGTAGTTTTGGCCTCTATAAAATAGAGCCATTACAATTCATGGTAGGCTTGACTTTTGATGGATAAGATCTTCATTTCTCTCTGTTTCTGGATTAAGTTCTTCCACTTATTTACCCTTGCTCTTTTGTATCCTCCTCTTCCTTATCTAGTTTATTTCTTAGTTAATCCCTCCTGCGTTCTACATCCGAAATAGATTACTTGATCTGCTTGAATACTTTTATCCATTCAGGATTTTGGACAACAATAATCTAACTGGCAGAATCCCTTCTACAATTGGAAATGTGCAGACTCTGGTGACAGTGTGAGTATCAATGCCATATCCTCAAGTGGATTTATACAAAGGTTATTGTGGCTGTGGTCTGTCTAAATTTAGTGGCACTGGACATATTATATATATATATATATGTGTGTGTGTGTGTGTGTGTGTGTGTGTGTGTTTGTGTGTGTGTATACAACAAATATATATCTTGTTCTTGTACAGACGCCTTGACCGGAATTCATTAAGTGGGCATGTGCCTTCTAGCCTCAACAGTCTTTCAAACATGGCCGAATTGTAAGCATACACAGCGTACCAATTGAAGAATTTACATTATATTCTAGGAAAGTTTTGAAATTCTTGTTTAGAGATTCAATTTACTAAGAGAGACAAGTGGTAATCTGTTTTCAGGCACTTGTCCAACAATAAGCTGACTGGCCCCATGCCCAACCTTGCTGGCATGGATCTCCTCTACTATGTGTAAGTATCAATGGTGTTGCTGGTTTTACGAGTTCTGTTTATTTTTTAACAGTGTACTTAGCAACAAATGATAAGTTATCCGTCAATCATTTCTCTTAAAGAAAACATTAGTTATACAGTCATGTTCTATGAGAAATGAAATCCATATTCAATCTTATTCATATCACTTTCATGGTCCTTGACTGAATTTAATCTGCAGGGATATGAGCAATAATACTTTTGATGTGTCAGATGTCCCTGATTGGTTTTCAACCTTACAGTCTTTGACAACATTGTACGTTTCATTGCTCCTCCATATACCTCTGTTTGTGTGTAGATGTGCGTGTGTATCAAGAAAAAGAAAAAGGGTTAAGTGCTCAGAAAGAAAACTGACCTATCAACCTTGTATGGCAGAATGATGGAAAACACAGGACTTCAAGGAAAAGTTCCCCAAGCGCTATTCAGCTTTTCCAACTTACAGACAGTGTGAGTATCATACTGACATGTAGTAGCACCACATTCAAGAATGAATGTTGCAAGAATCTTAAAGGCTTTAATTTCAATCATGGGCCATGGGGCCAAAGAAGAGAACACACAGGAGTTTAGTACTCTATATATATATATATATATCATGAACTCTAGGCTTTCGTATTTATACTGATGGTTATAAAATCATATTAACCTTCGACAGGGTACTAAGGAACAACCATCTCAATGGCTTATTGGATATTGGAACCATTTATAGCGACCAATTGCAACTAATTGATTTGGAGAACAACTCAATTCTTAATCTTACGCAAAGTGGAGGGTCCAATTATACACTCATGTAAGCAACAGCTTTCTTTCATACATAACTTCTGTTCTGTCTTTAGGGTCTTGAAGAACTGGATATCTGATTACTTGTTGAAGGTCAATTTTTAAGATGTACCACCTCTTGACGTTTACCTTAGTTAGTCCTCCATTATCTTTTGCAGACTTCTTGGTAATCCAATTTGTGACAAGACAAACATGGAAAAGAAATACTGCATTGTCTCTCGATCAGATTCCTCATATTCGATGCCACCAAGTAACTGCGAGCCTGTTGCCTGTAGCTCGGGTGAAGTTTTAAGCCCCAATTGTAAATGTGCACATCCCTTCAAAGCAACTCTAGTCGTCTTATTTGTTTCCTTCTCAAACTTAGGAAACTTTAGTTATTACACAGCTCTGCAGGCCTATCTTATGCAATCTTTTCATTCCTACAACATTCCTGTGGACTCCGTTTCTGTGAGTTATCCTACCTGGAGCTCATCTTATTATCTTCAACTGATGCTAGAAGTTTTTCCATCTGGTGAAGATCGCTTTAACGAAACAGGAGCTTCAACTCTTGCATCTGTGCTTACCAACCAAACTCTCCCGCGTCCAAACGATTTTGGACCCTACATTGTTGTATTGTATTATGGAAAATCTGGAGGTAACTCTGAAATCTGATCAAACTTGGAAATATTCATTGTAGTTCTACTTGAAAAGTGGCAATATTAACTCCAATCTTATAATTAATGACACATCGCTCTTTCTGTTTCTCATAATTCTGAGGTGCCTACAGGATCAAATAAGGCCTTGGTAATTGGTGCAGCAGTTGGTGGTTCTGCACTTCTAATATTAGTAGCCCTAGTAGGCGTTTATGTTTTCCAACACAAAAGGAAAGCAAATGAGCCATGGAGCAGATCAATTCCTTTGGTAAGATGCCCATTCATAACTCAAAAAAAGGTAGAGAAAAATTTGAAACAGCCTTGGCACTTTTGTTTCGCTATGAAGAAGCAGTATGCATTAAAATTGATTTCCTGTCATACAATGCAGCAAACTTGGAATTCAAATATCAGTGGCAGTGTTCCTCAGTTAAAAGGAGCAAGGTTGTTCTCTTTTGAAGAGCTTATGAAGTACACCAACTGTTTTTCGGAGGCAAATGATATTGGATCTGGAGGTTATGGCAAGGTTAACTTTGATTATCTTTGCTAGCTGTAAATGGTGGAGGTCATGACCGTGCCAAGGCCATAGCTACCAGGGCAGCATGAAATTAATTTGTTATTTTTCATTATACTTTTCTAAATATTATTTCCTTTTAAGTATAAGGTCAAATTTATAATTAAATTTTTTATAAACTGCGACGAAGAGAAGCACAATCAGCATGTAGCTCTTTTTTTCTCGTTCTCTTATGCTGACAGGCTTTGCATACATCTCATTCAGACCCCAACCACTAAACTCCAATCCTCATATGCATTTCTTTTGGAAAATCTCTCTAAGAAATCAAATATCGAGAATGAACTCAAAGTAATTAAAAGTACAAGAGGTGCTAGACAGTTAAAAATGTATGTTTTGGTAACATTGTACAGGTATATCTGGGAATTCTTCCGACAGGCCAAATGGTTGCCATTAAAAGAGCTAAAAGGGAATCTATGCAGGGTGGGATTGAGTTCAAAGCTGAGGTTGAGCTTCTATCAAGAGTACATCATAAGAATCTGGTCAGCCTTGTTGGTTTTTGTTTGGAGAAAGATGAACAAATGTTGGTATATGAGTATGCTCCCAATGGAAGTTTGCGGGATAGCCTTTCAGGTATTCGATAAAGTTCATCACCTTCGAATGTGAATTTAGGAACTTTTGATGGTTCAATTTCTTACTTTGTTGATGAACACATATAATGTGTATTTTTATTTACTTTTCATAGCAATTAATAAAGACTGATGCATTGAGAGAAAGATTGTGCACTTCATTAGTGTCACTCCATACGAGAGACAAACCTGATTTTATGTTCACCAGAAAAGAAAGGCCTGGAGATGAATCCCAATGTTAATTAGCTTTAAGATTTAAGGGAGGGGTTTGGTTATCCTATGCCTTACCCCCTGAATTTGATTCTAGATCCTAGTTTTGGATTTTATCTGGTGTCACGTTGGTGTCTTGTCAGAATCAGTGGCCAATTTTCTTCGCTTCCTTAAGCCAAACAAGCATCATACCTTAGGAGACTTCAGAGATCTCACTTTAGGGAGTACACATTGATCTATAGAAGCGGAACAAAAATTTATCTCTTATGTGATAATTTGAAACTCTGATACCGTAGAAACAATTGGTTCAATTTTCTGAAATGTGATAAATTAGAAAATATCTACGCAGGAAAGTCAGGAGTGTGGTTAGACTGGAAGAGGAGGCTTAAAGTAGCTCTTGGTGCAGCAAGAGGTCTGGCATATCTTCATGAACATGCAAACCCTTCCATTATACACCGGGACATTAAACCAAACAACATCCTACTTGATAAAGATTTAAATGCAAAAGTTGCTGACTTTGGCCTCTCCAAGTCAATGGTCGATAGTGGAACGCATCACGTGACTACTCAAGTTAAAGGGACAATGGTCAGTATCGCAAAACTTCAGAACCCTGCCAAAATAGTGGCATTTTTTCTTCTTCTGTAGCATGTGTTTTTCAGCAAAATAACGCAAGTCTCACGAGCTGCATTTGATAATAGGAAGAACCATATTACAATAAGAATCAAAACAGGATTTCATAAGAACAAGCACTGTCGGTCATCATTAGGCTTGAATTTAGTGACAAATTTCTAGTTCAAGACTGCAAAATCTATCAAAAATGACCATTTCATGTCTCCGAATTCTAGGAAACAATGACCCTTGAACTCTGAATCAATATTAAGACAAGCATTTACTTTATTCAAAGCAATCATCCTAAATTATGACCGAGTATTTGTTGTTCTTTATTGGTATAGGGCTACTTGGATCCTGAATATTACATGACTCAACAGTTGACTGAGAAGAGTGATGTTTATAGTTTTGGTGTGGTGATGTTGGAGTTGATAACTGCTAGACGGCCAATAGAGCGAGGCAAGTATGTAGTGAGAGTGGTTCAGATGGCAATGGATAAGACAAAAGATTTGTACAACCTTCAGAAAATTCTTGACCCAGCCATTGGTTTGGGAAGAGAGCTGAAAGGTTTGGAAAACTTTGTTGATTTGGCAATGTTGTGTTTAGAAGACTTGCAAGCTAAAAGACCTAGAATGGGGGAAGTGGTGAAAGAGATCGAGAACATAATACAGCTTGCTGCTTTGAACACCAGTGATATTTCAGCATCAACTTCAGGGAGTTCTGAGAATGTGAATAAGGACCTACAAAGAGGGGTTTTCATCCTTCAAAGATAGAGGCACTGATATGATATACATTTAGAATAATGTTGAAGTGGTACGGTTTGGGTTGCTCTGTGAATATCAATTACTTTGGTTAGGTGAATTTTCAGATGTTTGCAGTAAGTCCAGCATCAACATATATATGTATATATGTATCTTTTAGGTTGGTCAGTGTTCCTAATGTTCATAACTATAATATTTCAGAACAATTTCATGCCATTTTGGTTATCCTTTATTACCTTTGTATCCATTTGAGGTTTTTTTTTAGCGGCATCACTTTGGTGTCTGTTATCAGATATAAGTGGTCAATTTTGTTAGTTCTAGGGAGAAGAGAGGCTTAGGATAATAGCTTGATGATGAATAGGAAGCTTTTGAAAGAGTGACAAGATAATTTTATTTTATTGATTGAAATAAGAAGGGTACAAGGGCTTTAGAGTTGATTGGATACAAGAGGTGACTGATGTGAGTTTAGACAGCTGGTGGTTTTTCAGGCTTTCTTAACTTGAATACATTAGTGGGCTGTTATAGCTATATATAGAGTTGCTGAACCGACTATCTAAGTTGGCTTTTTGCTTAGTTAAGTCGGTTTGCACAGTAACCGACTTTGTCTAAGTAATTTCAGCCACTAGTTATAACATGGGCCTAGAATAGTCTAGTTACAATACATTATATAATTAATAAGATGTTTCTAGTGTAGAGCTCAAATTTGTCTTGTCATCTTGTCTCAATTTTTCTAGACTTTTCTATATTATTCTAGTACAAGTGTGCATTATTTTTTAACACTCCTCCTTAATGCACATTTGTGTCACTCCGAGCATGCTTCGTAGCAGTTCAAATTTTGGTCTTGGAAGTGCCTTAGTGAAAATGTCTGCGATTTGCTCCTCTGTCTTGCAATACTTGAGCTCAACCTCTTTGTTTGCTGAGACTTCTCGTAAGAAGTGGTGCTTAATGGCGATATGCTTTGTCTTGCTGTGGAATACTGGATTTTTTGCCATTGCTATCGCAGACTTGTTGTCGCAAAGTATTTCAGTAGTTTCTATTTGGCGCTCTCCCATATCTTCAAATATTCTTTTGAGCCAAATAGCTTGACATGCTGAACTTGCTGCTGCTACATACTCGGCTTCTGCTGATGATAGAGCCACAGTCTCTTGTTTCTTTGATGACCATGAAAATATTCCTGATCCAATTGTAAATGCATAGCCTGATGTGCTTTTCATGTCATCTACTGATCCAGCCCAATCACTGTCTGTGTAGCCAAATAGTCTTGGATCTGTAATGGGCTTATACCATATGCCATAGTCAATTGTGCCTTGCAAGTATCTTAATATTCTCTTTGCTGCTCCATAGTGTATTTGACTTGGATTTTGCATAAATCTTGACAATAAGCTTGTCGCATACATGATGTCAGGTCTTGTTGTTGTTAAGTATAGTAAGCTCCCAATAAGACTTCTATAAACTGATTCATTAGCTTTACTAGATCCATCTTCTTTTCTTAATTTCTCATTGGTAATAAGTGGAGTAGCTACAGTCTTGCACCCGTACATTTTGAACTTTTTCAAAAGATTCTCAGTGTACTTTTTTTGGCATATGAAGATTCCATCTTCTTCTTGGTTTATTTCAATGCCCAAAAAATAGTGCATCAACCCAAGGTCACTCATCTCAAATGTTTTCATCATATCTTTTTTGAACTCTTGAATTATTTTTTCATTATTTCTAGTGCAGATGAGGTCGTCCACATATAGAGAGACGATCAAGATATCGGACTTACCTTGAGTTTTACTGTAGAGAGTAGGCTCGCTTTTGCTCCTCCTGAAGCCTGCGTTGATGAAGTACTTGTCTATGCGGCTGTTCCATGCTCGTGGTGCTTGCTTAAGTCCGTGCAAGGCTTTCTTTAGCTTGAGTGCCTTATTTTCTCCTCCTTGCTCAATAAATCCTTGTGGTTGCTCCACATATATTTCTTCTTCGAGCTCTCCATTTAGAAATGCAGACTTTACGTCTAGCTGATAAATTTTCCATTTCTTTTGAACTGCTAATGCTACTAGTGCTCTTATAGTATCAAGTCTAGCAACTGGTGCAAAAGTCTCGTTGAAGTCTATGCCCGGCTGTTGCGAATAGCCTTTAGCTACTAGCCTTGCCTTATGCTTTTGTATAGATCCATCAGGATTAAATTTGGTCTTATAGACCCATTTAACCCCAATGATTTCTTTGTCTTTTGGGCGATCAACGAGTTTCCATGTTTTGTTTTTCTCAATTGTTTTAATTTCTTCTTCCATAGCTTTTCTCCAAATTTCTTCTTTTACTGCAACTTCAAAGCTTTCTGGTTCTATAGTTATGAAGTTGCAAGTTTCATATATATCTTGGAGTGATCTAGTTCTTGGTTATGGAGAGCCTTCATCTTGTATTGCCGGAGGAGTTGTAGGTTGAGGAATCGTACCTGGAGTTTCTTCATTTTCCTCTCTGCACGGTTGTGTTATAGTTACACTTTTCTTTTCAACTTTTTCTTCGTCCCAGTTCCATGAAGCCGATTCATCAAACTCAACATCTCGGCTTATCATGAACTTCTTAGTTTTGGGATTGTAGATTCGATAGCCTTTAGATTGAGAACTGTATCCCAGAAATATACCAACTTCAGATTTTTCTTCTAGCTTGTGTCTTTTCTCTTTAGGGATGTGCACATAGCAAATGCATCCAAATACTTTGAGATGCTTTGCTGATGGCTTTATATTGCTCCAAGCCTCAATAGGAGTCTTATTTTGTAAGGCTTTTGTTGGGCATCTATTTAGCAAGTATACTGCTATATACACAGCTTCTGCCCAAAATGTGTTTGGCAAGCCTTTTTCAAATATCATGGATCTTGCCATCTCCATGATAGTTCTATTTTTTCTTTCTGAGACTCCATTTTGTTCAGGAGCATAGCCAACTGTTAGTTGATGCTCTACCCCTTCATCTTCACAAAATTTGTTGAATTCTTTAGAGGTATATTCTTTTCCTCTATCACTTCTTAGAGCTTTAATATAGTGGCCACTTTGTTTTTCAACATGGGTTTTGAATTTTTTGAAGATATTAAACACTTCTGATCTTTCTCGCAGAAAATAAACCCACGTCATTCTAGTATAGTCATTTATGAACAGGATAAAATACCTGTTATTATCAAGAGATGGAGTCCTCATGGGTCCACAAACGTCTGTGTGAACAAGCTCCAACAAGGCCTTAGCTCTCCAAGCCTTTCCAGATGGAAATGCTTGTCGATGTTGTTTGCCAAGTTGGCAACCTTCACAGACATCATGGATCTCTTTTATGTTTGGAAGGTCTCTCATCATATTCTTTTGATAAAGAGTTTTTAGTGCATAAAAATTAAAATGGCCAAATCTTTTATGCCATAACCATGAATCTTCTACTTCTGCTTTCATGGCTGTGGCTTTTACAAGTTGCCATTGGATAGGAAAATTTCTATTTTCCATCTTTACTTTTGTTATTATATGATTTTTATTTCTTTTATCGAATATTGTGCAGGATTCTCTAGAAAAGTGCAGAGAGTATCCATTTTCAATCATTTGTCCAACACTTAACAGAGTATGCTCCAGGCTAGGTACCAGTAGAACATCTTTTATATATTTAGTTCCTTTATTAGTTTGGATGGAGATTGTACCTTTTCCTTTTGTCTCCACCAGTGTTCCATTTCCTAGTTTTACTTGTGATTTTACAGACTTATCTATGTTGGAAAAGATACTTTCATCTCCAGTCATGTGATTACTACAGCCGCTGTCAATATACCATTTTTTGTTGGTTCCTTCTGATGTGGCTTAATGAGCATAGAACACATGCTCATTCTTCTCACTTTTTTCTGAGTAATTGGCTTGATAGTTCTTAGTTCGGCAGTCTTTTTCTATGTGCCCAAATTTTTTACAATTTCGACATTTGGGCTTGCCACGGAACCAACAATCTTTTTCTAGGTGGTTTGTATTTTTACACACCCCGCAGGGAGGATAGTTTTTTCTTCCCTTTATTTCTTTTTTATTTCCCCAATTCTTATTGGATTTATAATTTTCTTTTCTAGAACTTTCTCCAATTTTCCTTTCCCCTTCTTTAGTTTTCTGAGACCTTAGATTTAGTTTTGACTGAAAGGCACTTTCAACTGAATTTTCATTTCGCCTACTCAGTCTTTTCTCATAAGCTTCAAGTAGAGCCAATTAGTTCTGTCACTGACAGACTAGTTAAATCTTTTGATTGTTCAATGGCAGTAACTAAAGGATCATACTTATCAGGAAGACTTATAAGTATTTTTTCTACAATTCTTGAGTCATTAATATTTTCTCCATAGGCTCTCAATTGATTAATTATTATTTTTATTTTAGCATAATAGTCTTGTGTGGTCTCAGAATCCTTCATTTTAATATTTTCAAACTCTCTTCTCAAAGTTTGTAGTTTAACTGCACGTACCTTGGCATTGCCTTGAAATTCCTCCTTTAAGGTATTCCATGCTTCCCTTGCAGTTGTGGCTCCCATGATTCTTGGAAAAATCGTATCATGCAAGGCTTGTTGCAGGGCATATAAGGCCTTTGCATCTTTTTGTTGATCTTTCTTAAGTTGCCTCAACTGTTCTACAGTTGGGTTTTCTGGATTATTGAAGCCACTATCAACTATGTCCCATAAATCTTGAGACATAAAATAGGTCTTCATTTTAATACTCCAGAAGTCGTGGTTTTCTCCCATGAAAATAGGAAGAGGGTCAGAGTTTTGGCTAGTGGTAGACATGATGGAGGAGTAGTGAACCAACGCCCAAGGTTGTTCGGAACAAGCTCTGATACCACTGTTAGTTCTAGGGAGAAGAGAGGCTTAGGATAATAGCTTGATGATGAATAGGAAGCTTTTGAAAGAGTGACAAGATAATTTTATTTTATTGATTGAAATAAGAAGGGTACAAGGGCTTTAGAGTTGATTGGATACAAGAGGTGACTGATGTGAGTTTAGAGAGCTGGTGGTTTTTCAGCTTTCTTAACTTAAATACATTAGTGGGCTGTTATAGCTATATATAGAGTTGCTGAACCGACTATCTAAGTTGGCTTTTTGCTTAGTTAAGTCGGTTTGCACAGTAACCGACTTTGTCTAAGTAATTTCAGCCACTAGTTATAACATGGGCCTAGAATAGTCTAGTTACAATACATTATATAATTAATAAGATGTTTCTAGTGTAGAGCTCAAATTTGTCTTGTCATCTTGTCTCAATTTTTCTAGACTTTTCTATATTATTCTAGTACAAGTGTGCATTATTTTTTAACAAATTTTCTTCACTTTGCTAAGCTAAACAAACTATCATACCATACACACTTTAGAGAGCTTACTTTGTTAATTTGTCCAGTGATCACTTCGGTGTCTGTTATCAGATATACCTGGCCAATTTCCCTCTTCATTTTTTTGTTGTTGTTGGAGCTCTGCAAACAGAAGCTATTTTGTGTTGTCAGCAAAAAGGACGCAAAATTGCCAGAAAGAATTGGAGGGAAAATTAGGATATATGAACGTACAGTCTTACCAAAAACAAATTAGCACAGTTCTTAAACCGAGCTGAGCTTTTTTTTCGCTGATTGGCTCTCTTCTTCTATCTCTCGCCGTTGGCTCTGTCAATCAGCTACTGTCACCTCACCAAGCTACTCCCACCAGATCTTAAAAGGTATTTTCTTTTTCAAAATGGGTTTCAAATTTCTTGGCTTTTGGCATTGTTGTGAATGTAGTAAGCCTAAGAGCTGTCGATTTCATAAGAAAATGCCTAAATTTTTCACGTCATAACGCAACGGATGGGTTTACTGTTTTTGTCTATTGGCAATGTTTAGTCTCTTTAGTTTCTATATGTTTCATGGACTTGTTTCGTTGTGTTTCACCCTTTTGGATTATTTCTAATAAGTTTTTACCTACAAATGCATATAATTCTAAAGTTCTGTGAAATTCTTTGCAACTTTCTATAACCTTTAAAATTCATGATTTCTTTTTCATCATAAGATGTTTTTTGTGTTTTGTTTGTATACAGAAATTTCTAGATAATTTCTGATTGTTTTTGCAGATAATTTCTTTGTTAATTTCTAGTTGATGAATGGGAGAACCTCAAATGGAAGACCTACCCACATCAAATCCTGTGATTGAACTGGAAGGAGATGAATTTTGGCCACTTTCTAGCTAGGAAACCCCTTTTTGATGTGGTTCTCACGAAAACAACTATCAACCCTTGTCCCAACTGTTAAATTATCCCATAATTTCCCATGTTTAAATAGTGGTGAGACTTCCTCCTATGTCAATTTCTTAACTAATGGTGCTAGTCTACATGATCATAGTTGCCAATTTTATTACATAATTAAATCGTTTGATATCTATCTCATAATTATTGTCAATTGATCATTGCAATGAAGTAACTATTTGTGTGATGAGCGTAATGCATGAGCAATTTGCACATACATCTTAATTTTAAATAAAGGGTTGCCTTGTTCAAGAGAAAAATAATCTGGCTACTGCTAAAACTTTCTTTTCTTTGAAATTGTAGGCAATAATGTTGTGCATTAATTGCTAATTCTCTAATTTGGGATTATCATTTTCTTCGCTTTAATTAGTCTAATTTGTTGAAATAATCATTTGTTCGAGTTGGTGGTCCTAGGCAAATTTAGTGCAACACCACCTTCATGTTCAATCCCTATAGTTCTCACATTTCGGGGCAAGAACTGGGAGATGATATATCATGGATCATCCAGTCATAAAAGGCTTGATAACTGGAGAGTATTTGCCATTGACAACAATTTGAAGGTTGGAGATGCATCTGTGTTTGAACAACTGGAGTGTAGCTGTGCTAGGCTAGTATTCAGAGTCCAAATTCTCAGAGGTGACATCCCATCTGAATTTCTAGACAAGCTCGATGGTGATAATGTAGATGCACCAATTGTTCTCAAATAGTATATGTCGTATTGTCTTTTACTGTATATTGTCAATTTCCTGAATGAGATTACTTTCGGGAGCTAATATGATTTGAATTTGATGGAACTCTAGCAGAGCCAATTAAGGATGTGATAATTGTAATGATTTTGAGTCCATGTGTTCCAGTCTAGGACTTATGGTGTCATTTGACATGATACTTTAGTAACATGAGTATCTATTATTGTTCGGATACCTTTAAAGAACGTAATTTAGTAGTGTACATTCTAACAATCCTCTTTAATAATTTTGTACCATTCAACTGACATGCTTCTCAAAATGCATCAAGTAAGCTAAAGAATGAGTTCAGAAGGTCTCATAATCTACTATAGTAATTGTACTATCTGTTTTCTGATGAGTGGGAAGGTTTTATGTGGCTATCATGGTTCATTGCTTGAAGGACTGTATTTTCCTGAATTAAATTCTATATAGTATAATTACTATAGTAGATTAAATTCTTTGTATGACAATCAAAGGGTCATGGACGTTCAATGACTCATATATTAAAAGTCAAAACTCTAGGCTCTCTGTTTAGTCTATATGCTAAATCTAATTAAGTTGTCTCCCAGCCAACTTTAGACAAGAATGTCTAGGTTTTTTAATATTAGTTAGATGTAATGAATAGGAGCTCAAAGAGAACAAAAAAAAGCTGTCTGTTTGAACTCCTGTTCATTGCAGTAGTTTACATAGTAAAAGTTGAACCGGTTCATAAGGTTTGGTAGGGTTAGGATTAGGGTAGATGATGAACTAGATCACATTCCAATGTACCAGAAAAAAAAAGCCTGGTTCTTGCATTCCTGTTTTCGTTGTTCACATATTTCTGTAAATTTACGTTGAAGTATCTATTCTTGTAACCACTTAACTACTTGTACTATTGAAGTTTCAAATTCACAATCCTGCTTGCACAGCTTTCCATCAACATACTAAAACTGAATAATGTTGACTACTATTGTATCCAAGACCATCAGGGATTAGGGCCCGTTTGGTTCAAGCGAAATTTCCTTAGTCCTTTTTCTGTGAAACAAAGCCAAGTCTTTTCCGCCTTCCATCCCGTGTTTCCCTGCTAATTGGCTCACTCCTATATGGCCTTCTTGCAGCTCTGATGTATGATTCCAATGAAGGAAGCTCAACAATCCGGGTGAGCTTATTAAAGGAAGCAACATTGTGCATGGGTAGGTCATGCTATAGGCAGACATTCATATGGTGGGGTTGTATTTCAATAGTAGGGTTAGCTTCAAGCTTATTGCTATTCCTATGGGACTGCTTACAACTGCTTTATTGAGTGGAACAGAAATCGGACAAGAGTTACGCATGAAATCCGGGGCAGCTGAGAGCAAATGACCAAAGAAGGAGCATGAAGAGTATAATGTGACTAGAGAACTAGTCAGGGAACTGTATTCAAGTGATTGTGAAATCTGACCAAGATTGTTGCTATAGACCAACCCAATTGTTCCCCCACAAAAATATGCAGCATAGTATAGCCAAAAATCTCATCGGCCTACAAACAGCTTAGTTGAGTGCTCTTCACCTAGCACTGTCAACCTGTCTTTCTCCATCACCGTCCCAAAACATGCGAAACACCTGAAAATGCCTTCTGTGTCTATCATCCCATTCAAATTAGCATTTGTGGCACTTGTGGTGCTTTCACTTCCTGCAATGAGTTCCTTGTGGAGCTCAAGATCGTCAGGGTCAACCAAATTGAAGGTAGATGAGTTGTCCGAAGGGAAGCTTGAGGGGAAGTTCCTACAAGCCCACTCACGAGCATATGCAATGCCAGGCAGACTAGGTAGGATCAGGAGAAAAAGAGCACCAACTAAGAGCATCCGAGCTTTCGAAACATGAGAGGATAGGGAGTTGAGCATCCGAGCTTTCTTTTTGCTGAGAAGTCCCATGCAAATTCTTCCATATAAAAACGTCAAGAAAAATTAATTCAATTTTCTCATAATTAAGGGTAATAATGATTCAACCTCAATATATATAATTTTTCAACGAAGTTCTGTACCATGACTTTCAGGGACACTTTGACCACAGGCCTTTGATAACTCCAGAGTAAAATAAATCCTCCTGATATAAAATAACTTTTGTTTCCAGAGCTCCAACAAGTCTTTTGATCTCAAAAACTTCAACATCATTAAAAAAATAATAATAATAAAAAATAAAAAATAAGAAGAAGCAGAAAATGGCCACTTATATATGATAACAGACACCAAAGTGATCCCTGGACAAATTAATAAAGTAAGCTCTCTAAAGTGTGTATGGTATGATATTTGGCTACTTGCATTTTGATCTCTAAACTTTTTATAACAGACAGCAAAAAGTGATCCGGCTATAGAGAAAACCAAAGAACCTGCATTTTCTATATATTGCCTGTAGAAACATACATAAATTTAATCTAATTTCAACCCAATGAAGAAAAAGATTAATTGATTGTAAACGTGGTACATGTACATTACTTAATTGGTCAATCTATGATGACCATATTAGCTTCACTACTTGCAGTAGTAGTGTTCTCCATTCCCATAAACTGTGCTGTGGAAGATTGCGGCGGACCATCATCACAGTTGATCAAGTGGATGAGTAACTCATAATCAATCGAGAAGTCGAGCGCATTGGCTTGTTCCGTGAATGGTTGTGCGGTGTCCAAATGTGAGAAATCGCTCATTAGGGCATCGCCATCACCGCCACCATGAAATTGGCTGACGTCATCAGTATAGTTTATCCTAGCTTGGGAAGAGACCACAGTTGTTGGGTATGCAAAAGAGCTGTCCTGCTGAGATTGAGTGAGTTCAGTTGGCAAGTATGAAACACTCCCACCAACTCCGGTAGCCTCAGACATGGGAGTGCAATTACCAATAAGTTTCTCAAAGCTAGTCACTTGTTGCGGCCTTTGCCTCTTATTTTGAGATTGTACTGGAGTGTCAGTTTCATTATCCTCTTCTGCAGTTCTCAACTTTCTCTTCCCCTTGTCATTCTTTCGAATCCGGCACAGCACAAACTGATTGGTTGGATTCACCAATGAAGGGTGAAGGTTGTACTCGTGCATAATCCAGCAACCGTCTTGAACAGATTTAGGGTTTTCATAATGAAACCTTTTCCATATACCTAAATCGTTCTCCTCATTCTTCGGATCACTGACTGTGGTCCCTGAGTTCTCACCTTTCCATGTCCCGGACCCTATTGTGCGAGCCACGCGGGAGTCCTTGTCACTCAGGCTCTTCAATTTGGTGAAGAAATAAAGGTCTTCAGCTTTGGCTAAGTTGTGTCCGCCATATTCATGCCATATATCCCATGGCTCTATCTTACCATAAAGATCCATTTCTGGAATAACATTTTCATACATAAAGGATGTGCCACGAACCTTGTTAAGAAGATAATATCCCAATAACTGATCATCTCTTGGACGAAATTTAAAACCGACTGGAAGATTAACAACAGACGCACAAGGTGCCATATATAAGCTATGTAGCAGGTTCCTCTTCGACTTTTGTTGAGAAGAGAAGATTAAAGTTGATCTAGGTGTCTTGGAATGGAAAGAAAATGAGTATATAGGCTGGTTCGGCAGAGAGAGCGTGTTGGTGTTGGATTCTTTAATATGGAGGAGACGATTCTGTAATGAGTTTCTTGGGGTTCTGTGAGAGTCTTCTTCCTTCCATTCCTATATATATAGGAGTATTAGGGCAATTGGAAGCTAAACCTTATACGGGGAGGATTTGTGTTGTGATATCCATCCGGGATTTATGGAGAGGATATACATCACCAAACTTTAATTCCCTAACCACCCTTTCTCCTTCTTCTTCCACTTCAAACCCTAAAAAATAAAACCAAAGGAAGAAAGGCTATATTCAGGTGGATACCGCGTGCATTAATAAATAAATAAATAACTGTTTAAATTTTAAATTAATTTTTAAAAAAACTCAAATTAAGAAAAATCAGCTTCAACACCCAAAAAAAATACATCCCTCTCTAGATCATCCATCTACCTCAAATTAAATGCATTTTCAATTTTATATTTGTCGGACTAGAAATTTCGTATCCTCCAACAAACATTCTTCTACTCCATGCTTGAAATACCATATTCACTTGCTAAAATAGCAAATTTGTTTTATAAAATATGAAAGCCACGACAGATTGTAAAAGTCTTTCTCGTCGTGTGGTATGGCATAAAGATACGATATGATGAAAATGCATGTGTTCGTGGTAATTTGTAGAACCATAAAAGAACCAAGACAATATTTTTCTTTGACTTGTGTCCTATTGTAGCTTGGAGGGATAGTGCGTCCATTACTTCTCAATTTGGTTTTATTGTTAATTTCACACTACGGCACAAACTTTTGAAGAATAAATTTTCAGGGCCTCCGACAAACAATCTTCTAATTCTAATTCATGTGGGAGATAGAGGCCACCATATTTTCTTGCCAAAAAATTAATGAGTAGGAGGTTTCTATAAGAAAAAACTTTGATGCTCAAGTCAGTAGGTGTTTAAGAAAAACTTCGTTGCCATAAATTTCTATTGTGGTTGTGTGTTTAAGTGGCTTTCTATAGGCATTGAATTCTTGGGCTCAATACTCCATATTCATTTATATTCATGAGGCACTCACGGATTAGAATTTAAGGAAAATTTGGTAACACTCAATAATATGGAAAATATTAAGGATATAATAAATGGGCTATTTATGTATTGGACTTAATCAACTGTTTTTAAATTTTTCTTAGCTTGGAGTCAATGGGCCTTGTCAAGGGCTTTAGGGGTTCCTTAATTACAAATTTATAAATAAACCCAATTCTAGACATGTATTTATAAAAAAACCCAAGCATTATTTAAAGATAGAAACACACCCAAAATCAACCCCAAAGTCAACTTTTTGGGTGTGTTTATAAATGGGTTTTGAGTGTGTGTAATGATGAGTTTTGGGTGTGTTTATATGTTTAAATAGTGCTTGGGTTTTTTTATAATTTCAACCCCCATTTTGGGTGTTTTAGTGAAACTCCCTTAATTAATTTGTATTTTAAATTACATTAATACCCTTTTGTATTTTATACGGAGTGAAATCTGAGTCTCAGGTACACAAAATCACGCCCAACGACCTCAACTTTGGATTCAATCCCAAACGGAGACCACGAGGTCGCAACCACCACCACGGGATCTCAATCGTGGGCGGATTCTCAAAGCTCATAGCCAATGCTGACGCCGAGGGTTCTGCTCTGGTGAGATCGAAGCTCCAGTCCGAAGACAAGGACACGGAGGACAACGATGAGAACAGAGGTCTCAATGATAGGATGCTAAGGGTGTTTTAGTCTTTTGCTTTAGCAATTAATTGACTATATTAGGAGTTTAGTTAGTATTGTAAAGGGGGTTGAATTGTATTGTGTTTTGAGTAATAAAAATAGTATATTCTCTCTATACATTTGGGTTAAGGTCGAACGGGGTTCTCAATTTGGAGATTCTTGAGAAACGATCTAGGATTCTTTGTTAGGGCCCATGCCTTGTTTTCCAGCATTTACCTCTTTGGGAAACCACTTTCTTTATTTGATTGAAGAACCCAACCTCTTCCTCCTCTGCTTCTAACCCAATTTCAAAACGTTCTCTGTTTCCATGGCTCTCTTTTCATCGCTTTCTCTCCATGGTTCTCTCTTTTCATGCCTCCCTCTAGGCTTTATCGCTCTCCCACCACCCTATTAAGTTGATGATTGGAACAACCAATTAAGTTTGGGCAGCAAGGTCGCTCATGTATTGTTCTAATCCTTATAAGTTTTGGGTTACTAAATGTATTATTCCAGAACGCTAATGTACCACAATTCGATATGTGAGATCCCGTTCAAAATTTGTAAGGGCGTGAGCGAATTGGGTAACTATGATATAGCTAGTCTAATATCAGTAAGAAAAAAAGGTTACATGGAGCTTACAATAAGTAGCTTCAAGTTAACCTACCTCTCGGATAGCACAACTCGCATCACCCTATCTTCGAATGGCATCTTTTAGCTCACTACCTTAACTCTCAAGCTTCTCATTCAATTCTGAGATTGATTGAGCTCCGATATCTGCTGGTATTTCCATAGTAACTTTATCCTTGTTGGAATTTTAAAGGTTTAAAAAAATTTATCATTTTGATTTGTTTAATTTTTTTGGCTATTTTATTTTATTTATTGTGGAAATATATAATTTTCAGATTTTATTTCTCTATTGAATGCCTTAATTTTCTAGGAAAGAGAAAAAACAAAAAATAACAATATTGATTAAAAAGTATTAAAAAGTAAAAAGAGAGTGTAGAAAAGGGGAGTGAGAAAATCACCTCCCTAATTCAAATATCAATGTACACATAAATGGTTCAGTTTGGTTTAGGCTGATTTACAAAAATTTAAAATCAAACCATATACGGTCCAGTTAAGTTTTTAACCATTTGACTTTTTATTGGTCAATACCAAACCAAACCGATAATTACGGTTTGGATCTACTAGTTTTATTGATTCGACTGGATTGATGCCCATTAGTTTTAGGATATTTACCCTAAAATGAATAATATATTAGGTTTTTCTCCTACAAGTTAACCATAAAACTTCTTGATTTCTCTTCTACTTATCTCCCTTAAATCTTCTAGGTTAGTTTATGAGATTTGCACCAAAAAATTTAAAAGCTCTACTCTTATTTGGGAAAATTAAAGAGAGAGTGCAATGTGAGGGAAATGTGTTTGCATATTTTTTTGGGCAATTTTCATTTAACCACGTTGAAGTATACCGAGTTTCAGCCTTCGATATATCAAGTTTTTTTCAGCCTTATATATCAAGTTTGCTATATTTGTCCATGAATTTCAGCCTGGTCTTCCTCTAGTCTAAAGATTTTGGACAAGTGTTTGGGTTAAACCGAAGACAAGAGGGGTCTAGGAATAGGTCTGCAAGCTTGGGTTTGCTCGAAGACAGAGAGGGGGGATAGGAAGAGGGAAGAGAGACAGAATGGACGGCGGCGGCGAGAAGGTTGGGTTGATGTGATTTGAGGTGAAGGGAAGAAAGTGTTTTTTGTTTTAACAAAAATATTTAGTTTATTAGTTTTTAAATATTTTTTTAATAACTTAATTCATTAATTAAAATATTTTCATTATTTAGCCTACGTGGCAAGATATGGGTAGCTCCATGTGGCAACATTAATTGTCATGTCATTAATTAATGGAGAACATGACAGTCAAACTAACGGAGGTATGAAAGTAATATGAAAATAAATGTTATGTATGCAATTGAGACGAAAACACTTGATGTATCGAAGGCTGAAATTCGGTTAACTTCAACGTAGTAAAATGAAAATTACCTTCTCTCTTTTTTATTTTATTATTTTTTTTGTGGTCAAAATTGTGTTTGGACATTGGAAGATACTAATTGTGGTATATTTAGGTGGTTTCGGACACCTTGGACCATACTTTGGCTAACCTCAACTGGCTAGCCCCACCATACAGATAGTGACAACAATTAAAAACAAAAGGTTGTAACATCAGGCAGACCAAAGTCACCTACTTTGCTGGGTTAATCTGTTTGGTCTTTGTCGTAGTAGTTGTTGGTTTCATCGTATAATATTTTGAAATCATACATATATTTGAGTTTCTTCATTTGAATGTTTCCTGATTAAATTTTTTATACTGAACATGTTAGTGCTTAAAGAATTATTCAAGATTGTCCTTTTCCAAGTTCCAACATGTACGTTTGATACATTTTAGTCTTCCCTTTTCTTTGTACAATAATCCATTTCTTTATCTTTCTGATTCATTTAAAATATGGCCATTGACTTCTCTCTTCCAATATGTTATCGCACTTGGTTATAATCGAGGAAGACCACTTACTTTTGTTACAACTTTTGAAAAGTTCTCCCATGGACTTGGTAAAAGTAGGTAGCTGCACTAGATCAATTGGTTTTAAATGTTTTCCATCCGAATTAGTTTTCTCCATAAATTTCTATGCACAACAATGGCAAGTCAAGTAATGGGTGGAACTCGAGCCACTCATGTGTTTTCGATGCTTGTGTTAATCTCATTCTTTGTTATTGCAGCACAGGGAGCCATTGAGGAGTGTAAGTTTTGTTAAATTGATATGTCCTTTTTCATTGTGCAGTTCATCAGTTTTTGTTGATAGTTGTATGAGCTACTGATCTTTTCTTTAGCTTTCTCAATAATAACCTTCAAAATACTCGTGTGTATGACTGCTTCTTCTCCACCAGGTAGAACTCTTAAGTGGCATTCAAAAGTTTGGATCAGCATTAGACTTGCATAGGGTAATTCAATTCTAGACATTTGGCCATGAGGGTTGGTCTAGTATTGTTTGATAGTTTCGATTTTATCGTTACAATAGTTTTCAGTAATTTGGCAGATGTTAGTTGAGAAATCTCATGTCAACTAGACATCAGCTCCTGGAAAGTGGTTAGGTGTATCCATGTCTTATGAGTTGTTTCAGTACTAATCAATCCATTGGAAACTAAGCAGTCAGTCAATGAAATATGGTAGTATGGTATATCAGCTTTGATAAATCAGTAAATGACGATTGAAGCATTGAACTGTTTTACAATTTCTGATGCAGATGCTCCTATGAAGATTCTCATGGATGAATGGGACATAAGACCTCCCGGTTGGGTGGGTTCAGATCCTTGTGTTGGTGGCTGGGAAGGTATTGAATGCACCAATTCACGTATAACCTCCATGTAAGTTCTTGGCCTGTTTCCACCTTTTTCAATTCTCCTGGAAGTTGCTTGCTTCAAATTTGATAATAATTCGACTTCTTTAATTTCAGAGCATTGGCAGATATGGCTTTGACAGGTCAGCTTCCAAGCGATATCGAGCTGTTATCTGAGTTAGAGATTCTGTAGGTTCTATCTCCATTTTTCAATTTACAGTTAAATGGTACTTAATTTGTAAATTACAACTAATATGTGAGCCACAAACCAGGAATTGTCTTTCTTTCAAGAATATACTATGAGGTTCAGTGCTCAATAGGCACTGACTGTTTCAAAGAATTTTAAACACTAGTCAAATCATTTTAACTGCATTAATGAATTCCTCCATTATTGGATTATACATTTACTGATACTGATAACAGATTTATCACTTAGTCTTGTGTAACTCACTTCTCCTCCCTTTTCATATAGGAATCTGTCTTTCAACAAGGGCCTGAAAGGACCACTTCCGGCATCAATTGGAAAATTGACGAAACTAGTATACTTGTAAAAAAACATAAAGAATAATTGGTTTTTCCTCTAAAGTATTTATTGACTTGTTCTGCTAATCACCTTGTTGCTTTCTTCATTGCGAGCCAGAAACCTAGTTGGTTGCAGTTTCGTTGGCCCTATCCCAGACACAATAGGATCTCTAAAGCAGCTGTCTTATCTGTAAGGCCTCCTTCTAGCTTCATCATTCCTACCAAAGCGTTTAAACAGGCTGATATGCACTAACTTTGGAACTCTGCATTTATAGATCTTTGAAGAACAATAGTTTCAATGGGCTGATTCCGCCTTCCATTGGTAATCTGACCAAACTTTTCTTTCTGGATCTTTCTGACAACAAACTTGTGGGATCCTTCCCAGTACCTGGTCTTGATCAGTTAGAGAAGGCGAGGCACTTGTATGTCAACTCTAGCTACTTCTGAGCTGAATATTTTTTTATTTTTTTTCTACCTTGGCTCTATGCCCATCTGATTCTCTTATTTATTTTAAATACAGTCATTTTCAAAATAATCAGCTCTCAGGCAAAATTCCACCTGAACTTTTCAGCTCACGGATGAATCTGATACATGTGTAAGTTTTGTTTAAGCATCTATTTTCTTGAAGGTATAGCTTGAGAATATAGGGAGAGAACCTGTTCAATTTGGCTTAACTACATGACAGAGTAGAACAGTAAATGTATGAGTTGATGTGTATGAAAAATGCGTATCTAATAGCCTCTCCTTAGTGCATATTTCATTTTAAAAGGGTATTGCTGCATCTTTTGGTAATGGAATACCCGAGGAAATGTCTTTGATATGGAAACTGAGGACTGAAGCTTTTTTTTTAATCTGCAAATTCCAATTATTAAGGGAAACACATTACTTTATCTGCTTGTTACTTTTTTTGTGCAGGATTTTTGACAGAAATAATCTAACTGGCAGCATTCCTTCCACACTTGGACTTGTGCAGTCTCTGCAGGCAGTGTGAGTATTTATTTCATATCCTCAAAGTAGATTTATTCCAAGGTTTTTGCTGCTGGATTTCGACCTCTGTAAAGTTGTTTGTACTGAATATCTTCTTCTGCTACAGACGCCTTGATAGGAATTCTTTAAATGGGTCCGTACCAAGCCTCAAAAATCTTTCTAACATCGCTGAACTGTAAGCATACAGCATACCAAGTCAATGATTTATATTGAAACTTTTGAACATATTGTTCGGAGTTCACTTTACTAAGAGAGGCTAATATTAATATGGTTTCAGGCACTTGTCCAACAATCAGCTGACTGGCCCCGTGCCCAACCTTACTAACCTGAATAACCTAAGCTATGTGTAAGTATGAACCACGTTACTGATTTATTAATTCTATCTGCTCACGCATTGTACTTTCCAATAAAATATGAGAATTATTTCACTTTTTCCCGTCAAGAAAATGGTTACAATCATATTTCTACGAAATTTGAAAACCATATTCCCATTGTTGATATCACTTTGTGGTCCTTGACTGAATTTGATCTGCAGGGACATGAGCAACAATACTTTTGATGTATCAGATGTTCCTAGTTGGTTTTCGACATTGCAGAATCTGACGACATTGTATGTTTCATTCCTCGTCCATATACCTCTGTGTGTGTGTGAGTGTGTATCTGTTTGCACTTCGAGTTGAAGTGTATGTGACTGCATTTTAAACATCATCAAGTTAAAGAGAAAAGTTTATTGGTCCAAATTAATGTGCCTTTCGTTCCTGAATGGCAGAATGATGGAAAACACACGACTTCAGGGAGAAGTTCCTCAAGCTCTATTCAGCAATTACAATTTGGAGACACTGTGAGTATCTTACTGATCTCTAATAGCACCACACTTAATTTCATGAATCTAAGCGGCTTTGATTTTGAACATGGACTCTGTTCCAAAGAAGAGAATGTAAAACAAGGCTTGTAGTACTCTCTTTATATGTCATGGTATAGTTGCAGTGATAGTTGTGAAATGGTTATTCTAATCTGTGACAGGGTACTGAGGAACAACAAGATCAATGGTTTATTGGATCTCGAAACCATTTCTAGCAACCATTTGCAACGGATTGATATGGAAAAGAACTTCATTACTGACCTTAAACCAAGTGCTGGAGGATCCAACTATACATTAATGTAAGCATTAGTATTCATTCATATTTGTAGTTTCTTTCTTTTCGGTGTTAAGAATTTCGGAAGAACAAATTTCCAAAAGATATACCTAGTTCTTATCTGTCATGTCGTCCATTATCTGTTGCAGACTCGTTGATAATCCAATTTGTGAGGGAACAAACATGGCAAATAACTACTGCATTCTGTCTCCATCAAATTCCTCAAATTTGATACCACCAAGTAACTGTGCCTCTGTTGCCTGTAGTCTGGGCCAGGTTTCTTCCCCCAACTGTACATGTGCATATCCTTACACAGGAACTCTAGTCTTCATATTTGTTTCTTTCTCCAATTTGGGAAACTTTGGTTACTACAGAACTCTTGAAGCCGCACTCCTAGGAACCTTTCAGTCCAATAACCTTCCTGTGGAATCAGTTGCTCTGGGTTATCCTACCTGGGGCTCATCTTATCACCTTGAACTGTTCATACAAGTCTTCCCATCTGGTCAAGATCGCTTCAACCAAACAGAAGCATCAGCAATTGCGTCTGTGATTAGCAACCAGACTCTTTCACCGCGTCCACCTTCTTTTGGACCCTACTCTGTTGTTTTTCCTTATGGTAACTCAGGAGGAGGAGGTAAGTCTGAAATCACAACGAATTTGGAAATATTAGTTGTAGTTCTGCTTCAAAAAGCGGAAATGTTAACTCAATTTTATAATGGATGACACATCTCTCTATCCATTTCTCATCATTTTGAGGTGCCTGCAGGATCAAAAAAAGGTTTGATAATTGGTGCAGCAGTTGGTGGTTCTGTGCTTCTGTTATTATTAGCCCTTGTAGGGGTTTATGCTCTCCAACAAAAGAGAAGAGCAGATGAGCAATGGAGCAGATCAATCCCTTTGGTAAGATGTAGTTCATCAATAACTCAAAAAATGGTCAAGAAAAATTTAAAGTACACGCAGCAAATTATGTTTCATCGTGCGAGCATGAGTTAATTATTGTGTTCAATGTCTTACAATGCAACAGTCTGGGATTTCAAATAGCAGTGCCAGTGCTCCTCGGCTAAAAGGAGCAACATTGTTCTCTTTTGAAGAACTTCAGAAATACACCAATGGTTTTTCAGAAGCCAATGATGTTGGAGCTGGTGGTTATGGAAAGGTTAACTTTGTTTGATTATCTTTCATTACCATAGAGATTATTTCCTGAAAGTGTGAGCCCACCATGTTACCTTGCCTAGCAACATATCAGTGCTTTATTTTCACCAACTCCATAATACGGTGATCTAATTGCCAGAAACCATATGCCATTCGTTTGTTTGTTATATTCACCACAAGAGTGCTTTTATTCCAACCCTATCTTGCTCACCTCACCATAGTTTCATTTTATTTTCATTTCGAGGTCAGATTATGCAGATATCCTGGCTCTCAGTAATCCAAAGAACAATTCCAAATCCCTAATTCTGACTTTCTTTTGGTTAGCTATAAACAGCTTGTGGCATTGACTGGCACAAGACGTGACATCCATGACCGTGTCATGGTCATTGCTTCCATTGCAGCAAGAAACACCGACTTTTGCTCTTCATTTTTCTTTTGTAAATACTTTTGTAAGTTTAGGAATAAGAAAGTTTATGATTAAAAGTTTTATTAGAATGGTGTGGGAATGACGAGTATGAGGTAGGAATAAAAGCAAAGTCAGCACATACCTCTTTTTTCTTTATGAAAAAATGTTTATGATACTTCAGGCTTGCCATATATCTCATCTATAGCCTCACCACTAAACTCCAATCCTCAAAACTGCAATTCCCTTCAACAGACTCCACGAAATGATATATGAAGAATAACTCATTACAATGAAAACTATTACAGTCGCTAGACAGTTACAAAATGTATAATTTGGCAACATTTTACAGGTGTATCGGGGAATTCTTCCGACAGGCCAAATGGTTGCCATTAAAAGAGCTAAAAGGGATTCTATGCAGGGAGGGCCTGAGTTCACAGCTGAGGTTGAGCTTCTATCAAGAGTACATCATAAGAATCTTGTCAGCCTTGTTGGTTTCTGTTTGGAGCAAGGGGAACAAATCTTGGTATATGAGTACGTTCCAAATGGTGATTTGTTGGATAGTCTTTCAGGTATTCCATGCAGCTCTTCACCTTGAAATTTTAATTTTTTTTAAAGCTGAAACCCTTGTTCATCATTTTTCTTTAATGTAATAATTATACATTAGAAAATTGATTATGCAGGGAAGTCAGGAATCAGGTTGGACTGGTTGAGGAGACTTAAAATAATTCTTGGTGCAGCAAGAGGTCTGGCCTATCTCCATGAACATGCAAACCCTCCGATTATACACCGAGACATTAAATCAAACAACATACTACTTGATAAAGATTTAACTGCAAAAGTTGCTGACTTTGGCCTCTCCAAGTCTATGGCTGATAGTGGAACTGATCATGTGACTACTCAAGTCAAAGGAACAATGGTCAGTATTGAAAACTTCCCACCTCTCTACTAAAAATAATGCACTTTTTCCATATCAACTATTAAGGGTAATAGTGTTCTTCAAGCAATGAGGACTAAAGGCCTGTGTTTATCACAATATCATCCTAAATTATGACCGAGTATTTAATATTCTTTTTTGTTATAGGGCTACTTGGATCCTGAATATTACATGACTCAACAGTTGACGGAAAAGAGTGATGTTTATAGCTTCGGCGTGGTAATGTTGGAGCTGATAACTGCTAGAAGGCCAATAGAGCAAGGGAAGTATATAGTGAGAGTGGTGCAGATGGCAATGGATAAGACAAAAGAACTGTACAACCTTCGTGAAGTTCTTGACCCATATATTGGTTTGGGAACAGAGCTAAAAGGTTTAGAAATTTTTGTTGATTTGGCAATGTCGTGCGTGGAAGAATCACAGGATAAAAGGCCTAGAATGGGGGAAGTGGTGAAAGTGATTGAGAACATAACACAGCTTGCTGCTTTGAACAACTCAACATCCAATTCAGCAAGTTATGAGGATGGGAGTACGGATGATTTGCTACCATCTGTACAGCGGTCACGTCCTTGATTATACTCGTGTTGCATATCAGCCTGTTTAAACGCTTTGGTTAGAATTTGTCTTGAATCTGATATTGTATCAGTATCATATGACCAATATGTCTATTATTAGCTTCAACTAGAAAAACAAGCCTAAGCATTAAGTAACATTTATTCTCCATTACACAGAGCTTCTTGTTGTTGCTTAAACAATTTAGAAAAAGAAAACAGCTCTGATCACCGTATTTTAAAAACCGGCATTTTGCAGAATTTCATAACTTTCCCAATTGAATAATTTTATACAGCTTTGCTTTGCTTGTAGAAATATAAGTAAACAGCTCTGATCAACCAAGTGAAACAAAAAGTATAGATGGATAAAAAAATGTTATTGAATTAACTAAAACATTAATTACAAAAGAATTTACGAATACAGTGCTTGCAATTGTTGCACAAACAATACAACAGAAAAACAAAACCAAAAGGAAAAGTGGTAATTTAATTGATCATATGGAGATTAATTATCAATCTATCATATGACTATTATGGACTTGTGCGACCAATTGCACACATCAATGCCAATGTCAATATTGTTGCTCGTAGTTGCTTCAGCACCAACAGTAGTAGCACAGCTCTCTTGTTTAGAAGAGTAGTTGGTGCAAGGATGGGTATAGATATGAACCAAACGGCTGTGTTGTGAAAGATTACTGGGGATCATCATCATCAAACGGGCTCATTTCAAACACATGATCGTCAAGCTGCAAGTAGTCTGGCTCTGACATATTGATTCGGGCAATTTGATCATCAATGTCAAGATATTCATGGCTTGTTTCTTCACTTGTCCCAAATCCAATGTCATCTGTGACTTCAATAAACTCGGAGCCAGTAGCGAAACTCTGAGAAGTATGACACTCAGTCTCATGATCTGTATATGGTGTATTCCCCATTTCTTCCCTCTCTGCACACAGTAGCATGCTTGAATATGATTGCATTTGCGGTGTGGTGTTGTTATCAATAATAGTAGGGCCGTCCAAATATGAGAAAGCAATATTCAGGGCTTCATCAAAATCGTCACCCAATAATTGGTTGTCATCAATCATCTCAGGTTGATGGTTTGACTGAGTGAGACCAATTGGGTTCGTAACGAACTCTGGCTCATAACTGGTGAGGCCAATTGGATCATGGTCATCAATATTAATCTTTTGAATCTTGATTTTGGATTGTACTGGAGCATCATCAATACCATGATCCTCTGCGGCAGATTTAAATTTTCGTTTCCTTCCATTCTTATGAAGCTTCGAGTCGTTCTTCCGAATCCGGCACAACACCAATTGATCACCATCATCATTGCTAACACTGGAACTTTTGGATTTGGGCATGGAAGGACAGTCTTTAAGACTGTATTCATGCATAATCCAACAACCATTCTGATCAGATTTAGGGTTTTTATAATGAAACCTCCTCGAGAACCCCAAAACCTTCTGCTCATTCTTAGGATCAAGAACTTTGGCAGAGTTCTCTCCATGCCAGCAGCCATTTCCAGCCTTCCGAGACACACGGGTGCCTTTGGTCTTCAACGTGGTGAAGAAATACAAGTCTTCACCGATCTCTAAGCCATCTCCACCAAAATCCTTCCAAATTTTCCAGGGTTCAGACGTGCCATAAAGATTGATCTTTGGCACCTCGTACTTCATTGGCTTTCCAAAAACTTTGTTGTGAAGATAATAGCCCAACAAGTCAGAATCTTTGGGATGAAAATAAAAACCTACCGGAAGATCAACAGCACAAGGGCCCATGGTTACTTCTCTCTCTGGGAAAGCAAGCAGCTTTCTCTTTAATTCTTCAATCCTGCAATTGATTCGATGGGTTTTCTTTCTTTAATCAAATATGAAGAATGTCTCTGAGTTTCTTTGGATTTGATTGAAAAGTACAGAGAATTAATCTCTGTTTCTTCTTTGAGGAGAACTGAGAGATCATCAAAAAGCACTCACTTGAAGTGTGGGCTGGAATGGCGAGTGTTGTGAGTGAGTTAATCGTTGACTCCCCTCAGTGGTATATATACACAATATATAATATGACCGTTGCTGGAGTTTCCAATTCTAATCAGGATTTACTGTTGTGTTGCTTTACAGCTGTCAGTTGGTTTAAAATTTGAATTTAATGTGGCCGCCTAAAAATGCAAAAAGTTCGACGTAATGAAACGCCACCGTCTCGCTTGATTTGTGTTGCTCTCGAGTCTCGACCATGGATTCACAAAAGACAAAAGAACGAAAAAAGGGTTCCGTGCATGTGTTTTAATTTTATTGTTTTTATACATTATTAATTAAATTTCTCTATTTTGTCTTTTCTTCAAGGAAAGTAATTTCTTTGCACTTAATTTTTTCTGTGTTAAAGTGCTCAGTCTACAGAAGAAAACTGGAGACTCATTCTCTGGAATGGTGGAAGAAGCTAGAATTGTCTTAGAATTATAAGAACGGTGGAAGAGGCAAAACATCAAACAGATGGCGGGCTGTAGCCTGTAGAGCATGGCTGCAATTTTTATCATAGAATTATGTTACTGCACTTGCAAGCATTCGAATATGATTGGGAAATTTATTTCAAATCCATGTAATGAACAATATTTCTACATTCAAGTGTCATTGAGTTACAACAGTTTTTGTGACCATTGTCCTCTCTTGCAGATACACTTAAAAAAGGGAAGAGCATTTTACAGACAACCACTTCAGCTCCAAATCATCTTACGAAAACGTTCCACTTGCGCTTTGCAATTCGTTGTCATGCCGGGCTTTGTCAGTAGGAGGAGGTAGTTTGTAAAAATCTGCCAAATAAGCCAAAGCCTCTGAGTTACTATCACAAACCTTCCAGAGAGATGTGATCTCTCCCTTGGAGAGGGTACCCCAGTCCTCACAATCATCAAGGAAGCCTAGAAGCTTTGAATAGAATGAGTCATAGTTCATCAACAAGAATGGAACTGGAAGCTCTGACCCAATCCTTTCTAGCTGAATTAATGCTAAAATCTCAAAAATTTCATCTAGAGTACCAATCCCACCAGGTAGAGCAACAACAGCAGTCCTATCAGAACTGCAGCTTCTAACTGCAGCATCTACCAACCCATGCTTCCTAGCAGAGAAAAACCTGCAAGTATAAAGCAGTTATGCAATTTCGCAGCAGTTTAAAAACACATTTGTAAGTTATGCAAACGCTAAACCCTAAAAGCCTTTGTAAGCTTGCTAGCAGATAAATATATCTTTCCTGCATGTGAGATACACTTCTGATGGTAGGTAAGGATGAAAATTTGATGCTGTCCATTCACCAGCCTCTTTACCAATCTTAAATCCACCAACTGATTTTCCTGCTTGCAAAGCACCTTTAGTAGCAGCATCCATTAGCCCTGGACCAGCACCCGTCCATGAAGTACATTCCAAAAGGTTTGCAATCTGCTCAGTAAAATGTGTGGAACGAAAAATCTCCTCAATTAGACTACTGTAAATTTTAATTCCAAAATGCATTTCAAGTTTCAACATTAATGTGTCAGCCCTGCAGTTCTGTTTCATTTACAGGCATGCTATATACATAAATACTTTTTACATCAATGGGTGTGCTAGGGAAAGCAAGGCGGGACAAAGTGACCCACCTCTCTACCCAACTCTAGTGCTTGCAGATAATGTGAATGATCAGGTCCCATCCTTGAAGAACCCAAATACACGACTCCTCTCCCAAGTCTGTGTATGAGTTCATAACATCGTTCTATCTCTTTCCTGACCTTTGAACAACAAACTAAAAGTTAGGAAACAAGCTGTTAAATTTGCAAGATAATCCCAGTCAGTCAATTATGCTTATAACCAATAAATAATTACGTTGAAACTAAGGATCTATAATAGTGAGCAACATTCCGGGGCTAAAATTAATGCCTGGAACCAGTAATAAAAGCAGGGCTACAAATGATATGCTAAAACAAGTTATATATGAGAATTAGATCAATTTGTAATATACTGTTCCTCTCCAGGGCATGTGTATAAGTAATTCAAAACATTGTTGCATCTCTTTCCTGATCTTTCAACAGCAAACCAAAAATTTAGGAACTAGGCCCTTCAAATTTTCAATGTATACTCAGTCAGCAAATAAAGCTTATAACCAGTATTAAAAGCAGGGCTCTACATGATGCTAAAACAGTTCATACAAAAGATTAAACTCTCAACACTTACTGAGAATTTGGGTGACAACCAAACTTGGTCACAACAGCATTATTGCCAAAAATATTGCCTGAAAAAACTTCCGAATGGAGTCTGACATATCAAGCATAAAACATTTGACAAAAGGCACTAGATTTTCAATTCACTATTCTATTCTACTTCAAATTTTTCATTTAGACAGTCGATCAAAATTTGGGCTTTTCTAATGCAAGTGGGGTTCCCTTAGACTATAATAAGATGGAGAGAACCAGTCTACTTCTTTTATTGTCTAATTCACACTTAACAACAAATATTAGCAAGCACATATGAACATATACAAAAGGATCATCAAAGCTACATACCTCATTTGGGCTTGTTCTCTCATCAAAATCAACTAATTCAGACTTGCATGATATAAGTCTTCCTGGGTGTGGGTAGGGCCTCGACCTTGAGAGCTTGAAACTAATGGTACTAATGGTGGGTCTCTCTCTTGCCCAGAAAGATTGAATCTTCAAAGTCCTTTCATGACAACTTTTTACTAATACATGAGAACCCATTGAAATTGAATCCAACACCGAAAACCCCATTCTCAAATCTTCCAAACGTCTTGAAGATTGATTTGCTGGATGATATTTGCCCAAATTCCAAATGGGTATGTGTCATTAACTCAAATTATCAGCATTGGCAAAGAAAATTGGTATAAAGCGAACGAAAACCCAAACTTATGCTCTCACAATTTGCAAACTGTGGTGCAAAAATGTGGAACCTTTTGAGAGAGAAGGGGAATAGGGTTCTTCAACATCAACAGTCCAACTTGCTTCGATATATATAAGCAAATGGGCTACCTACTGCCTAACGTGCCGTCAGGTGTCCACTCTGTTTGTTTTACAAAAGGTTATTTTTCTTCAATTACCTCTAGTAAATATTTTTTGGGTTTTTCCAATACACACACCATAACGATTTGTTTATTTTGTGATGGGAGAGGGTTTTTTCAATAGTTGTGTTACATAACATTTTGTAGATTATTGTATGGGTCTTTTTGTTCCGGCAGCCTAACGAATGGACTTGGGCTGTTGTAAGAGAAAAAGAAAAGAAATTCCCCTAGTGCTTGAGTTCAAGAACCAAGCTCCCAAAAGAGTTTTCGAAAAGTTTGCTGAAACTTTAAGAAGACACTTTTAGGTTCATTTCACTAATAGCCAAATAAAAATAACAAATTGATGAGTGGCTTGACTTGAGGAGCTTGTGGCATGGGAGCTAAGCTTTCACAAGTTTAGCAATTTGAGAGAGAGAGAGAGAGAGAGAGAGAGAGGGAGAGAGAGAAACATGAATTTATTACAGAGAGCAAAGGTTCAAAATGGAGAACAAGAAATTAGGAAGATTTCTATCACAGGGAGAGAGAAACAATGGAAGAAGAAGATGGGGTGTCTTGAGTAAATTCCCAGTTGCTTGACAAAGTTTGGTCATGTCCTGGATGATTTTTGCTGGGTAGAGAAAGCTCCCTTTTATAGGCACTAAGCACCCTAATTCCATTGATCATCCATTCCTACTTTTCCTTTGCTTCTCTTCATTCACCCTTTTTGGTGAAATTTCCTTAACCAGATATTCTGGGTTGCAGGTTCTTTGGGGTTCCAAGGTTTTTGTGTGGCTGGACCTCACCATGGGGGGTGAGGCACCACCTGCCTTTTTTCTTGATTTTCAAAATGGAGCTTATGGAGGAAAAGAAAATGGGTATAGTCATTTGTCCAATGGATATTCCTCCTACATACATGGATTTCCTTTGGTCCCTATCATGGTTGCAAGCATTATTTCTCAATGATTGTCCATATGCATATTATATTCATTGCTTTACTCATCGCTTTCAATTAGCTTTAAACACTGCTGCTAAAGAGGTAGGACTTGTTTGAATATTTTTTTCAATGTTGAATAACATTGTGAATTTTGTTGGTGTTTTTGCCAAATGACATTCTGAGTTAAAATTAACTTGACAAGCTGAAATTGAAGACTTATTAGCAGCTGGAAGACTTGGAACAGGTAAAGGGGCTAATCAAATTTGATGTTTGCAATGACCTGGAACTACTCGTTAGGGCTCACATTTTAGTTCTATTAGGAGTTTGATTGATTTATTTGGTGCAACCAAGACACTTCTAAAGGATATCAGTCATAATGGACTTACCTCACAATTTCGTGGGGAAGCAAAAGGTACTAAAATTTCTATGTTGTCTTTTGACTTTGTCTTTGCCTTGAATTTGTTGGACAAAACTGTGAGAATCACTGATTTTTTTTTTGTTAAGAACTTCAAAGAGAATCTCAAGACATTGTAAATGCTTTGAATTTGGTTGCAAGTACAAAAATGGAGCTTGATGAGTTGAGAAACAATGGTTTGGGATGACTTTATACAAAGTGTATGATCATTTTGTGGAAAACATGAAATTAGTATGCCTGATATGGGTGCCCGTCATACAATGGGAACTGAGCGTTCTTGTCAACAAAAAGATTGTATCACAATTGAGCATTATTAGCATATGGATGTATTTAATGAGGTAATAGATTATCAGTTGGGGGAGTTAAATACTAGATTTCTATATGAAACTGTGGAACTCTGTCGTCTTAGCTCATCATTAAATCCTCGTGATGCTTTCAAGCGATTTAACATTAATGATATATACACTCTTGCTGATAAATTTTATCCTCAAGATTTCACTACAACTAAGTTGCAGGCTTTAAATCAACAATTGGGATTTTATAAGATTGACATGGATCACAATCCAACCTTCAAGAATCTTGATTTCATTCCTATATTACTTGAGCGCTTAGTGGAAACAAGATTAGCACAAACCTACTACTTGATTGACAGATTGATTCGTTTGGTGCTAACTCTTCCTATTTCTACAGCAACAACAGAACAAGCATTTTCTTGTATGAGATTGATCAAAAATCGGCTTTGAAACAAGATAGGTGATGAATTTCTTGCTAATTGTATGTTACTTCACATTGAAAAAGAATTTGCTGATAATATAGATAATGAATCGATAATGAATTATTTTAATTCTATGAAGACTCGAAGGGTGCAACTTATATAGTGTTATTTGAGAGGTAAGGCTCATTATGTCCCCCCTTTGAGTAGATGTATTATTAATTTTTTGTTATCAATGAAATTACATCGTACTATCGAGTTTTCTATCTACTTAATTTGTTTATATGTAAGGTAAATTTAGCCCAGTCAAATTTGAAATCCTGAGTCCGTCCATGTTTACATGGTGGTCCAAAAATTAATATATTTTGACCCATTCTATTTTTATTTTTTTTCTGGTTCTAGCTCTCGTTTGACTATTTGAGATATCCAATTCAAAATTTCCATGATGAATCATGTTTTCTGGCTCTGCCCCTAGTTCCAATAAGTAAACGTATATTTACATCATGCAACATACATTTCTTTTTCTGTTGTCACATTTGCATGACAATGCACTTCATATATTTGTAGGTTGTTAAGTTGATATATTTAATAATGATTGGTTAGAAATGGAGAACGAACTTTTAGTAAGTTTGAGATATTGGAGAAAACTGAGATTGATCGGATATATTTTAGATTCTTTTTGGTCTGGATATATATATTATGAATTTAAGATTATTGCAATCGTTCTCTTTGAAATGAATTGAAAATTACCTTTCAATGAACTTTCTTAGTTTGGAGATTCTTGAGAAACGATCTTAGATTCTTTATTAGGGCCCGTGCCTTGTTTTCCAGCATTTACCTCATTGGAAAACCACTTTCCTTATTAGATTGAAGAACCCATCCTCTTCCTCCTCTGCTTCTAACCCAATTTCAAAACTCTTTCTTTGTTCTCTGTTTCCAGACTCACTTTTCATCGCTTTCTCTCCATGGTTCTCTGTTTTCATGGCTCCCTCTAGGCTTTATCGCTCTCCCCACCACCCTATGAAGTTGATGATTGGAACAACCAATCAAGTTTAGGCAGCAAGGTCACTCATGTATTGTTCTAATCCTTATAAGTTTTGGGTTGCTAAATGTATTGTTCCAGAACGCTAATGTACCACAATTCGATATGTGCGATCCAGTTCAAAATTTGTAAGGGGGCAAGCGAATTGGGTAACTATGATATAGCTAGTCTAATAACAGTAAAATATGGGGAGGATATATATCGCAATAAGAGAAAAATGTATTTTTTGGTGGATAGTTTCAAGTTTGGGTTGTAAATGAAAGAGAAGAAGAAGGATAATGGGGAAAGGAAAAAATTTCTCCGTAAAGGTGTTGTGGGAAATAAATGATTTTTTTCATCTCACAATTGCAATTTTCTTATAAGAGAATGTGAAAATATAAATGAAGAGAGAGAAAATAGAGTGGTGAATTTAATTAAAATTAATTTCAATTTATAATAATTTTAAAAAGAAAGAATTAGTTTAGATTTAATCACATGCATTGATAGTGGGTTAATAAAGGTGTGAAATTTGTGCCAAAATTGTGTCAAAAACCCCACGGATCCGCCCCCATTATAATATATAATATATATGGGTATGTTATAATAATAATAATAACATGTATATATATATATATTGTCTACAACTACAATAAAACTATTGCCAATAATTTTGTTAGAAAAGTCTACAAAAGATTAAGCGAACGTATTTGATATATATATGAATCAAAGTGCACGGTCCGCCACCCCCAATGGTCCTCAAGTGCCAAACTAACAAGCAAAGATGACTTTGTACATGTGAAAACACATGGTCTTATGTGTTTGAGTTTAGGGTCATATCCCATTCCAAATTGACATCCGATCTTGTATTTAAGACCTTACAAACTCTTACACAAATTCGAGAAAATTCTATACATCATCTCATTTGTTAATCATACGGTTATTATATGTGGTAAATATTAACATGATAAATGTGGGTTCTATTTTTATGTTAGGATTTTCAGTTGTTTTACTTCCGAATTATGACCCTAATTGAACTCAACCCCCGAAACTAAAAAGTCAACCAATTTAGCACTTGAATTAATTAAAACAACCAATTTAGCCCTTACAGTTAAATTTTTCGAATTTCATCCACCACTGCAGCCATATGGATTGCAGCAAAGTATTAGGAAAAGTTTGGGGGCCCTCTTGAGTTGCTCCCATACAGAGCCACCTCTGTGGGTCAGTTTGACAAGTTAACGCTGATATTAGAAAAGTCCGCAATAATGCTATAGAAAATAAAAAGCCTACACGAGTTGGTGAGAAACCAAAAACAAATTCAAAGTTGGGTGCTTTGGCTCCATTATAAATACTGCCCCAAGCCTGTTGTTTTATCACCCTGCCAAGCCTTAAATCAAGAGAGCTATACAATCCCACATATTACCAATGAAGTTCATAAACCCTCCAGTCCTGCTTTTCATTCTCTCTGTCCTTTCACTCTCGATACCATGGACAACTGCAGGAACAGTTTCCATTGATCGCTTTCTCCAATGCCTCACAAAATATCCTCACCCTTTCCACACAATCCAAGAATCAATTTACACCCCTCAAAATAGCTCATTTCAATCTGTTTTGGTAGCACATATCAATAACCGCAGATATTCTACAGCTGCAACTCCAAAACCTCTGGCCATAATAGCGGCCAAGAATGAGTCCCATGTCCAAGCAACTGTGCTTTGTGCCAAACATCATGGGTTGCAAATTAAAATCCGAAGTGGCGGCCATGATTTCGAGGGTTTATCTTACACGTCGGATGTGCCCTTCGTCATTCTCGACATGTTTAATATTAACTCCATTGATGTTAATGTTGCGGATGAGAGCGCTTGGGTTCACTCTGGAGCTACTCTTGGAGAAGTTTATTATGCAATTGCTGCAAAAACCAACGTTTACGGCTTTCCTGCTGGGATTTGTCCAACGGTTGGTGCTGGTGGCCATTTTAGTGGCGGCGGCTATGGGTTTATGATGAGAAAGTATGGGCTTAGCATCGATAATATCGTGGATGCTAAGCTAGTTACTGCTAATGGTAGAATCCTTGATAGAGAGTCAATGGGAGAGGACCTTTTCTGGGCCATCAGAGGAGGTGGTGGAGCTAGCTTCGGAGTTATTCTTTCATGGAAGCTCAAGCTGGTACCAGTTCCACCCAAAGTGACTGTGTTCAACCTTACCAGGACCATAGAGGAAGGTGTTACAGATTTGGTTTACAAGTGGCAAACTGTTGCACCCAAGCTGCCCAAAGAGGTCTTCCTCAGAGCACAGCCACAAGTAAAGAATATTGATACCAAGGGAAACAAGACTGTGGGAGTATCATTCATTGGCCATTTCTTGGGAACAAGTGACAAGGTTGTGGCATTGTTGAATGAGAGTTTCCCTGAACTGGGCTTACAACGAAAAGACTGCTATGAAGTGAGCTGGGTGGAATCCACTGTATTTTGGGCTGAAAGTCCCATTGGAACCCCCATAGAAATTCTTCTCAGTAAGCCAACTGAACCAGAGACCTTCTACAAAGGTAAGTCAGACTATGTGAAGGAACCAATTCCAAAACATGTTTTTGATTCCATATGGAAGAAGATGATTGAGATAGAGCACATTTGGTTGGATTGGAACCCTTATGGTGGAAGAATGAGTGAGATTTCCGAGTCAGCAACTCCATACCCTCACAGGGCGGGAAACCTATTTTTTGCTCTATACTATTCCTCGTGGTATGACGAAGGGATTGAGGCCACCAACAAGTACGTTCGCTTAACAAGAGAGTTGTATGACATGATGACACCATATGTCTCCAAGAATCCAAGAGAGGCGTTCCAAAACTACAGGGATCTCGACATCGGTGCGAACCAGGATAATAAGACTAACTTTGAAACTGCTACACTTTATGGAAGGAAGTACTTCAAAGGTAATTTTGATAGATTGGTGCGTGTGAAAACCATGGTCGATCCTCATAATTTTTTCAAGCATAAGCAAAGTATCCCTCCTCTTTAGAGAGAGATGTATACTATATGTTTATGTGATATCCGTAACGAATAAATTCCATCTCTGGGAGAGAGAGAGAGAGAGAGATAGAATAAGTGGAAGGTTAACATAAATCATCTTATGAGCTATGTGTCATGCTTGATGATGTTATTGATTTTACCAAAGTATTCATTTCATTTATTGTAAAAGAAAGCTTGTAGTCTACAATGACGATCTCATGTAGCCTCTACAATATGTAATCTTTTTTAAATTAGCATATATAAATAACAAGTCCTTCTCATATACAAATGAATCCTTTTGGTAAATTTTTTTTTTTGCAAACCTCCTTTTGGTACATTATCAATTGTAGGCTGGCCAAAAATGTTGAAGCACACCCTCAAACTCTCTCCCTGTACGTCTAAGAAATGAAGAAATTATTGACCACTTATCTACACCTCTCTATCTAATAATGTTCATGAATCATTTGTTTTGATTTCTTGTTCTTTATTTCTTATTTTCCTTTTCATTCCTAAGAACATTTGCAATGGTTAGAGCATCCACAGTGGGAGGGTGTAAAGCCACTTGTACATCCCCTTTACACTTCCGGGGGGTGTAAATTCGTTTTTTGCTCCAATGAGAAAGAGAAATGTAAATCTATAGATGTTTTTTTTTTGTTTGATGTTTGTTTTAATTCGTTTTTGTGTTAAATTTGTATTTTGTTATAATATATTTTTTTTTTTTTTTTTTTTTTTTTTTTTTTATTGGTTTATTTTATTTTTTCAAACAAATGGACCTAAAAATATTTAAATTCGGAGAAGATATAATTTCATTCAAAAAGAATCGTTGGATCGTAAAGTACCTAATAGGTTAAAGAATAGAAAATAAACAAAAAACCTAAAAATTAAAATCCAATTTTTAAATACTGTTTTGGAAGCTTAAACGACCTCAAAAGCCAAAAATCCACTTATGTCACTGCAAAGCAGTGAGTATGATTCGTGACGTCGTTCCCTTTTCGGGAAGGTATCATAGACCCCAATCAGAGCTCGAACACCAAATCTATAAATTCCTATTACGTCCTTTTTCAATTTTTCATTCCAATAATTATGCCAATTTTTTCCAGAAATTACTGTAGCTGCGGGTCCCAGCCGTTTATGTTGACTTTTCTTTTCTTTTCTCGGGTGGGTCCCGCCTGGAAGGGATGTAAATTTGGATGTAAATATACATTTTATTTTACACCTCAAAGGTGGTGATGTAAATTTACATCCTTTTACACCTCCCTATTGGAGACGATTCCGGTGACTCGGGGTGTATATTTAACATACACCCCCATATACACCCCCCCATTGTGGATGCTCTTAGGATCAATGCAAACTCTCTTTTTTGGTTTTGAAATTGCCATTATTTATCTATGTGGTCAAGTTTTTGTTTTCTTCATGAAAATCACAAAAACCAAGCATGGGTTTATGGCATATCCCTTATGTTTAGCATGTATACTTGAATCTTTCTCTTTCTCCATCTTTCTCTTGCAAATCAAATATATTAAAAAGAAAAGTAAAAACCCAACCCCACCAACCTCTCAAATGTCTCTATCTCTCTCCCTCTTTTTCTCTCTCTTTCTCTTTCTCTTCAATTTGGCGAGCCTCCAGTTCTCTCTCCTTTTTGCTAGATGTAGAGAGCCAAAAGTTAGTTCTCCAAAATAGAGAGCCAAGTAAGGAGTCTGCTGGAAGGAGAATTTTCCTTCTTTTTAGCCAAACTACCTAACCTTGCCAAATAAGCCAAAGCCTCTGAGTTACTATCACAAACCTTCCACAAAGATGTAATCTCTCCGTTGGAGAAGGTGCCCCAGTCCTCACAATCATCAAGGAAGCCTAGAAGCTTTGAATAGAATGAGTCATAGTTCATCAACAAGAATGGAACTTGTTTATACCCAAAATGAACAGCCAATGAGGGCCAAACACGTGGACAAAGATTGTGTCCAATCATAATGGCATTCGGCACCCAGCCTACCGATTCCTCGATTAGGGCAACCTCCTTCTTTAGGACACGTGGCAGGCCCACAATCGATATCTACAATCCCACATCAAAAACCTACACAACAAGCACACCTCCCAAGGCTTATAAAAGAAGCACAATTCCCCAAAATGTAGGTAATCAGAACTTACGGCATACTGTATGTTGATCTGTCAGTCCAAGTTTACTAAATCTGTACTTACTTAAGCATCGGAGAGTTTTCGGCCGGTATCACACCAGTGCCTTAGGTCTTACCGAGCGTTTGTTGTCTTACAGATCACGCACTTTACTGAGACCCATAGCATACCGAAGGCCCAAAATCACTAAGTTGAGTGGGAAAGTGCCAAGCCATTTTTCTGCATCAACAAAACTGGAAGCTCCGACCCGATCCTTTCTAGCTAAATTAATGCTAATATCTCAAAATTTTCATCTGGAGTTACCAATCCCAGCAGGTAGAGTAACAACAGCGGTCCTATCAGAATTGCGGCTTCTAACTGCAGCATCTACCAACCCATGCTTCCTAGCAGAGAAAAACCTGCTAGTATAAAGCAGTTATGCAATTTGGCAGCAGTTTAAAAACGCATTTGTAAGCTTTCTAGCAGATAAATATATCTTTCCTGCATGTAAGATACGCTTCTGATGGTAGGTAAGGATGAAAATTTGATGTTGTCCATTCGCCAGCTTCTTTACCAATCCTAAATCGACCAACTGGTGTTCCTGCTTGCAAAGCACCTTTAGTAGCAGCATCCATTAGCCCTAGACCAGCACCCCTCATGAAGTATATTCCATAAGGTTTGCAAGAGATAGTATTTAGTAATATAAAAAAAGTTGTCTGGTATTATTGTTATTATTTTTAGTGCTTCATTTTCAAGAGATTGTATTTATATACAAAGTCAAGGTTGCATCCACTACATTAAAGGTTGATGTGGTGATAACCTATAGGAGCCCAGTGCCAGAGCCGGTCCATTGATTTTAGAGGCCCTGTGCAAATATGGATGTCGAGGCCTTATATAAGTAGGAAAAAAAAATTCATATAGAAACAAAAATTTCTTACACGGGAAGAACACATTCAGAAAGAGCTTCCCAAAAAATTTATTTAGTCACCTTTCCAAATCATAGAGTTGATAAATTGATTTTCCAATTTCAATGCTCGGTGAATTCTCATGTGAATAAGGGAGGGAGAAAAGAACTGTGATTTTGGGGAAAGGGCTAAAGCTTGGGTTTTTACAATCCAAAATTTGATGGAAGAGGGTGGTACACTCGTACTGAAGAGAAATGGCTTTATTTTGATGGAGGAGAGTGAGAAAGACTTATTGAAAGAGAAAAGAATATTAGAATGGTTTTGCAGCTTGAGAGTTGGGAAGAGGAAAACACAGGTTTCAAACCATAATAAAAAAAAGAAAAAAAAGAAAAGAAAAGAGAAGAGTTGCAACATGAGAGTTGGGAAGAGGAAAATGAATTAAATTAGGGCATCTACTCTCTAAGTCGTAGAATTTGTTGATAATTAATATTCAATTTTGGTTTTGGTGCCTTGCATGTGGTGTTGTGGGGTAATATTTAATATTTAATATTTATTTTCATGTTTTAGTTAATTTAATGGGTTGACATGGAAAAATTTGGGGGCTCCTAAATTTTGGGAGCCCTGTGCGGTAGCACACCTCACACACCCTATGGGCCGCCTCTTCCCAGTGCCAATCTTCTAATTCTAATCCATGTGGGAGATTGAGGCCACCATCTTTTCTTGCCAATAAATGAATGAGGAGGAGGTTCCTATAAGAAAAAACTTTGATGTTCAAGTCAGTACGTATTTAAGAAAAACTTTGATGCCTATAAGTGGCTTTCTATAGGCATTGAAGTCTTGGGCTCAATACTACATATTTCTCATTTATCTTCATGTTGCATCGTATGGATTAGAATTTATTTTCTTACTTAATTCTCAACGTACATAAATTATTGCAATAGTCTAAACAAATAATTTAAACTTGTAATGTCACATAAATTTCTAGATTAACAATCACTCCATTCAAATGGACCACAAATTTTAATTTATTAAAATCGCAATATGCCACCGTTAGATTATTAATTTATTATGGGTGTCCAAAGAATATTTACGATATAACGTGGGTGTCCAAAGCATTGGCCATGAACTAAGTTAGGGTTTGGGCCGCTTTGCCTATAAAGATCTAAACGACGTCACTTCAAACCAAATTCTATTGGGGATGCGGATTCTTGGGAAAGCCCAATCCAAACTTGCTCGGAGTTAAGAGTTGGTTTGGGCTATTGAGGATAAAATCGTAATTTCGTTCACTTCGTTTGTACTAAAGACCTAGCTCGGCTGCCTCACTTGTCTCAAACCCTAGCCGCGTTGCCGCAACTCCAGGAGCAGAGAAACCCTTGAACTCTCCTCTTCCCAAGATGGGTACATCTCACACCACTCTCATCTTCTTGATTTCATATTCAATTTCTGTTTTTCAACTTCGTTTCAGTGATGGGTACCTGTGAATTTGCTCTCGTGATGTTTTGTTTTCTCTTTTCGCTTGTCGCATTCATTTTTGTGATGCTAATCTTCAAATTTTGTATGGCTTGTAGGTATTTCCCGAGATTCCATGCACAAGAGACGTGCCACTGGAGGCAAGAAGAAGGCATGGAGGAAGAAGAGAAAGTAATTTTTGAATTGCTTTTCTTTGATTTAGATGCTTTTGTTGGTACAGATTTTTATACCGTGTTTTGGTTCCTTTTCTCTTATTGTATTTTATGGGTCAGCCAAACGAAGACTAAAGTTTTCTAATTGATAAATGAATCAGAGTTGTCGTACTTCTGAATAATGTGCTTCTTTTGTTTATGTAATTATTTATTTCTTTCTTTCCAACAAGTAGTTGAAACCTTTGTGTTTTCATTTTGTTCGTTTCTGGTGAATGGATGATTTATGAACTAGCTATATATTTGCATATGTTGTAAAAACTTTAAATGATTTACAAGTTGTGTTCTTGTTATTTCTCTGATAATTCTTTTATTATGTGTGTTTCACCATCTAATGCCTCTGGTCATCGCGTTTGTCTTAATTTTGTTGGGCATACAGCACAAAGCCTACATTTCTTAGATTATGAGAAGTGTTATTCAGTTTTTTTCCTCAAATTCTGGTTGACAATTTTTGCAAAATTTGAAGCAACACAAATCCCGTAGTGCTAAGTGGTTTAGGTTCCTATCATGTTTGATATTAATTGATTACAAACAGTTTTTATATTTGTGTAAAATGAATTTACTTTAAAGCCTCAATGATTGCAGAATTGATTTAGTTTCTACTTGTTGTTTGAAGGTATGAGCTTGGAAGGCAACCTGCAAACACAAAGTTGTCAAGCAACAAGACAGTGAGGAGAATCAGAGTTCGAGGTGGGAATGTGAAGTGGCGTGCTCTGAGGCTCGACACAGGAAATTTCTCATGGGGTAGTGAGGCTGTGACCCGCAAAACCCGTCTTCTTGATGTCGTGTACAATGCATCTAACAATGAGCTGGTTCGTACTCAAACTTTGGTGAAGGGTGCCATTGTTCAGGTTGATGCAGCACCATTCAAGCAGTGGTATCTCCAGCACTACGGAGTTGAAATTGGCCGCAAGAAGAAAACTGCAGCTGCTGCCAAGAAAGAAGGAGAGGTAGGTCTCTTTTATCTCCTTTGGGTTGGGAAATTTATTAATTTTGTCTTTGTTTCTCCTAATGATTTAAGATATTTTGCTGTTCATGTTAAGGTTGGACTTGTCTTTCGTGTTTTCCTTATTTCTGGGAGCATTGTATTAATTTCTGAATCCTAAAGAAAATATATATAATGGTTTCTGGCATTGTGTTAATATGCTCACTTGATGGTGGAAAGAAATATATTTGTGCGCGGGTAACAAAATTTAAAGGAAGATTAATTTACTTCTGATGACTGCATTGAATGTGGTCAACAGCATTAGGCTTTACTGTCTTTGATGGCATTTTTGTGTTATTTGTTTAATAGGAAGGTGATGCTGCTGCTGCACCTGCTGCTGTCGCTGAGGAGGTGAAGAAGAGCAACCATGTAGTAAGAAAGTTAGAGAAGCGTCAACAGAGTCGCACCCTTGACCAGCATATTGAAGAGCAATTTGGTGGTGGTCGTCTATTGGCTTGTATCTCATCACGACCTGGACAGTGTGGGCGTGCTGATGGGTATGTGACTTTATCTGCCTATGTCTGTTTCTAGTCAGCAGATTTGTCAATAGGCACAATATTAGTGTAGTTGCAGTATTGCAAGGGCTTATTAGTGTAGTTGCAGTATTGCAAGGGCTGAAATATGGATGATATCAGCTTCTTTTTATTGTTGTTTTAAAGTAAGTTATGTCATATATAATGGGTCTTATGAAATTTTTACAGATATATATTGGAGGGCAAAGAGCTGGAATTTTACATGAAGAAGCTCCAGAGGAAGAAGGGGAAGGGTGCTGCTGCTTAGAATTTTGTTACCAGAACTTTAGTCATTTAGACTCAGAATATGTTATTTCCTTCATCCTTTCCTACCTTTTGAGGGGTTGCACTTTATTTCGGTTTGATGTTGAACTGGTAAACACTGTTTCTATGGTTGAATGTTTAATCAGCAATTATATTTCATTTTGGATCTTTCTCTTTCATTTCTTCAGTGTCAACACTTTAGTTGGATGCTGCAGTTTCAAATGTTGGTTTATTTTCTTACTCAATTCTCAACAAACAAGGCTTGCTGGAACTTTGAAATCGTTTGGGATTAAGTTCAAACCTTCTTTAGCGACATCAATGCTTTTTGTTTTTTTGGGTCCGAAAATTGGATCCATGAGTACATTTCATCACAGAAAGATCACAGAAAACATAATACAAGAAGGGCCCAAACCACACAGGAAACGGAAGGGTGCCCATCCAGCCATAAAGAAAGCAAAAGCTAGAACAAAATAAGACATGCCCAATTAAAGAGCTGTCCTCTCCAGTACTTGCACAATACAACAAAATAACCCCAAATTAGAGAAACCCCGAGTACAATAACTAACCCTAACCAGACCAACTTGCCACGGTCGCTGCCGTCGCCGCCTTCAACGGGAAACCAAAGGACAGAGGAGCCGTCGCTGCCTTCAACAGGAAACCAAAGGACAGAGGAGCCGTGAAGAGGGATCTGTAGAGAATGGAGTTGGGAAGCAAGCCACCAATATTCATCATACTCGAGTGATCCATAAATTGGTCAATAGAGACCATTGAGCCTCGTCTTCATCGCCCAATTCGACAAATTGGACCAAATTATCAGAAAGCATTGTAGGATTTATCTGCGAGGTCCACATGTTGCGAAGTTAACAAAAGTTTTATTTTTGCTAGAATCTCATAAAAAGAAGTTAGTTGTCCCATGAGATTGAAGTGATCTTCTTCAAACTAGCAAGTAGTAATTATCCATTTTGACCAAAAAAAAACAGAAGCACGAATTATGCTAGAAAAAGGCTCAAGACTGAAATAAAAACAGCCTCTACAAATTTTTAACAGCCCAAAGTAAATTTTTCACCCCTTCACGGGCTGAGTGACTTTACGATACGGCTCCAATACTCCATCGATACGTCAAGAGGTAAAAGAGAAAATATTTTGAACATTTGGGAGTGATTGTGAAAGTATTGAATATTTGGGGTGGAAATATAAACTGAAAACTTAGAATAAAGGAAGGGGAGAGGCTAGCCGGGGCTTTTGGGCGATTCAGACGGCAACCAAACAAGGAGGAGGAGGAGGAAGAAGGAAGAGAGAGAACCCACCAGCAATCGCCGTCGCACCCTTCGCCTTGGCCATCGCCATCTCAGATTCATTTGGTTGGGTGGGTTTCTTACGCAGCTTAGAGCATTTCCAGCAATGCAGGCTGGGCTCGGGCTGGGGGGGGTTTGGGTCCTGTAGGTGTTTCCAGCAACAGAATGGAGCCCGGGCAAGAGGTGGGGGCCAGCAGCCTGGGCTGGCCCGAGGTGGGGTTCGGCCTGAGTGCCTGCCTGCGGGCTAAGCTGATGTCACGATGACGTCACCCCCATTGTTTCCAATAAAAAAAAGAAAAAAATCGAAAAAAATGTAAAAAAATACCCAAAAAATACTGAAATTGTTTTCTATAAATGCCAACCAATACTCTTCACTTTTAACACCAACAACCAATATTTTTGTAATAAAAAATACCAATAAATTACTTTTTTTTTTTCTCTCTATACCTTATTTCCATTTTCAACATTTAAGTAAATGTCTTTGTCCTTTTACTTTTATTTATTTTTATATTACTCCATTTACTTAAGTTTACAATGTAAATAAGGAAGTACCCCCCATTTGAATTCAAATAAAAATATTAGAAAATTAAATTCCCACCAAATCAAAATATGAAAAATCGGTTTTAGTGCAAAATACGATTTAGGCTAAAAATGAGGGCTCATTAAGTCAATATATACTTCATATTAAAATCCCATAAAATCAAGTTTTCTTATTTGATGTCTAAGGAATAAAAGCCGCCAAAAATTTTCTTGAGAAAATGATTATTTCGAAAAACCATTTTTCATACTTAGTCAGTATTGCACCTCCGCTAAAAATCTTGAGAAAATGATTTTTTATACGTAGGAACCCAAAAATATTATCCGAAAATATTATCCAAATTAATTGTTTAAGTAAACAAAGTTGTGAAAAAAACAAAAAAAATGAATAATATTTGCCATGGCAAGCCTAAACTGCTGGAAACACACTTTGCTAAGGGAGGGTAGGGCAGCCACTATTCACATGAATAGTAGCTGCCCTAGGGCTCCCCTTGCCATGGCAAGGGGCTAACTGGTGGAAGTGCTCTTAAGGTTTTCTTCTTATTCTTTTAATAAGCTGCTGTGTTGTTAATTAGCTAATAGGTATATGGGTAATATTGGGGTGGGGATGGCTGTATGTACTCTTTAATAAGCTGTTGTGTGGTTAATTTGTGAAGTTGGAGTTGGAAGTGTCGAAATGGCTTATATTTTGGAAATAGTTGCCTATTGGCTAGTAGCCTACTAATTGTTTTGTTTATGTTTTAAATTATTAATTGTTTTGTTTATGTTTTAAATTATTAATTGTTTTTTTTTATCAAACTTCATTTGATTAACAGGAAATGAATAGTGTGGGTAATAGTTCTAGCTTCTAGTGATGGGAATACTAGTAATAATAATAATAGGGAGACTAAGGATGAAATATCAATTTTTGTATTTATATTATCTTTTTAAATATATATTATTTTAATTGCTGTATCGGTGCCATATGTGTATCCTAGTTTTTAGAGATTTGTTGAATCGGCATATCGTATCGTATTGCGGTACCCATATCCGTATCGGTGCAACATAGATACAAACAGAGGCATTGGTAATGGCATATTGATATAATTTGCTTTTAACTACTGTTCTGTTGTGATTGTTACCATATTCGTATAAATTATATATATATATATATATATATTATAGATTTGCCTTGATTCAACTTTAGGACAGATTATTGCTTGTAAACTAGTTAGTGACATTCTGTGATTTTAAGTTTTTCAGTATTATAGAAATCTGATCTCTCTAACTTGTTCCAGTTTACTAAATGGAAAACCTAGAAGAAGCCAATAGTATTAAACCTGGTCATAATATTTGTAGGTGGCAAAAACAAGTGAATCTTAAAACAAAATAAAAGAATTTAAATAACTAACAGAAAGAACATAAATTAGAATGTTGTTTTTTCTTGGTTACTGGTTTAAGCAAAAGTTATAAGACAATCCGAGCTGGTTTTCCAATTGGGACATTGTTATTTGTTGAATGATATAACAGTGGTAATGATGGCAATCAATTTCCGTGGTCTATCATTTACCTTGGAGTTTTGTTTCCAATGTCTCCAGATAAGTTTGAGTTTGTGGTTTTAGAAGCAAGGTGTTCACCAGTTCTGCTTCACTAGTAAGTCTCCTTACCATGAAACCATCAACTTTGATGTACATGCTGCTCACTTTACATATTATGACTAGCACGCTAAAGATGGTGTCCATTACTTGTTATTCCATTTGCCCCCGCAGTTTGTTTCAAAATTACTCTTCTTTTTTAAGCAGAAGAGTGATCACTGGATGTTCAATGGATTTATGCAGAGCATTTGCACCCTTGCTGGAGCAGATAGCAAAATTGGAGGAAGCCCTTTTCAATATCCAATTTGAACAACATTGGTTAAGAGGTTGGGACTGACCACCAGGCAACAGGTATTATTTGAAGAACCGTTTTTTTATGTCGAATTTTGATTTATTTTCCTTGACATAAGTGGGAGTGTCATTCATGGTCAAGTTGTATAAACTATTTTAGTTTCGTACGAGTATGATTCCAACTATGGTACTTCAAGAAGTACACTATTGAAAACTTCATGCTTATATCTCAGGGTTTTTCTTTTTAAATTTTCTGTTTTTCCTTCTTATCACCACCTGACATGATCATGAGACATCCCTCACCCCTATATCTGCTCTCACACCAACCAAGACACACATCTGGTATTCCTATGTGGGGCTTGAGTTTTTGCAGACCCTCTACGGTCAAATTGACGGAATGTGTAAATTGATACAATCTTAAAACGGTGGGGTGCAAATTGATGAAATTAAAAATCTGTGGCCCATTTCAATAATGCCCCCTAAACCGTAGGTGTCATGGGAGGGTTGCGATAGGGGGAGAGTGGGTTTGATTTTGCAATATTTTTCTTTAATTTTTAATTGGGTATAATGTCGTTAGCCCTAAAGTTATATATTGTATGTTACTGTTGCAATTAAACTTTGTGGTTTTTTGATATGAAAACTTACTACGTGGTTTGAAGATCAACAACGTGTTTGTTCGTTTAAAGGGGTCCCCAGACTGGTGTTGTTTGCTGGTCCAAGAGAAAGAAGGCATAAAATCAGCCACGAACAACCAAAACCGCTCCTAAACCCTCTTAGTTTCAGACTTCAGAGCTGAGAGAGAAATGTTTCGGAGCCGAGTCGTAGCGTTGTTTGTGAAGAAGAACAGCAAAGCTCTGAACAATCTCTGGGGAACGACACCGTCTAGGGTTCTGAACGAGGAATCTTATCGATTATTCTCTACTGGAGCCACACGAAAATGCTTGGATGGCTTTCAATCTTTGTCTAAGGTTCCCTTCTCACTTTATTTTTTAAAATTATTATGAATTCATTTTTTCGAATCTAAGTAAATTCGAAAAAAGTATATTAAAGTTCAGTGCTTTAAATTTTGTATGGTGGATTGTGAATGTCGAATTAGGGAAGTTTTTCAGAGCTGGGACAAGCTTTGCAGTTTCATTTTCAGCTGTGGAATTTCTAATTTGAGCAGTATTTTTTCTGATAATCAAACAAAATCATTCAAAGATTTTGAGATCCAACTATGAGTTAATGGATTTGAAATTTCATTTTGTCATTGTAACCAATTGGAAAAAGGAAAAGAAATTTAGATTGGAATTAGAGAATCTTGAAATCTGTGAGTGTTAATAATGATAAAATGGTTGTTGAAACAGAGTATTTGAGGGGGGAAAACGTAAAATATAATATCGATTTATTAGGATGACACTGCAGACTTGTATTAGAGTTAGAGCCAGGAACTAAGGCTTTTCAGTTGTAGCGTATCATCGAATGCAGCTGCTTTTAATCTTTATTTTTCTATAGGTTGACTATCATTTTTTGAAGTAACTCCTTTTTCTGTGATGAATAAATGCACAAAATGTGCCAAAAACAAATTTGTGCAATTTAACTTAATTAGGCTGGGATGTGTTGTAAAATATTAAATAAAAAGGGAATTTCTTATGCCATTTTCAGGGAAATTATGTACCATCTATAAGGAATATGTCCACTGTTGCTTCTGTAGGCATCGAAAATAAGGAGGGATTGAAGCTTCTTGTAAATGGAGGACCTCGTGCTCAGAAAATGGTCGGCATTTGGCTTTTTGGCTCTGCTGCATGGGTTTTTAGTATGGTGATACTTGGCGGTATTACACGACTAACACGATCTGGTCTTTCGATGACTGATTGGAAATTTACTGGGAGGCTTCCTCCTCTCTCAGATGAGGATTGGTTGCTTGAGTTTGGGAAGTACAAGCAGTCCCCTGAGTATAAGCGGTTAGTGCAAAGTGGAAACAACACTGGAAATTTTTGCGTCATTAATTTTTACTTTTCATTTTAAGCACTTTAAAGCTCTTAGTGATCTGCCTCTAAACTTGAAATTACATTAAAAGTCTTCAAGAATTGCTTAAGTTTGTTTACAGATGCAATCCTCTATTGACTGGAAGCAAAACAGAAAATATGTGCTTTGAACTGAAGGGCTATATGAGTAATGATAATTTTACCATTCATGTGTCTTTCTAGCATTTTGTAGTTTACTTTATCCCAAATTTTTAGGATTGACGAATTATATATTTGATGTTACATTGTTGCTTTCAACGGGAGTTGAAGTTCTTTTGGACCCTTCTAATGTTACCTGGTTTTTGATCTCATGTAGTGTAAATCGAGGGATGAGTATTGAAGATTTCAAATTCATCTATTGGATGGAATATGCACATCGAATGTGGGGAAGGGCACTGGGAATTATGTTTGCGTTGCCCTTCTCATATTTTCTCCGTAAGGGGTATATTACCGTACAACTTGGACTGAGACTGTCTGCTCTTTTTGGTCTTGGTGCTGGGCAGGGTTTAATTGGTTGGTGGATGGTTAAAAGTGGTTTAGAGGTCAGATATGGTTTCACTTGTCGTGGTTTTGATTGAAATTTAATAAAACTGATGGATTTTTTAAATAATTCTGTCTTTCACAGGAGCCAGCATCTGAATATGCTCAGCCAAGAGTAAGCCCTTACCGTCTTGCAGCTCATCTTACTTCAGCCTTTGCTATATATTGTGGCCTTTTATGGACAGGTCTTTCTGTCGTCATGCCTGAACCACCTTCTGAATCACTAGCTTGGGTTCGTGGGGCAGCAAAGGTGAAGCAACTTGCTCTTCCTGTAAGCTTACTTGTCGGAGTAACTGCTGTCTCAGGAGCATTTGTTGCCGGGAATGATGCTGTATGTAATTTTTGTTTTCCTTCTTGCCTTTCACAATGAATTGAATGGATGATATGTGGCTTTTCCTGAGTAAGAGATTATAAATATGCTTATGTGTGAAAATTTCAGGGGCATGCTTATAATACTTTTCCGAAGATGGGGGATACATGGATCCCAGAGGATGTTTTTGACATGAAGCCACTAATCCGAAACTTCTTTGAGAATACATCTACTGTGCAGGTATCTTTCTGACCAAAGAAAATATTTTATTTTAGTTTTTTGCGACTTAATGTTGCTATATGATTATAAGGGAAATTAAAATATTACCCAAATTTTTTTTTTTCAAAAATTGGAAAGATGTCTTATTTTAAGGTTCTTCCTTCACTAAAAAAAACATCTGTTTTCTGTAGGAACTTCTGTTTTGTGTAGGAACAAATGAAATATGATTATGTCATCGTCTTTACAGGAAAGTTATTGTTTTTAAAGCCATTGAAATGTGTTTCGGCTAGCAGCAGTTTTTGAGTCTTCTTTGAGGTTACACTGTAATTTCTTGTGATGATAACCATTTTCTTGAGGTGACTATGCTTTTGTGAAATTATGGAATTGTTAAATTTTCTACTGCGTATTAGCTTTTTCCTTAATCTTTTCAAATTTCAAACATGAAGTAGGGTTGTGATTAATTGTTGTTCTTCCGGTTTGTAGCTTGATCATCGTATCCTTGCAACTGCAACTTTATTTTCAATTGGTGCTTTGTGGTGGTCAACAAGGAAGCTTGACATACATCCTGCAGTTCGGTCTTTGATTGGAAGTGCTGTAGGCATGGCTGGCCTTCAGGTATATATGGTTTCCAACTTTTTTATTTTATTTTTCTCGTCTTCTCCTTCGAATTATTTCATTAGTTTTACAGGTTGATTTTAGTTGTTTTGCACAATTCGTTGTGTTATTGTTGCAGGTCACACTGGGAATATCTACACTGCTGTCATATGTACCTGTAGACCTTGGTACAGCACATCAAGCTGGGGCTTTGACTCTCCTGACACTGATGATCCTTCTCAATCACACTTTGCGTAGGCCATCGCCGTATCTTCTTAAATCTCTACCTCAAGTTGCAAAGACAATCTAGATGACTTTGTAGTATAATTTTGGAACAACTATTTGACATTTTAATTGGATGAAACAAAAAGATTTATTTGATTCTTGTGCTCTACGTATATATCACTGGTGATCAAACTGGGAGTATTTTCTAGATGTGCAGATTTGTGCTTGTAGTTCGGACTATGATTCCATTGTTATCAAGTGACCACGAGTTCTTGAGCTTACCGAAGACACCTTTGAGTAACGCTGCTCGTTAATAATTTGTTTGTTGTAATTAAATTTAATGACGATTTGGGCTAAATAACTGCAAGCTAGTCCTTGGGTTGTTGGAAGCTGAAGATGAAGAGGAAGAGCTGCCCACCAGCTTTCATTTCAAGTGGCAGCTAGAGAGAGAGAGAGAGAGAGAGAGAGAGAGAGAGAGAGAGAGACCTAATTGTGGAATTTATCTAGTATCACATTATCAGAAATTTTCTTTAATGACAGCGCTTGTCTTTCGAACTCTTCATGGATGTGTAATCTTAAAGATGCAATGAAACTGAAATGAGTTTGGCTTACTTTTAAGTAGCATACTCAAGTTCGCCAAGAATAAAACATATTTCATATGTTACTTACTTAATAAATAGTAATGAATTATTTTGTGAATTTTATTTTTTTGTATTTTTTATATTAAATAATAATTAAAACATAATTACTAACTACTAATCCAAGTAATTAAAAAAGAGAGATCCGGGCGGCTATACTTTTAAAATATTCTATTTTGGAGTATAGCCACATGGATATACTATTTTGTAAGAAACAATAATAAAAATCGGCTATACTATTTAAAAAAAAAATCAAAAAGTATGAGAGGATGACCCTCCTTGGGATTAGGCGCCACGTGTCAAAATAGTATAGCCGCCGGCCATACTATTTTTTAAAAAAATTGGAAAAAACCGAGTATAGCCGCCTGGCCATACTATTTTTATATATAAAAAAGATAACCCTCCTTGAGATTAGGCGCCACGTGTCAAAAATAGGTATAGCCGTCCGGCGATACTATTTTTAAAAAAACAAAAAACAAAAAAACCGAGTATAGCCGCCCGGCTATACGAAGACTGACACACGTGCATAGGCCTCCTTTCAATTTTTAGATATCGACGGAAGTCAGGGCAAATTCTACATCTGCATAGGCCTCCTTTCTCTGTCTTTGAATTTCTGCACCAATTCCAAATCGTCTGGACTTTGCCCAAACAAGTGCATCATCAACCTCGCTTCCTCACCGAATGGCAAACTCGTAACAACCCTAGCGTTATCTCCTTCTTAACCAAACGGTGCGTTTTGGCTCTCAACGTCTTCGCGCGCGCCTCTCAAGCTAATGAGATTCTGGTTTTTGGTGCATGCCATGTGTTTGATGAAAGTACCTAAGGTTTCTGTGTCGTTGTTTAGCTAAGGAAGAAGGTTGAATCTTTTCAAGCTGCCATGGCTGGTGAGCCAGTCGTTGAAGATCAACAACGGCAACGAACTTTGAAAGCATTGGAGCGAAGGTTCGAGGCTGCCCAAGCTGAACTTGATTTACAAAAAAAGAAGACTGTAAAGAGACCAAAAACCGAGGAAGCTGGAAAGAAATCGCATATCCCAACTTCTTCGGCTGTTGATTCTTCAGCAAAGTCAACCAATGCATCAACCTCACGTTCAACGCCATCAAAGAAAGGTTTTCACCGCAAAATCTTAGCTTTGTTTTTGCTGATTTATTTCTTATTTTGTATATTAGTTTGAATTTACTTAATTTTTATTCTTCTTGTGGCTTATTTGTAGGAGCTTTCACTTTTTCTGGTTATGTTAATTCACAAGGTACCGTTTCAGTTTTGTGGATATAAACTTCTGTTAATCTAATTTAGGTAAATTGGATTAATTTTGTGTGTTTGTTTTGCTTGTAATTCCATCTGCAGATATCGATGAAAGCGGTCCAACGTATGCAAAACTCTCTCAATCTGTACATGAGAATCTGCTGACAACCAATGTTGAGGTACTTGTTTGTGAATTGATGCAAAAAATTTGCTTTAACTTGTTGGCTTAGCATCTGCTTTGCTAAATGCAGGTCTCTGGTAGAAAGGAGAGTAAAGTTGATAAGGTTTTGCACGAGCTTCTTCAGAGTGGAGACTCGGCTCAGAAGTACATGCAAGGATCCAGAAGCAAGAGAATTGACAATTGGATCCTCCTTGACAATTACGTGCAAGGACGTGGCGTTTCAACTGGCTCTCGTGCCAGAGCGTTGCAGATTCATTCGAAGCGCTCGAAAAAATGCATGTCGATCAAGCAGCAAAAAAAGCATGGATTGTTTGATTTGCCCCAAGATTTCCATTGGTGAGATTTGTGTTTTTCAGCTTATGGTTGCCACGTGTGACAATTTTATTTATTTATCCATAAAATAAGTCAAAGTAAGGATAGGTTGGGCCAAATTCTTGTTGCTGATCTTGACAGTCATAAGTTTAAAATTCGAATTGGAATGGATTGTTTTTACTGTTTATGATCGCATTATTCTGCTTTCAGTAGCTGGAGAGATTTGTCTTGTGTGATTGATGATAAGATCTGAAGAATTTTGTTTCACTTTTTTTAGTTATATTTTGCCTTCTACTTTGAAAGATTCACCCTGATGCTTGCCTGTGTTTGGATTACAGCTTTGATAAATTTAAGCCAATGCATGAGATGTGGAAAGACTATATTGTGCAACTTCTGAAAACTACTGGGTGAGTATGTCTTGTTCTTTGCAGATGTAACAGTTATGTGCTTTTTCATGTTTAGCTAATGGTCAATAATTTTGTTCTTTCTTTCTTTCTTCAGCATTTTAATTTTAGGGGGCAATATTCTTGGCATCTGTTTGGTCTTTGATGTTGTAATTAACTATACTTTCATTCAATACTGCAGGAAGAATCAGCTGGCTCAATGTCTTCTTACTGCAGATCTACATGGTGCTATTATTTCAGGTTTATTTCTTAATTTGTTTCATTAACAGTTAGCCATCAAGATTTTCTTGTCATGAACATATATTTTGTTCATCCACCTCTAATCAGAACTGTCCAAGTCATATCCTAAATTCTTATGACACTACAGTGACCTATGTACCATGGCTTGTTGAAATTCCAACTCTCTGTCAGTACTTACTGTAGTTCCCTGTCTATTTTCTGGCAGTTGCTGAATGTAAAGTAACTTCCTACACTGGAGTGAGTGGTATCATGATTCGTGAAACAGCAGAAACATTTGGGATAATTACACAGGATGATAAATTCAGAGGTATCTGAGCTGCTGATTCAAACTTTAAATTAATTAAGATGTTCTTGGTACAACTAATGTGTTGATGAAACTTTGCACTGAATGTAAACGTGCGTGCATGACAGATGATTGCTTTCTTCTCATTCTGTGAACTAAGATTGGAAATGCTGATGGTTTCATTTATCTGTTTGGGGGTTATTTGCAGTGGTGCCCAAAAGGTTTTCTGTTTTTATATTTCAAGTTGATTGCTGGAAGATTACCTTGCACGGGGACAAACTCACTTCAAGAAACTTGAGTTTGTGATTGTCTCAGGTGATCAAAGAATATTTTATAATGATAATAAGAATATTTGATAATGAATCAACTTTACTACAATTCACTTTGTTTTCATATTCAATGTACCGTGATAACTTATTCCATATTCCAACCCGTGGTAAATTGCAGAACAGTTGGACTTTCAATCAATATCATTGATAGTCATATCAGAGATTCAGTCAAGAAGTTCTGCAGAAAGGCTGAGTAACAGTGAAAGTCAACTAAAAGGATCCCCTTATGTTATCAAGACATGGTGCTCTCTTGGGTGGTTCGTTGGTTTGAGTCGTTTGACAATGCTGGTTGCCGGATGAGCAGCTGAGATGACTTTAGCACCGAACCTTCGAGAAGAGTACTGATCACAGCAGGATGGAGACTGGACTCTTGCAGGTACCAGCTGGTCTTTAGTATGCCGCTATACAATCCATTGCTGTGCATCACAAAATGAGAATAGTTGAAGAACTCTTTGCAATCCTTTTTTTTTCGGGGGGGTCTTCTATACCTGGCCTTCTGTTTGAACCACTACAGAATGGGAGTTCTTTTTTTGGTTAACAAAGATCATGATGATGTATGGCATTCTCATAAATTTAGAGTTCAGGATGATATATGAGCAAAAAATGAAGGCATACAGCTATTTGCATATAAATCTATCTTTGCTTGTGCAAAACATGGATTTCCAGTCATAAGAACATCTGTTTTCTTCCTAATCATGGAAGATTTTTATTTTTGACATTATATATGATTACAAAGCATGGAAGCACAGCCTCGGAATTCAGAACCACAAGCCTTTTGGCTCACTAAATTGCTCCCCCCATTCCACGGCAGAATCAAATTCACCATCTTCCTCATCCATGAGTCCATGTGCATGATAATGAGCAATGCGCCCTGCAATCACTCTACACACATCAATGGCCTTCCTTGCACACTATCCTTTCCCAGCACATTCCTTGGCAGCCTTCTCATGTGCCTTCCAACTGTCGTGGACGAAGAAATAGTCTTGTCTCCGGTGTCAAAGCCAGAAGCTATTATCCTGCAAGCTTGGCAGCATATCTTTTGACAAATGGTTGATAAGCCATTGATCCCTAATGAACAAGTAATGGTGGCACCATGGAATTGCGGAAACTCATTCCCATCAACCACCAACCTCTCCACCCTCTTACAAATCCGATCCTTTTCATACTTGGATTTCACCATCTTCCTTTACTCTTCAAAACCATGAAGAACATCCAAACTGTGGTGCACCCTCAACACCTTCTCAATTCTGAGGCCTACTTCACCAACCCAACCTGAGCAGATAATACTCTCCACAACACCAATGGAAGGGTCCCCTCCAACAAGCTCCGAGATCAAGTTAATGGGTTTTTAGGCTTGTCTTTGTGCTCTTTCTGGACTTGCTTGCAGATGAAGAAGAAGAAGCTGCCTTGGGGCATGGTTTTTCCTTGGGTTTTGAAGGCACTTCCTTTCCAATTACAACACCATGTTGTTTTGAACCCTTTGGTGGAGAAGCAGAAAGGGTCTTCTGGTTTTTGTTTTTGTGGGGATCTGGGTCGTGGCTTGGGCTTGAAACACTTTATGGTGGAGCTTGGATGGCAAACCAGAGCAGCCAGAGAAGCAGCAATCAGGCACCTTTCCACCATGTTTGTCTTTGTGAAAGTAACCATTGCTGTGCACCAAAGTGCACTCAAAAGATTTTTAAAACTCAGATTCAAGTATGATTCTCAAACCTATCAATTGCATCCAAATGCAATCAAATCATGGCCATCAAAATTATTTATCATCCCTGTTGTATGTCGTACAATGTAGACAAAAAGTAAAAAAAGAAAAGAAAAACAAGAGCAGGATGTTCATCCCTGAACGGTAGGATCATAAAATTCACAACTCAAGTGTCATTTTTTCTTTCAACGGCATGCAATCCGAAAACCCAACTGCAATATGCCAATACTGCGTGTTCTATCATTTGCCATACTTCTGTTTCAGCCGTTCCCTCACAAACTCATTTCGAGCTTTGGTTCGAGCTTGTTGCGGGGCAACATTGACATAAGAGATATGAGCACCAAAAGCAAAAAGAGCAGCAGCAGAAATGAAGCATCCTATTGTCATAGCCAACCTCTTGGGCGTGGACGGAAAGCAAACCACCATTTCCTCGGACCTTTGCTTGCAAATTTCCCTATGCAATGCATCAAACAAGAAACACAATCTCACAAGCCAAGCGGTTCCAAATGAAATTCTATGCAGATATAAACTTATGTGAGTCAACTACCCATTACTTATACAAAGAAAAAGAAAGCATACGCAATGAGTTCTAAGAACAAACATCTCTGTGGCATTTCATCATATACATAGAGGGTACTCGATATTGGTGATTTAAGCTGATACCCATTTTATTTGAGAGACAATTGATGAGAGCTCAATATCGGTCAAAGAGAAATCGTACCTGAAAGAGAGAGAGCTACGCCTTTTGGAATACAACGCGGAGGCTCAGGCAGAGCAAGGAAAGACGACGCAGAGAAAGCTTTTGCCTTTACCACGGAAAGAGACCAAGAAGTCAATTTGCTTTGCGATGTCCCTTAACTGTAACATACCAGAATTCAATTTTTTGTCTTTTCTATTTTTTTTTTCCTTTTATCAATTCTCTTTTATAGATGGATCACATATCATATAAAGAATTGAGAAAACAAAAAGATTAGAGTTTGAGGCCTTTCCCAAATTTATAATAGCAAACAGCTCATCAATTGCAATACCCTAAATTGGAGACTATAAGCCACTACAGCAAGGATGATTAATATTGGACTTGCAACCAACAACTTTGTGGGTATCTTGCCAACGAGGGTTGGTTCAGTTGGTGAAGTCCCTACACTGTGTGTAGTGTCACTAGTGCTTGATGGTGTGCGATCTGTAATTTCTTACATAAATCTATACCCGTGACAGCTGACAATTGGGTGCCATACGTAAATTCTTATGGCTCAGGATTGTGAATCTGCCGTGGCGCTAGTAGTGAGAGTAGCCAATCGCTGTAGATATCTTTTAATGAGAGTAAAAAGAGACTGTATTGTTAGTTATTCCTTAATGTGGTTTAATGGCTTAGGGTTTAAGATTTGGGATTTAGGATTTAGCGGTTTTAGGTTTCTTGGTTTAGCGGCTTAAGAAGGGAGGGCTACCACTTAGTCGTGTAGCTTATATTTAGTGGTTCAGGTTTGGTGGTTTGGACATTAGAAACATCAGTTCCACAGAATAATTGAAGTACTTTTCAAAACCACCACTTCAATTTGATCACTTAAGTTGGAAAGAACCATCTCAATTCATGTGCCTCCATCACAATTGAATAGGTGTGAATTGTTGAGGTAGCAAATATTACACATCAAATGAATTCAAATCCTTTGTGCAAATGCATGTACATTGGTAATTTTCCTGTCAATCCGTAGCATTCGAAAGCTTTATTCTGACGAAACAGTGTGAGACTAAATTGCTGAAGGCATATGCAACATCGACCTTAGTTTTAACAACGAAAAAGAAACAAATTTATTAGCATATAACAAAAATCGGATACAATCATACATGCTTTAATCTATTGTACAAGATGATATGGTGTGAGTAGAAAAGAATCAGTATACTACAAGCAACACAATGCCTCAACCGGTCAGGCGATTTACCTGAAGAAATGAACTAAAAAACACAAAGATTTTGGGTGTCAAGGGATCATACCATACCCGCACACATCTACAAACTGTTTTACCTCCCTCAGATGATTTTTGGCCAATCTTGCACAATGCCCATATCTCTTTGCAAAGTGAGGCCAACCCCTTGAAGTTTCCCATACCATTGCTTAGGTAGCCACATTTTAAGTTTCACAAGGTAAATCCCAAAATTACAGATCAATTGTCCAAGAACTATGGTTATCTACTCTATCTTCAGTAAAATAAGCTTCTATCTGAATTGTGTAAAACGGCCTTAGCATTCCTTAGGAAGCAGAAATGGTGGTACATGGAACAGACACAGAAAGCAGAAAGGATTCTCAATCACTCCCGCTTCCCAGCATTGAGATGGATTTGTTTCTGCCAAAACCATATAATTTTCAGCACCCAAGACTTCTCATTATGTTGTTAAGCTTGTCAATAACAACTGGTGGACTGGCAAATGACCCCTCAAGATTAATGGCATGATATTCCAGCCCTTTCCACCGGGCAATTAATGCAAAATGTGGCCGTCTATATTGACTACTAATAATCTCCAGAATCACGGTTTTTGGCATTGCAGATACCATGTGTGTGAGACCTGCACCATGAGCACCAATAATAACAGAAGCATCTTGAATGGCCTGGACTTGCTCTTTCATGGACATGTGTGCAAACAGTCCATTCACAAGGTTTATTTTGCATTCCTTATGATTAGATGCCCAGCTCTTTAAGGCATCAAACACTTCTTGTTCATTACTTAGCCTCGACTCAACTTTACCATGATGACGTGGATGGGCTAGATAATCTTCACGTCGAACAAAAAGGACATTATGACCTGAGGCTGGCTTCTCAATACGATGTCTATGCACTGGAAATCCAAAAGCGGCTTTAATCATTTCACCGAACTCTGATAATCGCGCAGTTTTCTGGTCATCAGGGTGTTGCCACAGGTCGGGTGCAGATGCACCATGACAATTTATATCTTCAATCAGCCCCTTAAAGAGTGGAGTCTCATATCCCAAAGGTGAGAGAATAAGATGACGAAAACAAACTGGACCACTAAAGTTTTTAGCATATCTAAGGCTAGAAAATAATGCTTTCCATGTTTCTTCCAGAGATGCCTGAAAATGACCACCAAAGTAAGAGAGATCAGAAACAGGGAATCATTGACCAGCATTCAAACAGAACAAACTCAACATGCTTTTCACTATAAATGATGAAATTTGATAAAAGTATTGCTGCATTATACTCCTATAAATAGTAACATTGAAATCTTAGGAGGAAGAATTGAATATAGAACAACAAAAACAGAATAACCAACAAACGATGCTCCTCTATCCTCAAGAGGACATCCTCACTGCTTCCATCTTAAGCGAAAACCATCCATTGAAGAAATATTTAGTAAGAGCATCACTATCAATATATTACGGACTGTAGAGGCTCCCTGGTACCCTGTCCTGGTTTCTATCAGAACTTGACAGTCAGCTCACCTATAAAGTCCCTCCTCTTATGGCTGATAATATTCTATTCATCCCATCTAATCACATATACAAAGGATCTCATTTCTAATGAGGATTAGTTCAGAAAAAATTTAGGAGTTCCATATTTTGATTTTCTCTCAATCAGTCATGAGCCTTGTAAGGTGTGTTCTTGGTTTACACCAAGTTTGGTACACTGAAACTTAGACAGGCGATTACAGAAACCAGGGGTATAGAGCATCATCTGAAATATCATCATTGTAATATTCTTAACATTTATATAAAAGGACATCAACTGCCCTCCTTGCTCCAGAAAATATATGGACTCCTTTAAATTGTTAAAAGAAATAGTGCATGCCTCTTCCTTTCAATAAAAAGGAAATAAAAAATAACTATTGCATGCCTCGAATGATAAATCATGATAAAAAGTTAATTTACACCCCTAGCATTGTGTGCACATACATACTTGTGTAGCCAGTAGAATGGGAAGTATTATAATGAAAATGTTACGAAAGGAACAAAATATGCAAAGAAGAAAAGTCAATTACACATACCCTACAGTGTCCATCTACAAAGACTAAATGAGGTCGATTAGGTAAGCCAGTGACTCTTGAAGCTACATAAGCGCTATACCAATCCGTGAATGTGTGGAAAAGATTTGCATACTCAAAGCGTGTCACCAGAAGTGTTGGCTCCTCAATCCACTGCAAGTACAGACTTTTATACCAGATTTAGAAAGAAGAAAATAATACTATAATCATTATAGAACATTAACTACAATTACAAGAAGAAAAAGAAGAGCTGAGTTATAACCATTCTCTCAAAGTTGCAGTTTTTTTTCTTTCTTTATATAAATTATTTCAACACCAAATTTTAGCAGACAATTAATCTGCATCCACTTTAGATAAGGAAACTCCCCATCATTCGGTAATTAACAAAAGTTGCATTCACAATTGCATTGCATTACTTCCAAGTAATTAGGCCATTAAATTTTCTTCCAGCACCATATGCATTCAATTCCACAGATTTGAAAAATCGAAACCATCAAATATCATTTTTAACAGACCCCCATATAGGAAATCCCCAATCTTGGAAACTCCCAAAACGTAGATTACATTACCATAATGCAAATCAAACCCAGGAAACCAAACCTACCACTAAACTCACACAAAATTAACAAAACCCCCAAAAAACAGCAGTTCCTTTAAGAAAGCTCAGCAATTTGAAACCCTATAAACCAAAATCACATCAACCCTCACAACAAATGGATTAAAACCTCTCATAATTATAATCAACTGCCAAATCCAAAAATAGAAACTAACAAAACCCAACTAACCTCATTGCACTGAAGCTCTGTGGTGGGCACGATCCGAACAGACCCAATCAATTCTCTCATGGTGTGTTTCTCAATCTCACCATGAGGCACATACTCATCAAGAAACTCTTGGGTCACAAGCCTTTGATCCTCTCCACTAATCCCATCTCCTCCGTCTATCTGAAAGGCGCCGGTTTGGAACTCAGGCAGCTCCTCTTCCTCTCGTCTCCCAATGACCTCCTCCAAAATCTCACCACCTCTTGACATTTTAATCTTCCCTGGGTCCATTCTGAGCCCCCCTCCTTCACATACTGAGCTTCTCAAGGTCTCACTGAACCAGCACTTGAACCAACCCATGCGATTCAAGGTCAAATCCTTCTTGGGTTTTAAGAGATCGACTCTGTTAGTGAACCCATTGCCAAAATAGGCCTCGCAGGAGCGAAAGGGAACTTGGGTTGTCTGAGACCAAGGGAGGTAAGAGGGCAAAATAGGCCATGGCTTCGAATAGCGGTACGGGTGGCGATTTTGATCTGTTAAGGGGAGGCGGTTCAGGGACAAAGAATGGCGGGCTTGGGTGTCGGTTTGGCTTGGAGTTAATGTTCTGGAGTGAGAAATGAAGTAGAGGCAGAGAGAGAGAGAGTTTAAGGCAAAGAGAAACAGAAGGATCTTCAGCAGTAACAAGTTCCTTTTGTTCATGGCTCCTTCTCTCTCTCTCTGAGAAAACTGATCAGTCTTCGGCTCTGAGTTTCTGGGTTCTCTTGGCCTTGTGAGAAAAAGGGAAAGAAGTGCAGCAGTTGAGTACCTTATGTTGTGGACTGCTAGGACCAATTGAAGTTTGGCCACTGCGTAGACTTATATATGCTTTTACACATTCTGGGAGATCTATCAGGGAGTTCTCGATCTGCTCCTATTAAATAGAGTTTGCGTTACCTTGTGGACAATTGACTTTATTTCCTTAGACACCAACAATTCTCATTATAATTATAATTAATTTAATTTAATTTTTAATTTTCTAGTGTAAATAGAAATAAAAATTTATTATTTACTTGCCCATTAAAATTCCGTTGTATTATAAATATGACTTCCTATAAAAAGAAGAATACACAAAAAATTCTCACAAACAAATATTCTCATATTAGATTTCATATTTTAGCATGGTATCAGAGTGGCAATCTTGAAATTGCTGACTCTAGTTTCAAACCCCGCCTGCCGCTATGGGGGTTGATTTTTTCAACCCCCATGGAGGTAGCACCACCGACTCATTCTCTTATTCTCAACCAACCATAGCCGAGTTGAGTGCTCAGGTAGCTCAGCTCCTACAGATACAGACTTTGACCCCAAACTCGATCCTAAATCAAGATCCTATTTTGATGACCCCGAACCTGATCCTAAATTAGGACTCTATTTCGACGACTTCAACCCTGACTCCGATGATGACCTAGACCCCGAATTTGCCTCTGATTCAGACCCAGATCCCGACTTCGACTCTGACTCCGGCCCTGACTCAGGCTTAGATCATAATCTGGATTCCTACTAAACCTGTATCCTATGCATCTTTTGTTGCACAGATTATGACTTCCCGACTAACAACCCCGACACATGGACGAGATTACGCATATTGTGGTGATCCGAGACACACTTGTGAGACTTGTTTTAAATCGCATGGCTATCCCGAATGGTGGGCTACTCTCAAAGATCGAATACAACGTGATACGACCAGTAATGGTACTGGTTATGAATTCCATACTTCGGATAAGATTGATTCCAGGAGTTGGATAATTGATTCCGGTGCAACTGATCATATGACACTTTATCCTAATGATTTTCTGAATACTACACAACCCTGACGAACTTGTATTGCTAACGCCAATGAAGTTACTTATCTTGTGACAGTGGCTGACACTGTTGCACTCTCATCCTCTCTCACACTGTCTAATACTTTACTTGTTCCATCTTTATCCAATAAATTGATGTTCGTTTGTTAGCTTACTGTTGCACTCATTTACCTGAATTTTTGTTTGCTTTAGGATATTCACACTAAGAAGATTCTTGGTTGTGGTACTAAGAGAGGGGGGCTATATTATGTAGATGACTTCAGTCCCGACATGACTAACAATGTGACGCATCCCTTGACAGCAAACAAAAGCAAACCTGGTTGTAGCACTGTCGATTGGGACATCCGTCTTTTAGTTATATGAAGCATCTTATACTAGATTTATTCTCATGTTTCAAGGACTTTGACTTCACATGTGATACTTGTATTTTGACCAAGAGTCACTATGTGCCTTATCCGTTGAGTAAGAACAAATGTACTATTCCGTTTACGTTAATTCACAATGATGTCTGAGGACCTTTACCTATCATTGCTCCTTCTGGAGTTCGGTGGTTTGTCACATTCGTAGATGATTGTACACGGATGACATTACTTTATTTGCTGAAGAATAAAAACGAAGTGTTTTTCCGTTTTCAGTTCTTCCACAAACAAATAAAAACTCAGCTCAATGCTCAAAAACATATTCTTCTTTAGATAATGGTGGAGAATTTGTCAATCATGACTTTCAGGCTTACTTCCAACAATATGGAATTATCCATGAGACGACTTATCCTTAGACACCACAACAAAATGATGTTGTTGAATGAAAGAATTGACATATTCTTGAAACCGCTCGAGCACTTCTGATTGACACTCATGTTCCTCGTTATCACTGGGATGATGTTATTGTCACTGCAGTTCACCTGATCAATCGCATGCCTTCTAGTATATTGACCTTTAAAACACCCTTACAAGTGCTTGCACAATACGGGCCCCTGCCCTTTGTTTTGGTACTCACACCTCGAATCTTTGGATGTGTGGCTTTCGTTCATCTCCACAAAAATCAAAGCAGCAAACTTGATCCCTGTGCGCTTCGTTGTGCTTTTATAAGTTATGTTACTCATCAGAAAGGTTACCACTGTTATCACTCTCCTACCCAACGTACCTATGTCACTTTAGATGTGACCTTTCTGGAATCTGAGCTGTTCTTCCATGACCCATCATCTAATTCTATGCTTTAGGGAGAGATATGAAGTGAAGAGCAAAATTAGAGCAACTTGGAAAATGAAAAAAATTCTCCTATGTACAAAAATGATCAATAGTCCCGAGTCCGGAGCACGACTCTCTGCCAAAAAGCGATCAATCACCCATTGATAGCGATCAATCGCCTCGCCCATCTGATCCCTACGAAGATGTTTCTGATCCGAGTCCCACACCTACGAACAATACATAACAACAAGATGAAGACCCCATCTAACTCAACAGTACCAACAGACCAATCTCCTTAGAATATCCTTGGGGTAACTGCTCCTACTACACTAGTGAATTTAAAGGATAAATCTATTGGATACAAATTACCTTTTAGGCAGAATCGTGGAAAGCCACCAAATCGTTATTCACCTGATATTAGCAAGACATCAGAGTATCCAATTGTGAATCATGTATCCACTGAGAAGCTATATGAACCACTCAAGGTCTTTGTGCATCAGTTGTCTGCTATTCATATCCCAACCAAGGTTACTGAAGCACTTAAAGATCCTAAGTGGGTTCAAGCTATAAAGGAAGAGATGAAGGCTCTTGAGAAGAATCAAACTTGGACACTGAAAAATTTATCACGTGGAAAAAAGACTGTCGGATGTAGATGAGTGTTTACTATAAAACAGAACGCGTATGGATCTATTGAGCGATACAAGGCAAGGCTTGTGGCGAAAGGGTACACACAGACTTATGGTGTAGATTATGAAAAAACCTTTGCACCAGTTGTAAAATTGAACACAGTCAGAGTCTTATTGTCCCTCGCAGTTAATTTGGACTGGTCACTACACCAGTTTGATGTAAAGATGAAGAACCCATGGAGGAGGTGTATATGGACATTCCTCATGGACATAATACTACTAAGAATGGAACAATATGTAAATTACTAAAGGCGTTGTATGGATTGAAACAGTCACCACATGCATGGTTTGGACGGTTCACTATAGCAATAAAGGACAATGGTTTCAGACAAAATAACTAAGATCATATTTTATTCTTGAAACATCAGAAAGGGAAGGTAGCAGTTCTAATAATCTATGTTGATGACATGATTATTACTGGGAATGATAAACATGAAATATCTCAGCTACAAGACTATTTGGCTACTGAATTTGAGGTGAAGAATCTAGGTGGACTCAAATATTTCTTGGGGATTGAGGTGGCCCGATCACAATAAGGCATATTTCTCAATAAAATGAAATATATCTTTGACTTATTGACAGACACATGACTGCTAGATTGCAAACATATAGACACTCCTATTGTTTAGAATCATCATCTTGGAGAATACCCGGATCAAGTTCCCACTAACAAAGAAAGATACAAAAGGTTAGTGGGAAGATTGATCTACTTGTCTCATACTAGGCCAGACATTCCTTATGCGGTGAGTGTCATCAGTCAATTCATGCATTCTCCGAGTGAAGGCCACATGAATGTAATTATTCGGATACTTAGATATATAAAGTCTGCACCCGGAAAAGGACTTGTGTTCTCAAAACATGGTCATCTGAATATTGATGGTTACACATATGCATATTAGGCAGGAAGTATAACAGATAGGAAATCCACATTCGGTTACTTCACATTCGTGAGAGGTAATTTGGTTACATGGAGAAGCAAGAAACAGAAGGTGGTGGCCTTATCCAGTGAAGAAGCCGAATTCAAAGGTATGACCAAAGGAATTTGCGAACTCATTTGGTTAAAGAGGTTGCTTACTGAACTGGGGTATAGACCTACATCTATAATGAATATCTTTTGTGACAACAATGCTGCAATCGCTATTGCATAGAATCCAGTTCAATATGATCGCACCAAACATGTTGAGGTAAATCGACACTATATCAAACAGAAGCTCAAAGCTAAAGTGACTCAGTTTCCTTTCGTAAAGTCCGAGGATCAATTGGTGGATATTTTGACAAAGGCAATTTCCAATAAAGCGTTCTACAATTCACTGGATCAGTTGGACATTGGCGACATCTATACACCAACGTGAGGGGGAGTGTTGGCGTGACTTGTGGACCATTGACTTTCTTTCCTTACACACCAAGGATTCTCATTATAATTATAATTTCCTACTATAAATAGAAATATGAATTTATTATGTACTTGCCCATTAAAGTTTCGTTGTATTATAAATATGACCTCTTACAAAGAGAAGAATACACATAAAATTCTCACAAACAAATATTCTCATATTAGGTTTCCTATTTTAGTAGATAGGTTCCCATTTGTTTAGCTGTGTGCTTGTTTAGGGGCATCCTCTTTAGCAAATTTTGCTTCTAAACCTTTTGGTGCTCAGACCCAAAAAACAAATCTTTTGGTTCAGGTCCAACCTAATTGCTTTTGTGCCGCCATTTCACTAATGGTATGTTTACTAATTCGTAGTTGGATTAGGAGAAATGGAATTGATGATGAATTGAATTGAGAAGAATTAGATTCCGGATTCCTATTGAAGTTGTTTACTAAACCATATGGATTGAGAGAAGTTAGATTCCAAATTCCTATTGAAGTTGTTTACTAAATCATATGGAATTATGGTAGGAGTGGTACTAATTATTAAAATGTCCTCATTGTTAGGTTAGAGTAGATGACAAATTTGGAATTTTGAAACTTGTGTGATGATATAATGGGTAAAAAATATGAATTCCTAATAGGTTAGTTCTACAGGAATTAGAATACCACCTCCCACCAAAGAATTGAATTCCTCCAAAATCAGGAATTCAATTCTTAATTTTTTGTGGACCCCACTCACTTTTCAATTACTTGATGTGAAGTAAACGCAAGAATCCTCCGTACATGAAATTCGATTCCTGATTAGTAAATACACCATAAGATCAATACAACAAAAATTTCTCTCTCATTAACCAAAAATGTTCTAAGATTTTGTCCCCATAAAATGGATTTAATTCAATACCTTTCACCCCAAACCTTAAATCACGAATTTTCAGCTGTATTGTATTCGTACACTTACATGATCACCAACAAAATAAATTGGATCCCCGTGTAGAAAAGTGTATTTTTATTGGCTATGTCCCTAATCAGAAAGGCTACTAATATTATCACTCTCCAAGTCAGAAAGTATATACCTCCATGGATGTAGTGTTCCGAGAACACGACATATATTTTTCAGAAGCATATGAGGAGAATCTAGAGCCAAACACCCCAACTTTTCTAGATTTTTTCACAACAGCAGAGACTCAGCTTCAAAGCGACCGGTCGCCTCCCTTTATCCGTGCACAGGAGGAGTCTCTGCCTCCAAACGACCAGTCGTCCCCCCAAAACGGCAGTCGCCTCCCTCGGGTTGTTTACACCCTGTGCCTCTGCCAAGAAATGACCGGTCGCTAGAGCCACGCGACATGTCGCCTCCCTGCTGCCAAAATTAGAAGGAGACAGTTGATCCGTTTTATGAGATTTTGCCTGCTCCGGATCCGTCTTAAGCTTTAGAACCATACTAATCGCCTATTGATGATGTCATTCAGGTAACATCTCCACCTAAAACTGATAACACTAATGAAATATGTCATGATGATTTGAATTCAAAAAAGCATAAAGGATATAGATACCCTTACATATCAACTTCCATAAATGAAGAACCGTGGTAAAGATCAAGTACAGTACGAAGTAGATCTTAAAGCTAAAGGAAAATGCCCCATTAATAATTATATATCTCTAAGTAGATTATTAGAGTCACATGAACAGTTGGCCGATATATCTGGTGTAAATGAAGCACTAGAAGACTCAAAATGGAAAGAAGCCATGAACGAAGAAATGTGAGCTCTCCAGAAGAATGCCACAAGGGATCTCGTGCCTTTACCTCACGAAAAGAAGATGGTGGGATGCAAATTAATCTATACTATGAAACTTAAAGCAGATGGATCCATTGAAAGATATAAAGCCAGATTGGTAGCGAAGGGGTATACATAGAGGTATGAGGTGGATTACCAGGAGACCTTTGCCCCAGTAGCCAAGATCAACACTATTAGAGTCCTACTGTCTCTAGTAGCAAATTTAGATTGGCCACTACATCAGTTCAATGTTAAAAATGTCTTCTTACATGATGACTTGGAAGAAGAGGTATACATGGATTTACCACCAAGATGTAATTCAGCTCCTGACAAGAAAAATCAAGTTTGCAAGCTTAGAAAATCATTATATGAGTTTAAAACAATCTCACAAGGTTAAAACAATCTCACAGGGCATGGTTTGGAAGATTTACTAAGTCTATGAAGAATTAGGTGGTGCAAGAATTAAATGAACAAAAAATGGCAAGTGCACCCGCAAGAAAGTAGAAAACTAAGGAGTTTTGACTCTTTAGTTTGTGCGAAAGGTAAATTTGGACATACATAATATTTTTTTTTATAATTAAAATATTATTTTTTTTAAAAAAGAATGACATATGTAGAGAAGGGTAGTTAGTTTAGTTTATCATGCATCCCTCCCCCTTGAATTATTTTTAAATAAAACCCCCAAAAAAAAAAAAAAAAAAAAAAAAAAAAAAAAAAGAAAGAAAGCATGAGTTTTTTTTCTTGTTTACTAAGGACCGCATTTAATGTTTGGCCCTAGGGCCATCAAAATGTCAAGGCTGGACCTGCTTGCATGTAATTAGAATTTGAGAGAGTGACCAGAATGAGAACCATAGAACATGAGGGAAAGGTTGTTGAAAAAGAGTCCCATCATCATTTTTTACGAACCTTATGCTTTATTTAGGAAATTAATTATCGTTTTTTTAATGTTTATTTGGAATATCTATTAGAAATTAATTTAGTATGCATGTGTAATCTTTAAAGACTCTTTACTCACCTTTTTGTACTTGTAAAATGATGGATGGGCAATGAGAAATGAGACTCTCGCATGGACGACCATCAATGCCCAAGACATTGACACTCTTCAATATCCTAACGAACCCTTTGTCTCCTTAGCCTTCTTCCTAAGAGTTTTGAGCTCTCGAAAAAATCTTTGTTGCTCTTACTCATAACTATGGCACATGGCATGGAAATCGAAGATCGTATCCTTAACCTCATATTTCCATATCTCACATTTCTTGTCAAGGCATGTATGTCCAAAGAATGTCTAGGGTCCAAGATGCCCTGCATGTAATTATAATTTAAGTAGGTGACCAGAATGTGAACCAGAGATTACAAACCTTATGTTTTATTTAGGGAATTAATTATAATTTTTTGTGTTTATTTAGAATATTTATTAGAACTTGATTTTGTGGTTTGAAAACCGTCGAGGTAAATTTTCTCTACAAAATACTGCAAAAGAAAAAGAAAATGTGTGATCCTCTAGAGATGATATTGGCTAATCTAGAAAATGTGTAATCAATAGATATAAAAATAGATTTCCATATATTAATCAAATTAAAGATGAAATCTACAAAGTTCATATTTACCTATTGTTGGATCGCTGTTGTTCTTGCATTGGTTCTGAAGCTGTATCAGTGTTTTCTGTTAATAGAAATGAATATAGAACTAATCTAGGAAATGTTTTTGTTGATGCTGTGTATTCTAAGGCTGATGGCACTCTGGAATAATTTCATAGCCCTGATGGGTCTTCTTTCTCTGTTAATGAAGGATGAAGTTTCTAGTATGGAACTGTCGTAGTTGTAATAGGGCTATCTTTTAGAACTATATTAAGCATTTACATGGATTGTATAAATTTCATATATTTTGTTTTTTTGGAAGCAAGACAATTAACTGATATTTTGGAAAGGAGATTTCGATCTCTTGGTTTTAATCAACAAGTACATGCGAAGCCTAATGGATTTTGTTTTAACAAAAAAACTTTCCATCAAAAGAAAGTGTTTAGTTACCCATAGTTATGAGTAACATCAAAAGAAAAGACGTGGAAAAAGAATAGAACCCATAAAAACTGAAGATATTGCACTTTAGGGTTGATTTTCTTCTCCTCAAAGCGTAACCCCTTTCTCTGAAATTTTCCACCTCCTTATATCACGTCCTAGGGTACTAAAAGTTCTCTAAAATTAACCAAGGACGTCCCAATCCCTAAAGAATAGGTAAAGATATAAAACTAGGACAGTCTTGACTCAGAATTCTTCTTTGACTGGGAAAGCAGAAAAAATATTTAAATTGTAGATCTTTGTCTTATATTTTCAGCCATATATTGCACGTCTTGAGAAAAAATAAGGAAAATCTTCAAATAATCATTCTTCCACAGCAGCACAGTTTTGACGAGATTGCACATTGTGTTGACTTAACTTCAAAGACTGCTCTCATTGGCTGCTCCGAAAATTCTATAACAATTCCATAATCATTTTCAAGATTTTAACTTTCATCTCCAATTGGTCTTGTACAAAAAAATCCACAAAAAAGTCGTATTTCCATTGAAAATCAATTAACTGCTCCGGAAAACTAAAAATTTGAGAAAATAGAGTAATAAGTCATTTTTAAATCCAATTCTCCTAAAAAACCTAAGCATAAATAGTACATAAATGTGTAAATTTATGGACTTATCAAATACTTTACATATTAAGAAAAACCACTAGTACAAAATAAATTGAGCATAAACACATTTCATCATGAAAATTGTTTTATGTAATTTGAACTAATGATGAGGCTAATATTTTGTAGAGATGCGTGGTTTTAATTCACAATTTGACCATATAGGCATTTGTTTAGGAATATAGGTTGATAAAACATCAGTACTCATTCTATCATTTCACATAATATTTTAAGCACTTTGTCTTCACAATGATCATCATCTTTATTATCTCTTGGATCTATATGTTTGTTCTATATTATTTGTCATTATCAAACCCAGTTTGTATGATAAAAAGGTGTGTATATATATATTGTACAATCAATTTAATAGAAATGTACCCATGAAACTGCTTGTGGTTCTTTATCCAAATCATAACTTTTGATGTAGACAAATTGATTAATCAATTAACTACTTTTATTTCCACATCTTCCAAAATCAACCAATAAATTATCAAATAACAAAAGATCTAAAAATCAAGGCTAAGTGCATCTCCAGAACTCCAATGTCTTGCCTTCTCAAATCCGTTGACACAATTGTCAAAATCATCAATGGTTTGGTCAATCTCTTCTTGTGTGTTCATCACAAAGGGCCCATATTGTGTTATTGGCTCACCCAAAGGTTCACCTCCAATTAAGATAAATCTAAGGGGCTTGGAAGATTTGTTCCATGCCTCCAAGCCATCCCCAGATCCAAGAAGAAGAAGATGGTGGGCTGTCACTGGCAAAGATTTTGGACTTCCAAAAATACCCTCACCCTCCAACACATACACAAATGCATTCCATGATATTTGTATTGGCTGTTGCAAAATAGCCCCTGATTTCAGAGTGAAGTCCAAGTACATGGTTGGGGTCCTTGTGTAAATTGGTGACTTTGTTCCCAAGGCCTCTCCAGCTATTACCCTAACTTTCACCCCATCTTTTGCAGCCTCTTTAATGTCCTTGCTCAGCATTTCTTGGTACTTTGGCTCAATCCTGTGTTAACAAAATTTACATAATGATTATAGATTAGAAAGAAAAAAAGCTACCTAATTCGAAGAATACTATTTGATTGTGACAAGGACTTCTGTCACCTTTTTAATGAGTTAAAAGCAAAAATGATGGTGTGAAATAAAAGCTGATCAACCACTATCAAAGTCTTAGGTCCATTTGTCAAAACTTATCCTAAGTTTCCAAAAGTTGAAAGCTATACCAGCACTAGCAAATGATGTATCATCACAGAACAGAAGATTTCTTGATGACCACGGAATATGAGGGTAAAAAGCCCATAGATTTTTAGTATCGCAAAGATATTTCAGGCTGGCCTGCACACACAGAATGTGCGCTGCATTCAAAAGCACTTTTTGAAAAGGATTATATCCCATCATGACCAATGACATAAATATTCGGGTAATATTCTCTTATCAGACTAGTAGTGTAAGACATTCACGCTGCATGTTGTGAATCTACACTACATATTCTGATAAAAACTTACTCAATCAAATAGTTTAAATTCACAACTCGTAACATAAGCATTTTATGTTGCTAAACTGTCTTGCAAAAGAATGTTTTCCTATTTATGTTTCAAATTAGTATACGCTTTATAATGAACCCTAGATGACATCAAGTATATGTCATAAAGTCGACTCACACCCTTCATACATATCCATGGACCATGGTCAATAAAAATACAGAAGAATATACATACATTTTATGTTTGGAGGAGAGGTTTATCCACAACTGCAAACCCTTTTGGGTTCCCTGGGCCGCAGGCATTTCTGAATGGACAATACCTCTTCCTGCGGTCATCCATTGTAAGTCACCGGCTCCTATTGTCCCTTTGTGCCCTTCAAAGTCTTCATGTGTGACAGCTCCCTGATCACCCAAAACCAATTTCATTCAACTAACGTAAGTCTATTTATCATACAAATAGCCTTCGTTAATCAGACCCTACCCATATACAGTTCACATCAAAGAAAAATGGTAAACAAAAAAAAAAAGGAGGTCTGGAAGGCTGACCTTGCCAGTCATGCTGTGAACGCTATTCGAATTTTGTATTATTTTTCATTGAAATTAAAACGTTACGTCCTAGATTAAAGGTTTGATTCCCTTCCATTGAAAAAAATAAAAAAATGCATAACAATTTGACTAATTAATTTTGTACTAAGCCATATTGAACATGTTTATTTGAAAAAAGTCACAGAACAGTTAGGTGAGGGAGACTTTAGTTTCCAGGTGGTTCATTTTTTAATTACAAAAGAAAAAAAAAGGTATTATTATGTCTTAGTCCACTGCGGAAGTTTTCAGGTAATTAATTTACAAGAAACTGATTAGCTGGAAAGGTAACTTAAACAGCAAATAAATAATTATAAAGACTTTTTACCTGCAACATGTAGGTCACTGTCTCAAACCCTGTAATTTAAGAAAGAAAGAAAAAGAAAAAAAAAAATTTAGAATTCAACCCAATATTAATCTCAATGAGCATAGCTAATTACAAGGACGGTGATGAAGACCTCTGTGTGGGTGATCAGGAAACCCAGCAGGAGCAGAAACTGCAATTGCAAAAGAAAATATTAGAAAATAGCTGTAAACAAACACATCTATTACATTTACATACAATAAAGAAACAGAGAAAAACAGAGCTGCCCACCTGAGAACTCATCCAGAACAAGAAAAGGATCAAAGTATTTCAGCTCAAACCTGCACAAAAATGCAACAACCCATTGATTCAAACATCTCAAATTCCCCAATCTTTCCCTTCATTTGAATGAAAAACAAGAACTTTTCTGGTCTATCTGTCATGAACTTACCTCCCAATGCTCCTTCTAACAACTGCCCCAACTCCTTCATGTTGAGGCCTAGCCAAGAACTTCCTCACCACAAGACGAGGTTTTTTGACAACTTCTCTCTCAGGCATATTCTCTGTTATCAGTCTTAAAAAACTCTGCTTTGAAAAGTGGTTCAAATTAATGTGAGGGAAATTGAGAGATATCTGTAGGTGTATATATAGCAATGAGAGAGAGAGAATTTAGAGAGAGAAAAAAGTCGGTATGTTTTTGGAAGGTCAAAGTGAATTTTGTTGACAGCCAATAAGACCAAATGGGACAGGTTTGCTTGAGCTCCAGGGACTTTATTATGTACCTTAGTGTATGACATCAGCATGACGTTTTGATGATGTCGTGGGTTTGATTGAGGATCATAGCTGTTAGTTTCATGAGTGCCACGGCTTATGGAATGCATGGGTCATGCTTATGCATGCTTAGAGATGTTGCGTGGGGGCACGCAATTTCTGGGAACAAAATCGGAAGTTGGTTCGCAAAAAGCAATGGCAAGATATTTTGTCTTCCCATTATGGAACCTTCCTACGCAATGGTCCTGTCTTTTCATTCGAAGTTGAGGCATATTCATTAGGTTTGTGAATTATGATCACAGAATTGGAAGTATGTTTCATTTTTTTTTGAAATCGTCTACAAATGGCATTTTAATTTAAGTTCAATTTTTTTATACAATTTTTTTTGTTTCCCTCATTTATAAAACCACGAGTAGTGAGGGTAAAAGCGGATATAAATATCACTAGGCGAAAAATTAGTTGATCTTTGCAGATCACCATGTACAAGAAAAGTTCTGTTGTGCAGCCACCTATAATATAACATGTGAATTAGTATGTAACACAACATGAAGGCAGTCACGGATAAAAGGATTTCCATTAGTTTCTCTTTATTTTAAAATGTAATTTTCCATGTTTTCAAATTAAATGCCCATAAACAGTGAATTCCTAACATAAATAAACATGACGTTGTGCTAGCGTTTGAAAAGAATGTTGGCAAAAGAGAAGGTTTCATGCATATGCTTTTTTCCAATCCCGTTTTCGTAGAAAAAGCGATGTTGTTTAGAGAATGGGCAAAGAAGGAAAAACAGACAAGGAAAACAAGAAAAGGGCCCATCCGGACAAGGAAAATGTTTCATTGATCTCAAACACATGACCTCCCAAGATTAATTACTTGCAATTAGAAATGAGGTACTTTCATCTAATTTGTTCTCATTTTGCCTAATCATATAGTGGATTGCATTTATCATGTGATTAAGACCACAATTTTCAAATAATTAGGAAAATAAGCATGACAACCTTGGTTTACTGACATCATTGATACAAAAGCATGACGTGAGGACAACCGTTGGATAATAAGGAGCAAAAGTGAATCAAATCAAAGATGAAGAGTCCCACTTTCAATAACGTGTAGACTTTTTGAGTTTGAAACCATTCAATTCAAACAGCTAAATCAAATGAGATATATGTGAATCTTGTGGGAAGACATATTTAGGTTGAATGAGATAATTAAAAGTGTGGGCGAGCTGGGTACAAACAAAGACAAATTAACACCTGTACCAAGACGCAGAAAGACAACGCACACCTTGTTACATATTAGATCCCTTTTTCCATACATTATTTATACTAGTCCCTTGGCACATGCTAATGCATGTACCAATTAGTTTTCGTTTTTATTTTTAGAATTAAAAAAGATAATGGGTAGTTGTATTCCATAAAAATAGGATATATTATCTGATTTTTCTTTTAATTTTAATTTTTTTAAATATGAAAAAAATATGAATTTACCGTATTATCCTTATTTAATTAATAATTTCAATTCTTAATATTTGCATTAACTAAGAGCATTTTCTAGTATTTTGAATGTTTCACCTTATTACATATATAGATGACACATTCAAAATACTAGAAAATGCCCTTGGTTAATGCAAATATTAAGAATTGAAATTATTAATTAAATGAGTATAATATGGTAAATTCACACTTTTTCATATTAAAAAAAAATTAAAATTAAAAACAAAATCAAATAATAAGTTCTACTTTTATGGAACATAACTACCCATATTACTTTTTTCTTAATTCTAAAAATAAAATAAAACCACGCATGTGCCAAGAGGCTAGTATATATAAAATATAAAATTAAAAATTAAAAAAAAGAAAGAAAAAATTAAAAAAAGAAAAGAAAGACACACATACTTGCTAGGTGAAAATGATGTCACTTGAACGCACAAGAAGGCACCTTTGATGGACTTGTCAACAGGGTTGGTTCATTGATTTTGGAGGTTCTGGGCAAAAATAAAAGTTGAGGCTTTTTATGTTCAACACTTACCTCATTCTGAACCAAAATAAAAAGTAAAAAAATTCTCAGTTTAGGTGCTAAGTTAGTTAATTTATGTAAAAGAGACTTGATATATGAAAAATAAAGAAAAATACAAAAAATATTTCAGAATAAATCCCAAAAAGCATGAATTACACAAATAAAATGCCATTTTTGTTATTATAATTCTTGGGCTAAAAGGTTTTATAGGAGGCCTTATTTTTTAGGGCCCTATGCCATCACCCAACTCAAGTATTCGATGGGTGGGGCCTGCATGGAAAGATGTATGGCAATGGGTCGAACGGGGGTGGGTATGCCATCCCCATCCTCATCCTCATTAAACTTTTTCCTCCCTATTCCTGCCTTCATACCCGCAATATTTATATCAGGGATTCCCCATCCCCACCTTCGTTAAGGAATGGGTTCCCCGACCCGTCCCATTACAGAAGAAAAAACTAATATAAATAACTACTTTGTTGAAGAAAAAAAATAGTATTAAGACAAGGTAATTAATATATATACTTATAAGACAATATAAGAATGTTTACATATGGACTGGAAGTTAACTAAATAAATAAGTGGGTTATTCGCAGCAATGGTCCCTTAACTATACCCGCAGTTACATTTGGGTCACTAAACTCAATTATTAGTTGCAGAGGTCACTCAAGTATGTGTTTTGTTGCACCAGTAGTCATTTTGTCAAGTCTGGCTAACGTGGTGTCAATTTCATGGGCAAATTTGTCTTTTCAAGTCTACAATGTCCAACCTCCCATCTAAAGTAACTTCCCTCCGAAAAATGTCAAATCTGACGCCAAATAAATATCTAATTCCCATTTATATTTGAAGAAATCCACATAAAAATAGTAGATGTGTTGAAATTTTGGAAATTCGAAGGAAATCTGGGATGCCCACACAGTGCATGCGCAAAAATGTCGTAGATTTCTTCTTCATCAACAAATCAGAGCCCTAGAGCAAGGAAGCTATACAGGTGCGGGGGATATATCAAAACCTGGACTTCATGGACTGATTTAAATCCTATGAGAAGATTTGAGGCTTGTGAGATGAGTCGAGTAAGTTAATCTGTGAAATTTTATTTTGTTGCTTGATGGGTTTAGCTTTGATGTTATGAAACGTACTTTGTAGAGAAACAGTGGAAATGGGCATCATTGGGAGTGGCTAGACACACCGACCTGTGCTAGAGGAAAAGAACTAATTCCTGGGTTGCTAAGAAGAATGAGAGCAATGGAAAAGGACCTAAAGTTAATAGAAGAACAGAAGAAAGAAGTGGAAGACAAGCTGAAAATTGTGGAGAGAGAAAAGAAGGAATTAGAGTACAAAGTTGGAGAATTAGGCAAGCAGAAAAGACTATTGGAAGAGAAAAGAATAGGCCAACGACCAAGAGAGAATCAAATTTGGGGGGTTTCATTTCTGTCATTGGGTCTTGGGTTTTTGGTGATTATGATGATGCTCTATATCTTGAGCAATTGGTTAACATTTCTGGGTGGAAACTATGAAAAGCTTATGATCAATTAGGTCGAAATGTAACCAATATGTAGTTCATTTTGCAATGAAATTTCAGTTCGAGTTTGGTGGACATATTGGTGTTGGTGTATTCAATTTGTTGATGAGAGGGCATGAGTGGATAATTGTGATATGAACAACTAGTAGTGGTGTTGATCAAGAGGTGGGAGAAATATAAAACAATTTCTTCAGCATATATAACACCCAGTTACAGGTTCCAAAATGTACCAAATCAGGTTCCAAGTGAAACAGAAGCATAAAGATAGATGAACATAAACACCTAGTTCAGGTTCCAAAATGTACCAAATACAAAACAACCACACTAGGTTCCAGCCCAGAGACTCAAAAAACACATCCAACAAACTATTCATAAAACACATCTAACTACTTCAAAAAAGACATCCAACAGACATCCTCCCAATTAGCCTTCAAAACATCCATGGTCTAAGCCTCTTGGCAGGAGACTTGAATCTCTTGGCAGGAGACTTGGGTGGTTGTAATGATGATGATGTAGCTCTAGTGTAAGAGAGTGGCTGTGATGATGATGGGAGTGGTTGTGATGATGATGGCTTGTTTGGCATTTCTACTGTCCCATTTCCAACCTAAAATAAAATGGAAACATATTAACTAAATAAAGTACATCAGTTAAATTTCTGACCAAATTAACCAACCAAAGTAGCATGACAAAGTTGTCACTTACATTTCCTTTTCCATTTGGCATTTGTCCTCTCCCATTTCCTATCCTTCTTCCTGTAGTAGTACCTCTACCTCTCCCTCTCCCTCTTCCTCTAGTTGGGTTGGGCTGATTAGGCTGGGCCTAAAAAACAAAAATAAACTAAACAATAACAAAAAAAAAGGGTCAAATGTTCCTTGGTTGGGCCTAAAGAACAAAAAGGATTGAAATTAAAGAGATTTTAACTAAAATACCTAAGCTGCCCCTTGGACTGTAGAAGAGCCAAATGTTCCTTAGTTGGGCTGATTAGGAAGGTCCTACAATAACAAAAACAAAAAACTAATTAAAGTAAATAATAACAAAAGGAAATTAAAATAAAGAAAATATAACCTAAATACTTGTGCTGCCCCTTGGTTGGCATGCCGTGTCTTATTATGTCTCTCCTGGCCACAAATAGAGCATCTTATCTTGACATAAACCTTCTCAACTTAGTAGGTGGTGGATTGTAATATGGGGGCAAAGGGTTTGGAGGAATTGGAGCAGGTACTTCAACCTCAGCTGGTTCTTTGTTCTTTGATTTCTTGGGTCTTCCAGGCTGCTTATTATATGGAGGAGGTTTAATTGGAGGCCAATTAGTTCTCTGCCACTAGTCCATGGATGGTATTGGGTGTACCATAGGTTCATATGAATTCAAGTAGGCTTCTTTCTTATAGCAGTCATGTGCATAGTCAAACACATTTGCCTCCTTTTGAAAGATACAAGAAATAGCATGAAAACATGGGATCCCACACAAATCCCATCTTCTATATGAGCAAGTCTTGGCTTTTAGATCACTACATACTCTCCCCCATACATATGGCTCACTTGGTATTTGCTCTCACCTGCTAATCTAAGAATGCATTGACTAGCTCCCAACTTGTTCTTCTCAACAATCTTGACAATCCTAGGGCCAATTGGATGTCTTCAAACCATACCAGCAATCCTTCTATTAGCCATCCTTAATATGATATAAACTCTAGTCCTTTCTAGATATGTTAAGATAGACTTTTCTCTTGAATCTAAAATGCAAAAGTTAAAGGATTTACAGAGGTTGTTCAACAACAGATCACACTTAAAATGTGGCTAGTCTTTTCATAACCCACTTCCACGCCTCTTCATCTTGCTCTTTCATCTTGTCCATTTCTACTTCATACCAGGGAATGATAGTTGCTCTTGTCGCAGCCCAAAGAATGTTTTTCAGTGCAAGGCCAGCATGCTCTGTCTTGAAGTTGCTGTAGAGATGCCTAACACACATTTTGTGCTTAGTTGTTGGAAGCAATGTCTCAATTGCAGGTATTAGACCTTTTTGCTTGTCACTCATAAACACCCAAGCTTTCCCATTCTCAATTTTTAAGTCTTCAATTAAAAGTTCAAGGAACCAAATCCAATTACTTTTTGATTCCACCTCTACAATAGCATAAGCAACTGGGTATATTCCATTATTCCCATCAACACCAATGACTGTTAAAACTTGCCCTATGTAAGGTTCCTTTAAATGGCATCCATCTATACCAATGAGAGGTCTACATCCTGCCAAAAATCCCCTCTTACAAGCTTCCAAACATACATAAATTCTTTCAAACATTCATCTTATTCTTTATAATCACAGTGCTGCCCTTGTTAGCCTTCTTCAATTCTTCTGCATAGTCCCATAGCCTCGCATATTGCTCAACATAGCTTCCTTCAATGATCACCTTGGACAAGCTCGTTGCTCTATAAATCTGATGCCTTGAAACATTCATATGGTATTTTTCTAATACCTCAGACTTGAATGCCCCCACATTCCACCCAGGGTTTTTCCTAATCTTGTCAGCAAATCTTTTTGACAACCACCTTGAATTTGTATATTTAAGTTTGTCCACTCTAGTACACTCATGCTCTAACGAGAGAGTTTTTATGGCAAATGTCTGCTCATCTCTGTCTATCTTGGAAGCAAGCAGAATAAAAGGGTATTTCGTGTGACCTACACACTTTGCTCGAATCCTTTTATTATCATTCTTCACCAATTTAACATTCCTCCCTTGCACAATTGCATACTGCCTAATAGCTTCCTTGAGTTCATTCTTATTGGCAAATTGTATTCCAATTCTAAACTCTGGATTTCTCAAATCAGTTTCTTTCCTAGACTATTTAAAATTTTGCTTCTTTCATTTCCCTAGCTTGTCTTTTTTTGACCATCTTCGTCACCACCAGAGCTATCACCATCAAAAGGAAGTCGATCACTATCTTCATCATCATCTGATATCTCCCCTGTAGCTTCATTAAGAGGCATTTCATTCATCTCTTCAAAACATTGTGCATATTCAACATTTGGTGCATCGTTCCTTGGTTGTGCTCTTGATGCAGCCTCTTTATTACCATTTTCTTCTTCACTTAATTCATAATCACTGTCAACAATAACATCCTCTTTTTCCTCCTCTTCCTCTTCCTCTTCATTGCCAACATCCTCACTATGCTGTTGTTGCTCTTTATCTTCACTCTCTAGCTCGTTGTTATGAGTAGGATCATGGTAATACAACACCAATACCTGATATGATGAAATGCTCCCAACCAACCTTAGAATACAACTATCATTTACAACCTTATTCATAACATGTTGACCACTTTTTGCAGGCCCCTTATAGTAAACTTTTAAGTTTGTAACCCTTTGTGTTATATCAACTTTGTATCCAAGATCTATCCCAATTTTCTTTAAATCCAATAATGAGAGATAGTCATGAATATAGTTGTCAACATAGCATACTTTGCCTTCCTTATACACTCCATTCTCCAACAGACCAAAATGGTGGAGTTCAAAAGTACATAGCTCTGCTTTATCTACCACATTACACAAAGGTATGCTTACAAACAATTTCCATGAAAATGAGGACAAAGTAAACAATGAAGACAAAGTAAGTGCAGGCATGTGCAAGTGTGAAATCACTTCCATGACAAACCGACATAAATGGGACCACAGACAATAATAAAGACTCCAACTTACATTTTTTTCAACCTTGAAGCCAAAAATTCATTGTCAACAACAGGACCACACATTTGCAAACATAATTTATTGAAATATAAAATGTAGAAGGAATATTTAGGTAATAGTAACTTACCATACTTGGGGGGGTTCTCCAGACTATCGAAAAATTGTCTCCATTTGAAGAAGCCTCTACACACAGTAGACTTGACACTTTTCTCTGTGATTTCCATGAAATTGAAATCCTAGATCTGTACTTTATCGTTTTTTTAACTCAAAATCCTTCGCAACTTAGTCCATTAAAGCATAATGCTGAGATAATGTTCCAAAATCCCCCAAAAATCGAAGTCAAATACCTCTCGATTTGAAAACCCTAGACCTTCGCGATTTTTCCCTTTTGCTCAGACTGCCAGTTCTATTTAACTATCGTTCTCTTCAAAAGTAAAAGATTCGTCTTAATTAACTGAAAAGCTAGATTTGCCCATCAAGAATCTGTGAGATGCTTGCCACGTCATCATTTTAAAAGGAAAAAACTCACAGACTTGATGGAAGGACTATTGGTGCAACAAAACACATACTTGAGTGATCTTTGCAACTAATAATTGAGTTCAGTGACCTAAATGTAACTACGGGTATAGTTTAGGGACCATTGCTACGAATAACCCTAAATAAGTAGTATGGCTTAAGATTTGTTTAAAAATAGGAAATATAAAACTTAGTCGATACAATCACTTTAATAGCATATTTATATATACTATAATATATATTCCAAACGGGGAGGATTCAGGTTGGGAGCCAACAGAAGGAACTTTTGGTCCTTCTTTTGAGTGCAAGGCGTGCCACCACCAAGCCACAAATTTGGGCATGAATGGAATGTGAGTAGATGGATATGTTGCGCTTCTGACTTCTGATCAATTGATTGATCGGCCAAGCAAGTAACCTCCTCTTGGCCTAGGTTCTTTCACTTCCTTGAGCTTGAGGATGGTTAGGCTTCATATGGATGTTGTGATTTTTAGGTTTTTAGTGAAAATGGTGTGATTAAATTAAATGTGCGTTTAAACATAAGACAAGAATTAAAAATAAAGCAAGAACGATAAGAAAGATAAACTAAATTAAACTTGAAATTAAACTTAATGAAGATGTGATAACAATGAAAAGTAAAACAATGGAAATAAACTTGAATCTAAAGGACAAGAAAATGTAAATTGAACAAGAATTTAAACTTATACTAGGAAAAGGAAGAACTTGCTATATATACTAGGTGCTTGAAAAGTAAAATCCTAAGTCTAGGAAAAGAAAAGTGCACGACGAAAAATAGGTTTGTGTGTCTGATGATGTGTGTTTTGCCTTCGTTTAGTGAGGTTTATATAGGGCGGCCGTTGGCCCATGGGCTGGCCATTGAATGACCAAATGTCAACTCTTTTAAAATTCTTTCCTTTCGAGAACCCCTAAATCCGTGGGATGTCATTGGTGGAGATACTCTAATTGCTTGATTCTATCTTGTTTTGGAATATTCTGAACTATCATAAATCTCCTTGATTTCTTTCCTTGTGAGGCCTCCGCCACGTGCATACACTATTCCAGAAATCTTGGGCACGAATCCATAACCTTTGGGCTCCTTGGAATTATATGGGGCTGACGCTCATGACCTTTGAGTTCTGGAGTTCTAATTACCCAAATTACTTTCAAACCTCCAATCCTATTAAATGGCCATTCACTTTTATTATATATATATATATATATATATAAAATAAAGTGGACTTCAACTAAAAGCCCTCCAACCATACTTTTCTAGCTGCATGTCTTTTGCCCAAATCCTTTCAACTTGGCCACATTGTTACAGCACCTCAAAGCTACAAACTGGCTGCATTGAGTGCAGCCCGGATTTCTTTAGCCCAATGCCATCTCTGGGTTCCAACTGCTCCAGCTCCAAAGACCCCTGCCACTGCAAGCCCGGCAGCAGATCCTCTTAATTCCACACTCCAAGCCCGGCTGCCACTCCAGCTTCTAGCTGCTGTAAACCCAGCCGCTAAGCTTTAGGTTCTAGCTGCTCCAGTTCCAACAACTCGGGCCACTCCAACTCCAATACCCCGGATTCCCGGCCACCAAGCTCCAATACCCCGGGCCGCTCTTCTCGAACCCGGCTGTAACTCCTAGAGCTCGGCTGCTTTTCTCCAGTCCGGCTGTTTGTGTTTTCGAAAGGTGCCCGGGTTGGGTGAATTTTCACCACCCCCAAACAATACCATCCCCGCACCTCTTAGAACACCCAAAAAATTCCCCGTACCTGTCCCCATACATGTTTTTTGTCCTTCATATCCGACCCATTAGGGTCGAATCCCATGAAGATCCTTACTTGCAGGGGAAAATTGTCATCCTTAGGCCATGTAATGGGCCTGCATATACTCCGTAAAACACAAGTAAACAAACATGAAATAGGATGAGTAGGCTGATTATCTGGCCCAATTGCGCTATAACCAGTATTGGAAGATAAGACACGAACATGTACTTTTTTCTTTCTTTCTCAAATTCAATCAAGGGGGTTACATGTAATGATTTGGAAATCTCAAGGGGGTTGGTCGTGTAATTTTCAAAACCTCAAGGGGTTATGTGAAAACAAGAGAAATCTCAGGAGATGTATGTGTAATTTAACTCTTATTTTAATCTTAACTAACAAGTGCATAAATGCACAATGAAAAAAAAAAAAAAAAAAAAAAAAAAAAAAAAAAACCCAAAAAAACAAGTAAAACAAACACACTTCAACATGGGGTCAATTTTATTCATAATATAGAAAATTACTTCAGTATGCCAGAATTAAACACTTTCATAATATAAAAAATAGCCAAAATTTGACAATTATTTTCACAAATATTAGTTTTTATAAAAACTTTCAAATATAGCAGAAAATCCACGTAAAAAGACACAAATATCCTCAAAATTAAAACTCATATAAACCTAAAATTAAAAAGAAATTTAATCTTTCGAAGGCAATCATCTCTTACCAGACTTGACAAGTTTTGTTTGATCATCTCAAAATTAATATATTTTTCTTGCATATTAATTGCTTATGTTTGATCAAGCAGGTTTTTGGCTGATTTGGAAGACTGCAATGGCGGGGCTGCTGTTTTCTACGTTGTGAGTAATATTTGTGCCAAACAAAACTTACCACTCAGACATGTCAGAAGGAATCTCAAGGAGTCCATCACAGCTGTCTTCAAGGTCGGCATCATAACAAGTAACACTATAAACAACACTCAGAGCAACACCAATCTAATAACTATCCTCAAGAGTCCAATTGCCATGGTCATTACTACCACAAACAAGAATTGGGAAAGTGTCGTTGGGAGAGTTTACAAAAGGAGTTTAAACATAGGGAAAAAAACTCATTGCAGTGAAACAATTTGAGAAGCTAGTCAAAGAAGAAGGGAAGGAATTTCGTGCGGAGATGCGAGCAATCGATTTTACTCAGAAACTTTTCAGGTTTATGTGAGTTTTAATTTTGAGGGTATTTGTGTCTTTTTAAGTGGGTTTTATGCTATATTTGAAAATTTTTACTTTAATCTAATTTAAATTACGAGGAGGGGGATTTGAACTCGGGTGAAGAGTGGGAAGCACATCAACTCTAATTAACTTGACTAAGCCCATAAATGCCATCACAAGTTTTTAAATTCCACAGTTTGAACTTTCATATATACTTCCTCATCCCATGATGTATTTATTGACTCATTAGCATAGGTTGTTTCATTAAAAACTGTATGCATACAAACGAGGAGTCAAAAATGCACGTCCAGGACCATTACATAAAGAAAGAGGTTATATAATGATAATTTTGTGAGAAGAATTTGCGAGTAGTTTTTAGACTCTATTGCAAGCACGTACCACGAAATATGAATGTACAAAAGCAAATCGACTTACGTGAACCACGTGGATGGTATATACAGTTTCCACTTTACTTACTTTTGGATATAAATTTTTAAAGACCATATGTTCCCATTTAAATTTAATGGAAATTTACCAATAAGTAAGCAATCTCACCATTCCCCAAACCAAAAAGGAAAATCCACCCGCAGCATATAGTAAACCTCCAAGATGAACTGAATGTAGAAGGTTACTATGACTAAGAAACCTGTAGAAGAGCTGCTGCTTCAAATCTTCAACGTTCTATAGGCCCCCATACTGCAAATTTCTCATTTAAATAAAAATAACGAAGTATGTATGAGAATGAGAGAGAGAGAGAGAGAGAGAGAGAGAGAGAGATTTGTTTTCTACTTGTCCAAACCGATAACTGCTATCAAAGATCCAACCCATGTGGCTGTGCCAAAAACCCTTGATGGGGCTGTGAGGGTCTTTCCCTGTATCACTAAACTGATGGTGGTACCGGTGTGTACTCACCCATTCAATCGGACTACCCTGCAAACCCAAACACGCACGCACAAATATATTTTTATCTTTCTACTAGGTAACAGCTAGCTAATACAGGTGAAAAAAAAACATACAAAACGTTCTTGATCACAAGAAATCCTTTTCCAGTCACACCTCTTTTTTTTTAATTTAAATTTATTTAAATTAAATTAAATTATTTTTTATCGATGTATAAGAATAATTTCATGTATGTACATATTATATACCTGAAGTGACAAAACCCCACAGTAGGCAAAGGAGTACTCGAGCCATTTTGGAAGAGTGAAACTCCTGTGGGCAAGATTTCTATGGTAAGAGAGAGTCATCCTAAACCAGTCAAAAGAGAGAGAACCGTAGCCACCCAAAATGCACGCCAGTTGAAATGAAAGGGTGCAAATAAACAAAGGCAATGCAAAGCCAAAAACACGACCACTATGGATATGTCTTGTATATTCCATTTCCTCCCCCAGAACTCTACACAGGACTTAACGAAAACCGTGCTCAAAAGCCCCATTTTATTACAAGAAGGTTGATCGTTCGTTGCATGATATGAGTATGCAGAAAGTTCGCCATTATATAATATGTGCTCAACTGCATGAAAATGATGGTATACTACATGAAGAGTGCTCTCAGTTGTCTCTAATGCGCGCACACTCGGGAGATTCAAATTGCGCACAGCACCGACAGTCCCTAGTAAAATCCTCACTGTGTTTGGAGAAAGTTGGGCGACCCTTGTATAATATCGCATCCTAATTTAATACCTCACTGTCAGGTCATCTCGATATATAACTGCATGGAAAATGATCGAGTTTGCATGATATAGATAACGTTCTAGTCTAATATATGCCGGTGCTTTATATATGGTCCCAATATCTAATATATGGTCGCAATATCTAATATATGGTCCAAACCTACGACGGAGCCAGCATAGGCTCACTGTGTGCGGATGCCCCCACTCATCTCTTTGATTGGTTTAGATTTTTGCTTTTAAAAGAGATGAATTAATTTCACCTTGTGCCCACTATAGGCCATGGCCTACACTGACTCACCATTTGTTATCATATATACATAAAAAAGAGATGTCTTCAGCGTAGAAGTTATAAAATAACCCATTTTTCTTCTCTTCTATAGACATCATAATGTCATCCCTTTATTTATTTATTTTTTTTCTCAGCTCTTATCTCTCCTCTCAAGAACCATTGAAAACAGAGCCAGTCCATTAGATATGGAGGCCTTGTGCGAAGAAAGCTAATGAGGCCCTATATGTATAAGTAAAATATATATTTTTAAAATTTTTAAATTCATAAATCATAAATTAAATCGAAATCATTATGTGGCATCAATTACATTAGAACCCACAAATAGAATCAAGATCATCCTTGGTCTATTTTCACGTACTCACATCCACTCAATTTTCTTTTACATACAAAAAAACTACACCCAGCAAAATGAAGCAAAGATGCATATGATGGCTAATTCCAAATGCAACACATAATTTCTAAATTCTAATATGAGAGAGAGAGAGAGAGAGAGAGAGAGAGAGAGAGAGAGAGAGAGAGAGAGAGAGAGAGAGAGAGAGGTGTGGTGGAGAGTAGAGATGCATAGCATGCCTTTTGCGTTGCCAAAGAGTAAAGAAGAATTTGCTTCTGGACGGAAGAGTCAAGAAGAAGTTGGGAAGAAGTGAATTTGGGGTTAAATGAAAGAAAAGCGATTTGGGAATGGCAAGGAGAGATGCCATACGCACGACTCACGAGTTTTTTTTTAAATTTATTAATGCTTGGAACAAAAATCTGCCCATTAGGAATAGAAAATAATATTTTGGAATAAAAATTTGCTTGGAAGGAAAAGTAGTAGAAAATATATGATATAATGCTGGGCTTTTAAAAACATTTGGAGGCCTCTAAATTTTGGGGGTCCTGTGCGGTCGCATAGCCCGCACATGCCATGGGCCGACTCGGATTGAAAATGTACACTCCTCTTCTTCTTCCTTTCTATTTTTATTTCCATTTGTTTTCCATGTTCTTCATATCAACTTGGTGTGGTGTCTCTGGCTATTTTTGCTTGACTTGGTGTGGTGTCTTTGGCCATTGTTTCCATTTTTGACTGACTTGGTGTGACTAGAAACGGCACCTGCAAAAAATTTTGGTTTCACCCATTACTGAAATTTTCTTAGCTGCCACTTATCACAAGCACGAAGTTGATCAATGTGAAGCTTTAATGAGATGCCCCCATTGAATTTTTTTTCCTGGCTTCGTCCCTGTCAAAACGTTTGAAATTCTCTACCTCATATTTATTATAGAAATTTAGTTATATACCCATTCTTAACACTAGTGTTATAAATAAACCTTACATCATTTGAAACCCATAAACACACCCAAAAAAACCTAAAAATTGACAGCTGTCCTATTAATTTATATTGTATTCTAGTTTTTCCTTTTTAGCATGAAGTATAGAGAACAACCCATGATCGCCAGCTCACAAAAAGGGAGTATGGAAGACTTCTATGAGACTTTGATTTAATAGCTCCGGCCAGAGAATAGATTGTTGCATTGAGCAGGGGAGACGGATCTGCTTCGTTGCGGCCCGAAGCTCATCTCCTGCTCTTAGCCGAACTATCCGAATTCTCTGTCATTTTCTGTAATACTAAGTGTTTTAAGATGTTGTAATAAATGTTCTAGTTGAAAGAAATTTCAAGAAACATGGAATCCATAAAAGCATGTGAGAAAAAAAACAAAAAAAAAAACTTGGAAGCCATAAAGAAGACCAATTGCTACTTTTTCTCAAATCTCAACCCAACCAGCTGACTTAAAAATTATTCTTTTTTATCTTTTATTTAATAACAATTACGTTGTGGATTGAAGAGGAATGAGAAGAAGAAGAACATCGACCATGACGATGCG